AGGCAGATCAAGACTGCTGTTTAGACACAGACCTTGAACTAGTTTGGCTAACATGGCCAAGAAAATCGGCATGATGGGGAGTTCCACAGGGAACAAATTCATGAAAAATGAAAGGAGCCAATGCAGCGATTCGCACCTGTAATCCCAGCTATGCGGGAGGTAGAGATTGGGAAGATCGTGGTTCCAAGTCCCCCATCTCATTTAGCTGCTGAGCCCGGTGGTTTGCATCTGTGCGGAGCCAGGCAGGCAGCACCGGTGAGGAGCGTGATGTCGGGCGGGCCTGGGCGTGCAGCCGGAAAAGCGAGACCCTGAAAGAAACCGGGCAGTCGTGCTAGAGGGGCGACGCGCTCGCGAGATGGAGAGCCCTGCGCTGAGCCTGAGATCACAGAGATGAGGCGGCTCAGCCTGCCCGCCATCCCAGCTGCTCAGGAGGCTGAGATCTGGGGACTGCAGTTCAAAGCCAGCCTGGGCAGAAACATCTGCGAGACTCTTCAAAAGTCGGAAATGGCGCTGTGGTTCAAGTGGTTGAGCGCTAGCCATGAACACAGGCTCAAGGACAGTGCCCAGGCCCTGAGTTCAAGCCCCAGGACTGGCAAGAAAGATTAGGTAACTAAAATGCAAGTAGAAAAATACATGAAGGCAGAAGTGTTGTAACTGAAATTTAAAATTCAGTCGGTGATGTCCCCGCTGAGCAGCGCCAGCCCGAAGCCTAGCGAACCCTAAGACAGGCGCTGGAAAGCCCCGCAGTCCCCCCCCCCCCCCATGCCTGCGGGCCCGCTCACCCCCTGCGCACCTTCACCCTGAGGCAGGTTAGGGCACTGCCAGAGGCTGTTTTGGAAGGGATAGAGGCGGCTTTGGAACTCGGGTTCTGGGGAACACTTCACTGTGGCCCCCGCTGGGAACATGGCATGCCGCCATGGCTGGCCGCCACGGGGGTGCTGACCCCCCGTGCATTGCATTCCACTTGCATCTCTCCTAAAGCAGAGTGCAGAAAAGCGGGAGGTGGTGGTTGTGGGTGGCGGGGGCACGGTCACTGGCAGAGCTGTCCTCCTGGCCTCGTGTTTCATGTCACTGGGTGCCAAGCGTTCTTCCGGCATGCTGGGCTTGGCATGACTGGCCAAGCGCAGCGGGCAGCGCATGCGTGCTGTTCCGAGGAATTTTCCATGGCCCTGAGGCCAGCCAGCCAGGCTGGGTCTGGGGCCAAAGGCAGCGGTGGCTCAGGATGCCCTTGTCCTGGCCAGGACGTGGCTCTTGCCTTCATTTCCCAAGATGCTGTGCCCAGGGGCAGTGCACCGCATCCCATGGGTGCTGCGGGCGGCGTGGCTGCAGCAATGCAGTACAGGGGTTGCTTGAGCGCGTGGCGTGGTCTGCGGGGTTGTGAGTTTTGGGGGGGAGGGGCTGCAGCTCTGGAGGAGCTTGCCACGCCTGGAGGCTTCAGTGCGCCCTGCGTTCCAGGCTGGAGGCGGCGGGGGAGGGGGGTTGACAGATGGGTGACACGGCCTTTGCTTCAGCGGAATGGGGTTCCGGGGAGAAGCTGGCGCGAATGTATGTAAACAAGGAAGTGAGCACGCGCATCAGAGCAGACTCATCAGAGCAACACGGGCCGCGCTGTGGTAGGTCGGGATTAGGTGCGTGAGGTGTGGTTGGGAGTGGTGGTGCTGACATTGGAGAAGGCGCTGCTCTCGGGGTGGAAGACAAGGTGCTCCGCTGGAACTGCAGACGGGTCACTGGGTTTCATGTTAAGGGCAATGAGAAACTGCTGACAGGTCTTGAGCAGCGGAGACAGGTGATCTTATCACAGGTGTGACCTGTTCTGGGCACATTTGCACATGGGGACGGTCTCAGGAGGCCACAGGCAGGGCGGTGGTGACTGGGCCGGTTCAGAGTCCACCAGCTGCAGGGGCAGGAAGAGTGGAGCCTGGCTGAGGGCCAGCAGGGACCCCAGGGTGTCAGGAATGAAGGGACGGAAGACAGGGTTCATAAGGACTTGGGGCCGTTGCCGTTGGCGTGGAGGCATCGCATCCCCGCAGCAGCGCGAGTCTGGACAGAACCCCTGCCACAGAGCTCGCAGGAACGCAGCCGGAACTGCAAAAGGCTGCCTGGAAGGCGGGCGCTGGGGGCTCGCGCCTGTCATCTTAGCTGCTCAGGAAGCTGAGATCTGAGGATGGAGGTTCAAAGCCACCCTGGCAGTAAAGTCCATGAGTTTTTTTGTTTGTTTTTTTTTTTTTCTTCGGTCGGTCGTGGGGCTTCAACTCTGAGCCTGGGTGCTGTCCCTCAGCTCTTCATCTCAAGGCTAGCACTCTTGAGCCACAGCACCACTTATTTTCTGGTGGTTTATTGGAGATAAGAGTCTCATGGACTTTCCTGCCCGGGTTGGCTTTGAACCGTGGTTCTCAGATCTCAGCCTCCTGAGTAGCTAGGATGACAGGCGTGAGCCACTGGCGCTTGGCTAGTGCATGAGTCTTATCTCCAAAAAGCCAGAAATAGAAATGTAGCTCAAGTGGCAGTGCACTAGCCTTGAGGGGAAAAAAAGCAGCCCAGGACAGCATCCAAGTTCCAGCCTAGGACCAGCACACACACGAAAGAAGGCTCCACAAGCCCTGACCTGCGAGCTGATCTCTGCTAAGCTCTGCTGTGACACCGACCCCAGGAAACCTCTTCCTCACACTGCTTATCCAGCTTGCCCGAGGACCACACGCTCCCACCATCCCCTCCGCCTGGAGCCAGCCTGCTCCTCAGCCTCTCAAGCCGGCTTCCACCGCGCCACACTCCACAGCTTCCCACATGCAAATCTTGATGATTTTTTTTGGTAGTTTTCGTGTGTTTGTGTATGTGCGTACATGTGTGCACATGTGTTGCATGCACGTGTGCCGACCCTAGGGCTTGAACTCAGCCTAGGTGCTGTCCTTGAGCTTTTTTGCACTCATAAGCAAAAGCCACAGTTCTACTCTAGTTTTTTGGTGTTTAATCAGGTAAGAGTCACATAAACTTTCCTACCTGGGCTGGCTTTGAACTAAGATCCTCAGCTCTGTCACCAGCAGCTCTATCCATACAGCCAAGAGCTGCCTGGCACAGAGGAAAGAGTTGGAGGAGAGGTTTGAGCCTCAGGGATGGTGGCCTGAGTGGAAGTGTTGTTTGTTGGCAGTTGCCCTTCAGGGTTAACGAAGGCCTTACCTACCTTCCAGTGAGGGTTCCACGGCAAGTCCTGACTCAGTCCTGCTCTGGAGGCCACCCTGCGCCTAGGTAGACCAGGCTCAGCCATTTGCTCCAGGCCTGCGTCCTGACCTTCCTGCTGGATAGGGGGAAGAGGACAGGGTCGCCTGGCGGCTCCCAGGAGCGCAGAGGGGTGACAGCACCTTTAAGAACTGGACAGCTGGGCTGGGAAGGTGGCTCAGTGGTAGAGCCCTTGGCTTGCATGCATGAGGCCCCGGGTTCGATTCCTCAGCACCACATAAGCAAAAAGAAAAAAGAAGTGGCGCTGTGGCTCAAGTGGTAGAGTGCTAGCCTTGAGCTCAAGAGCTGAGGGACAGCGCCCAGGCCCAGAGTTTAGGCCCACGACCGGACCAAAAAAACAAAAACAAAAGAACTGGACAGCCTAGACCCCACACCACGAGCCACAGTGCCAGCTGTAGTTGGTGTTCTTGTGTCTGGTAGGGTGTTGAACCAGGCCACCTCTGGACGGTGGCTGCTCACAGAGCGCCTCTTCACAGGACTGACAATGTCAGAATCAGGAGAGCCACCCACAGCCCTGGTATTTTGGGACCGGGTATAGATGTGCTTGAGCCTGTTCTGGCCTTAGATAACTGGAAAGGGCAAGGCTGGCACCCACCTTAGCTGCAAGGGCAGCCCACCCCCCCAGATGCTCCCTCCCCGCCCCCCCAGGGGCACCAGAGGCTGCTGTGGGCGTGGCTCCTTCCCCTCGGTCAGTCAACCCCCACCTGCCTGCCCTTGGCTTCCAGGCCAAGCTGCTGACCTTGGCCTTGCTTTGCTTACTCCTGCCTTGAGCCTCAGTCCTGCCTCCACGCTGTCTGGCCCCCACCCCTTCCTTCGCACACAGCGCGCTGTCCTCCTAGAGCCGACACAGCCACTTGAAGCGGTGGAAAGACAGTTCCATAGTCCTGGAACTAACTGGGTGTGATTAAGAGTGCAACCCTCCATGCAGTCACGTTGATTTTGTAGAGAAAGGCAGACATCAAAGGGGCCACAAGACCATGGGGACAGAGACTGGACTGGATGTGGCTGCGTGTCGGAGAGGCCGCCGGAAGCTGGAAGGGACAAGGACCCGCCCAGAGCTTAGGGAGCTCAGTCCTGTTGGCATTTGGGCTTCCAGCTTCTCTCCAGAATGGTAAGAGGATCTTCAGCCTGAGTTAGTGGTAATGTGTTCTAGCACTGCAGGACATGAACGGGAACGGGAAGGTCGGGATTCTGCAGAAAAGTGACCGAGCCAAAGCCGGGCCCTGGGCTGCTGCAGTCCCCCTGGGGCTGGAATTCCAGCCTTCCATCAGCCCTGGTGTTATGTCCACACTTCCTGTCCAGAGCCCCCAAATTCTTGCCCAGTTGCCCACCTCACAGTTGGCAAATTAGGGGTTGGAGTGGTCACAGTCTCGGGCCCCCTTGCAGTAGTCAACCTGAGGTGTGGCTTGGCCTCTGGCATCAAGGTGGCCTCAAGGTCAGACCAGAGATACGGATGAGCAAGTCCAGCTCTCTAGCGCACACCTCCTGCCATCCCTGGTTGAGCGCACAGGCTGGGCAAAGGACACTTTGGCACTTGACAATAATGTTTGCATAGGGGTGTAAAGTGTTTTTACAACAGCTGTGTCTGTTGAAGTTAGCACATGCCAGCGGCCCGCCCACGACCCCGGGGAAGCACACAGGCAGCGCCTTTGTTCTGTGTTCTCAGGTGGAGGGTGCACACAAGGCCCGGGAGGTCAGACGCCTGAACCTTTAAAACCTGGCCAAGGGCATGCATGCCTGGCATTGCCTGTGTAGACACGGAGCCCTGCAGCTCTGCAAGCTCTCTGCTCGTCTTTAGACTCAGCTTTGTAAAGGACATCAAAGAGTATTCCAGACTCTTCTCTGTGGACATCACTTCAGGTGAGCGCCAGGTTTGTCCCTGGGGGTCAGGCAAGCAGGCCCCCTTCCCACAGACAGCACTGTTCCCAGGGCCGGACTGCTCTGGATGCCAGGCCTGAGCAGCTGGGGCTCCCAGATCACTAGGTGAGCCTCAGGCAGAAGGCTGCAGGGGTGCCTCACTGCTTGTCTTCCCGTGGCTCACCCTCCACCCAGGATGAGGGGCACCGTGCTGTTGGGGACACTGGTTGCCCTGGCCAGCCTACAGCAGGTGGCTGTGTCTTTGAGGATCGCAGCCTTCAACATCCAGACTTTCGGGGAGACCAAGATGTCCAATGCCACCCTCTCTAGGTACATTGTAGAGGTAAGCCCAGGATGACCTGTCCTGGGGACAGCCAGCTGCATGCAGGGTTGAGTGCCTCCAGCCTTGTTAACTGGGGGAGACAGCAGACACCTTTGTCACATGCCATGCTGTCTGGCCGGCAGCACGTAACGGTGTAGCTGTGAAAATGCCCCAAGGAACAGAAGCTGTAACGCTAGTTGTGGCCTGTGTGTGTCCTGGGAGTGGAGAGGGCCGTGACCTGGCAGCAGGTGGCTTGGAGCAGAGACGGTCCCCACAACACTCGGCTGCCCTGGCCTTGCCCCTTAGATCCTGAGTCGCTATGACATCGCCCTTGTCCAGGAAGTCAGAGACACCCATCTGGTAGCCATGGGGAAGCTACTGGATGAACTCAACCGGTAGGTGACCATCCATCTGGGTGGCAGTGAGCAGGTCTCTTGTGTCAGTAGCCGGCCCCAACGAGACCCTTTGTTCATTCTATTCAGGGACGCACCGGACACCTATCGCTACGTGGTCAGTGAGCCACTGGGTCGCAGCAGCTACAAGGAGCAGTACCTCTTCTTGTACAGGTGAAGCCCAGGGCCACAGCTGTGCCCCAGCATGGACGGGGCTGAGGTGGTCTGGGGCCCTGCAGAGTGGTGGTGTAGCAGGATGCAGGGTCCCGGGCTAGGATGAGACCCTCGGGTCCCTATGGGCACGCTTGCAGGCATGGGGAGGGGCGGCTCCGAGCTCACCTTCTCCCACAGGCCTGACCAGGTGACCGTGCTGGACAGCTACCACTACGATGACGGCTGTGAGCCCTGTGGGAATGACACGTTTAGCCGAGAGCCAGTCATTGTCAAGTTCTACTCCCCGTTCACAAGTGAGTGCCTGTCACGCTGTCTCTGCTCTGCACAGAGGCAGTGCTTATTAGCGTGTCTGCTTTCTCTCAGGTGTCAGGGAGTTTGCCATCGTGCCCCTACACTCAGCCCCCACTGACGCTGTAACAGAGATCGACGCCCTCTATGATGTCTACTTGGACATCCAGGAGAAGTGGGGCCTGGAGGTGAGGCGGGGGCCAGGGCCTGGCCTGTGGAGACCCTGCGTCCCTGGGCCAACAGGTAGCTGTCTCCTTTCAGGACGTCATGTTGATGGGTGATTTCAATGCGGGCTGCAGCTATGTGACGACCTCGCAGTGGTCCTCTATCCGCCTGCGCACAATCCCTGCCTTCCAGTGGCTGATTCCTGACACTGCGGACACCACAGTCTCCTCCACGCACTGTGCCTATGATAGGTGAGTGCGGCCCTCACTGGTGCCCGGCCACCGGCCTCTGTCCCACCTCGGGCTGCTTCTGTATGTGGTGCTGAGGAATTGAATGAGCCACCTTCCCAGCTCAAGGCCTGGGCACTCCCTGAGCTTATTGGCTCAAGGCTAGCATTATACACCACTTGAGCCACACAGCGCCACTTCCGGCTCTTTCTGTGTATATGTGGTGCTGAGGAATCGAACCCAGGGCCTCATGCTTGTGAGGCAAGCGCTCTACACCACTAGGCCATCTTCCCAGCACTGTAGTCTGGTGTTTTGTCAGTGGTCTTGGCTCAACCGCCTGAGGAAACCTTGTCTCCCCGGCTTGATTGCAGGATCGTGGTTGCCGGGAAGCTGCTCCAGGAGGCCGTCGTTCCTGGCTCAGCTGCTCCCTTTGACTTCCAGACAGCATACAAACTGAGCGTCCCACTTGTAAGTGCCCTTGACCGGCACACAGTGGGGGGAGGTGAGGGGGTGGCGGATAATAGCTAGCATGGCTCCCTCTTCCAGCTCATCCCCCAGAGCCCATGCCTTCCTCCTACAGGCCAAAGCCATCAGCGACCACTACCCCGTGCAGGTAACACTCCAGTGAGCAGCATTGTCTTCCTCAGCACATCTGGACAAAGACATGTGGATTAAGAAATACCTCTTTAATGGAGATAAATAAAGCAGTGGTGGTCTCACTACTTTCAGTGTCCAGGCCTCTTTTGTGCCTCTGAGACAGATGGACTCCTGTCAGTGTTTCTCCAGGGCCTTAACAAGAAGGTCATTCAGACGGCCAACCATGGGCCTGGGGTCATCCACGAGACCTGCGGCTATCATGGCGTTTTCATAGATCTGTAAGGCAGGGAGGAAAATGCATTAGAGGGAGGACAGGGACTTCCCCCTTCTAAGCCAAACCCTAATAGCTCCCCTTACCTGGTCCACAAGCAGCTGGGCCAGCTCTGGCTCGCCTTCTCTCAGCTGGTTGAGCTTCCTGATCAGCGTGTGCCTGCAATGATGGGAAACACCAGAAGAGTCAGCTGAGACGGAGCACCGGGTCCCATCCTCAGTACCACATGAACAGAACAGGCTGGAAGTGGTGCTGTGGCTCAAGGGGTACAGTGCTAACCTTGAGCTTTGGGACAGCAGTTCAAAGCCCCAGGATTGGGGGGGGGGGGGGAGGATTTCAGGACAGAGAGGCCCAGGGCCAGTAATCTTTTTTTTTTGTTGGTCTTGGGGCTTGAACTCTGGGCCTGGGTGCTGCTCTTCAGCTCAAGGCGAGCGCTCTACCACTTGAGCCACGGCGCCACTTCCGGTTTTCTGGTGGTTTATTGGAGATAGGAGTCTCACAGTCTTTCCTGCCTGGGCTGGCTTTGAACCATGATCCTCAGATCTCAGCCTCCTGAGTAGCTAGGATTACAGGCATGAGCCACCAGCGCCTGGCTAGGGCCAGTAATCTTGATGCCTGACCAGCTCAAGAGATAGTGAGTGAGTGCATCTCTGGTGTCTACCTCTATCTTAAAGAAGCAGACCCTGTACTAGAGGCAAACAGAAAACGGGTGTGCATGCTGTATGGTGGATATGTACATTCACCTTGGGTTGTAGTGATGACGGGGGCTGCTAGGGGTTGGCAACAAGGTTCATTTTAAACTTCACGTAGGTAGTCTCAACTGTCCTCTAACTGCACGCAGGTCTGTGTTCTTCCCCGGTCCATATGCTGCACAGTAGAACCCCCACACATGCAATTTGTAAGCAAAGTGGCACCTGGGGTTGATCTCCAGCGTGGGCTGCAGCAGCTGGGCGCGCTCCTCCTGGGTCTTGGCCAGCTGCTGCATGCGCAGGAAGTGCCGGGCAGCTCCCATCTCCAGCACTGTCACCATGGCAGGGTGGGTGTCCAGGCGGAAAGTGACCTGCAAATAAGGCAAAGGTGGGGCGGAAGGGTTGGCTGTCCAGCCAGGGAGAAGGCACTTCCGGAAGCTTACACACAGAGTCCCGCCTCCTTCCCCCAAGACCAGAAGGTCGAAGATGTCCACATGGTACTGTTTTCACCTTAATCCTCCAGCTTACACGCTAGGGCCTGGGTCAGGGCGCTACCTGTGGCACCTTGAGTCCCAACGCAGGCCAAAGACTCGGCGTGTCAGCCTGGCCACTGGGGGACATTTGGGCTGATTTGAGCCCCCAATCCCTGACGCGTGCTGCGACCTTGTCTACTAATCAGCCTGGGGACAAGTTACTCAAAGCCGACTGTGTGTGTGGGTGGTACTGAGGCTTGAACTCAGGACATGGGCACTATCCCTTAGCTCTTCCTCTCAAAGCTGAACACTACCACTTCAAGCTTTATTGAGTCTCAGACTTTTCCTGCGTAAGTTGACTTCCAACCACATCCCTCACATCCAAGCCTCCAGAGTAGCTAGCGGTTGTAAGGCAGGGGTGTCGTGTGATCCAGTCTGCTGTGCTGTCTGTAGTGCCTTCTCAGTCTGAGACCTGCCTGCGCCCAGCCGCTCCGGAGTGTGGCATGAGCCCCTGCCCTGCACAGGACTGCCCCCTCTTGCTCTGAGCTCTCTGAAGGCCGGCAGCATCCCGCACTGGGGCTACGATGGCCTGGCACTAGTTTGAATCCCTACTGTAGGCACTGCGGCTCCACAGGGTCCACACCAGGCTGTCCCCGGGGACCTCAGCTTGCTGCACCCGAGGCCTGAGCTCTCTACCGTGTGGGGAGGGCGGGCCCAGGCTTACTGCCACAGCAGGACCCCACATGGCGGCACTGTGGCCAGTGTGGCCGTCAGTCCCGGGCAGCCTCACCTTCACGTTGGCAACTCGAGGCCCCAGCGCGTTCCTCATCCAGGCCGTCAACTCCTCCGCCTCCTTCTCAGTCAGGCGCTCACTGGCTGCAAAAGAGCGGGAGTCACAGGCCTGGGGCCCTGTGCAGCCCTGCGCACCACTGCCCTCCCCAGCCACCCTGGAAAATCCCACCTCCGGTGGAAAGAAACCTCGGGGGGCTCTGGCGCCTGGGCGCGCTTAGTTCTGTTAAGGATGAAAGAGCTGGAGACATGAGGACCTCACGTTTCCACCAACTGCTAGGATGCTTCCAAGCACCAGCCCAACCGCGGGTGGGCTGCCCACCTCATGCGCTGCCCAGCCCGGGAGAGGGGCAGAGCCAACCTGGGGATGTGTCCTCGAACTTCTCCTCCTTGTAGTGATCCACCACGATGTCCGTCTCCACCGAGATCAGCTTCTTCTTGTCGAACTCACGCAGGTGCAGCAGGGTGAGCTCGTCGAACTGCTCGTAGCAGAAGAGCACCTGCAGGCGCCCCAAGCTCCATCAGCCAGACAGCGAAGGGGAGCCCTGCTGGGGGCTTTGGGCCTCTAGGCCTGACTATTCGCCAGAAGGTTCTGAGAGGGGCTCTGTTGGTGCGTGAGTCCCCTTCTGAAGGTGAAGGCTGGCTGGCTGGCAGACAGGCCTCCCCCGCACGGCCCTACCTCCTGGCGTGGGCACATCTGGTCACCCCTCCCAAGCACCGAGCGTGAGTTTGAGACCCTCCTTCCGCTGAAGTAGCTTGCTCACCTCTGTGTTCTTCTGCTTCATGGCCTCATAATAGGGCGAGTGCTCGGCCAGGTGGCGGCTGGGTGCGCACAGGTAGTAGATGTTGCGGGTGCCGGGCTGCATGCGGCTGGCGTAGTCGGACAGGCTGGTGAGGCGGCCGGCCGGCAGTGCCGAGGACTCATAGCGCAGCAGCTTCGCGATGTCCTCCTGTGCACACAAGGCGCTCACCGCGGGGCACTCACAGAGGCCCGGCACCTTCCCCCCAGGTGGCCCAGAGCCACCCAAGGCCAACCCCGCTCCCCAGGCCCTCTGCTGTCCTCAGTGACACAGCCATGGGGTGAAGCCCGCATGACCCAGATCCCCGTGGTGTAAGAGGTCCTGGAGCGGCCCTGCACGCCGCGTGCAGCAAGCCGGTCCCTGCGGCCTGCAGCCGGGGGCCGCCTGGTCTAAGCCACGGCCCCGACAGCAGAGCGCAGGAGACAGCACTGGAACCTGGGGAGGTGCAGGTGACCGGGCTGTGCCGGGTGAAGGGGCTGGGGAGCACGGCTGTGCCCGTGTGCGCACGCTGCGGGGACACGCGTGCAAGCGTGTCTCTTGGGAGAGCTCGGCACGTGTGAGCTGCAGCGTGCTGGGACCACAGTGCGATAGAGCAGGGGCAGCAGGGCTGCAGCAGGTCTTGGTCCCCAGGGGCGCTCTCGCACGCCCGCCCCACCCCCCACCTACAATTCCTCAGCTGCCCCCCCTTCCTGCGGGCCCGACTCCCATCACCCACCAAGAAGGCCCATGGGGTCCCACTTCCTGCCAGCCTCCAACGCGCAGGGGCCAGGAGGGGAGGCCTGGCCCTTCGGCCCGTGCCGGGGATAGGGCTGTGCGGTGTGAACCTGACCTGCCAGCGGGGCGCTAGGAGCACGGTAAGGCTGGCCTCTGGCTGTCTGAGGGGGTTTCAGGGAGGATTAGCTGAGGAGGAACATGGGGGCATTGCTCTATAGGTTGGGGTTCAGGTGAGGTAAGAGCGGAGAACATGCTTGCATCATGACAAACATTTGCAACTGGGAGAGGGAGTCCTGCCCGCGCCGCACCGCACGGCGGCCGGACGCTGAGAGGCGCAGAGGCCCGCGCCCCACTGCACCGCCGAGGCCCGCGCCGCACCGCCGAGGCAGGCCCGCTCACCTTGATCTCCTGCTCCGCAGAGGTCACGATGCCCTCCCGCATGAACAGGCCGTAGTCTTCAAAAAACTTGGCGTATTTCTCAGCATCTTTTTTGCTCTGGTCAATGAAAAACTTTATCACCCTCTGCTGTAGAACATCTCGAAGTTTCCTGCAAAAGAGAAGTCGATGCGGGTGAGCAGGAGCTCGGAGTACCAGGACAGAGGAGACAGGACCAAGGGAGCAGGGCGGTGCCACACGAGGGACAGCACTGCCCCCTGCAGGCAGAGACGTGCATGGACATCCCCTGGGGAGGACCATCAGCCACACTCAAGCCCAAGTCTATTGCCTGAGGCTCCAGGAAACTGTCAAGGTGTACTGCCAAACGTATGGACCAGAGCACCCACTGGGGCACATGATCTAACAAACTCGGGCGTTCCGTGGGGGAGCGCGATGCAGGGTGATAAGCCACGCCACAGAAAATCACATCTGACAGTCCCATAACAGCGCGGAAGGAAGCGGCCGTGCGGAGACGGGCTTAGCCTGGATGCGTAGTGCGAAGGCTGGGCTGCAGCTTTCCAAAAACAAGATTGTGCGCGTCAGGCCCAACGAGGCCTGCAGCACCAAGTAAGGCACCAGCTAACAGTGCGTCAGGCCACACTCCCGTCAGCCTTGACTTTCCTTTGCAAAAGTAAAGCTTCCGCTGGGTGCTCGTGGCTCACGCCTGTCATCCTAGCTACTCAGGAGTCTGCGATCTGAGGATCATGGTTCAAAGCCAGCCTGGGCAGGAAAGTCTCTGATCTCCAATGAACCACCAGAAAACCAGAAGTGGCACTGTGGCTCAAGTGGTAGAGCGCTCGCCTTGAGTTGAAGAGCTGAGGGACAGCGCCCAGGCCCAGAGTTCAGGCCCCACGACAAAAAAAAAAAAAAAAAAAAAGCCACAACCTATCCCTACCACAGTCCAGAGCAGTGACAACAATTCTAAAACTCATGGTTTCCTTCCTCTTCCTCTTCCTCCTCCTCCCCCCCTCAGCCTCAGGTGAGAACAGGACTGGATCAGGACTGAGGAGGACCTGTGCAGGTTCACAGCTGGCCGAGGGGAGGGCACGTACAAGGGCCAAGAGGAAAGCAAGACGGAATGTCTGACCACGCAGGGGGATCAGGCCCCAACAGTGAGTAATGAGGCCAAGCTGGCTTTGGATCTGTCACAAAAAGGCTACCAAAGGGAGGCTTCCTCACTGCCAACAGGGTCTCTCCAAACACCAGAGGGGAGAAACTAGAATGTCGCAGAGTAACGTACTAGCATGAGCTGGCAAATTTATAATACCAGGCCCAGGGGCTCACCCTGTGATCCCACCTAATCAGGAGGCAGAGATCATGAGGTTCAAGATCTGAGGCTAGTCCCCTGGCAAGCACTTGAGACCACTTGCAAGGCTGAGACCTGAGAACCGTGTTTCAAAGCCAGCTCAGGTAAACAAATCCAAGACACTCACCTCCAACTAACTAGCAAAAAGCTAGAACTGGGATCACGGCTGACTCAAGCACAGGCAGGAAAGTCTGTAAGACTCTCTATCTCCAATTAACCACCAAAAAGCAAGGCAAAGCTGTGGCTCAAATGATAGAGCACCAGCCTTGAACAAAACTGATGGTGCCCAGGCCCCGAGTTCTAGCCCAGCACTGACACATCTGAGCAGGGAGCCCGCTGTGACCTCCCCCAGCCCCGTGACAGACGCACCTGATGAGCGCGCTCTCCTGCAGGAGCTCGCGGCTGAGGTTCAGGGGGATGTCCTCGCTGTCCACCACACCTGAGGGGGCGGCACCGTCACACGCCAGCTTCTCACGGCTCTCCTCCCACAGCCTGGCCTGGCAAGGGCCACGTACGGCGAGGAGGAGCAGGGAGGAGGGGGCGCCCTCCTCCATACCCTGCCCACCCCCCACAGAATGGGCACAGACAGCCTGGGGTCAGGTCAGGTTGAGGGTCAGGCCTACATGTACTTGGGGACTCAGGAGACTCAGGACACTTGGCAAACATGTTCTGGATTTTATTTTAAAAGTCCTAAGCCAGGCTGGGAAGGTGGCTCAGTGGTAGAGCGCTTGCCTCGCATGCTTGAGGCCCTGGGTTCAATTCCTCAGCACCACATAAGCAAAAAGAAAAAAGCCGGAAGTGGCGCTGTGGCTCAGGTGGTAGAGTGCTAGCCTTGAGCTGAAGAGCTGAGGGACAGCGCCCAGGCCCAGAGTTCAGGCGCCAACACCGGACCCAAAAAAAAAAAGTCCTAAGCCAATGCCGGGCGCTGGTGGCTCACGCCTGTAATCTTAGCTACTCAGGAGGCTGAGATCTAAGGATCATAGTTCAAAGCCAGCAAAGGCAAGAAAGTTTGAGGTTCTTTTTTGTTTTGGTCCGGTCGTGGGGCCTGAACTCTGGGCCTGGGCGCTGTCCCTCAGCTCTTCAGCTCAAGGCTAGCGCTCTACCACTTGAGCCACAGCACTATTTCCGGCTTTTTTCTTTTTGCTTATATGGTGCCGAGTAATCGAACCCAGGGCCTCAGGCATGCAAGGCAAGCGCTCTACCACTGAGCCACCTTCCCAGCCCCTGAGGTTCTTATTTCTAATTAGCCATCAAAAAAGCTGGAAGTAGAGTTGTGGCTCAACTGGTAGAACACTAGCCTTCAGCATGAAAGCTCTGGGGTAGGGCTGAGGCTGACTGAGTTCAAGCCCCAGCACTGGCCTGTGCACACAGGTACACACAAAACCCTAAGTAGACAGGAGTAGTAGGGTACCTGTCTAATCCCAGCACTAGGGAGGTTAAAGAAGACTGTGACTTCAAGGTCAACCTGACCCACACGGCAACATACTGTCACACGCACCTCTCCTACACCACCAACAGTCTGCGCCTTTGTGCTGCTGTAGAAAGGTCTAAACATGAATTCTTTACTAAGCCATAATCTCAAAATCTTGCAAGTCGTGTTGCTTTTTTACGCACTGAGCGAACTCAGCGCGCCCTCCCTCCCTCATCAGCAGCTCCTGCCGAGGCTGGCAAGCGCCATGCTGGCATGCCAGGCCACGCTCTGCACCAGCAGCGCGCTTGCGCATACCGCCCACGGGCCGCCCAGGCGTGTGCCCGGCCCCGTACCTCGAACGAAGCGCAGCCACTTGGGCAGGACGTCTGTGGCTTTGGTCTGGATGAGGACCTTGCGGCTGTACAGTGAGACGCTGGAGCCCAGCTCCCGGCTCACATCAAACATGGATGGTTTCTGGGGGCAAGAAAGGGCAATGCTCGCTGGCATTGGCAGAAACCCACCCTAGCCATGGGAGGCGGGGTGATGGTGGCGCAGGGCTGGCCCACCCTAGGCCAGCCCCGGTGATGACCCCAGACGACAGTGAAGCCGGAGGACAGCTGCTATGCTGCCCACCCTGTGTTCCAGGAGCCTGAGGTCCAGGATCTCCCCCGAAACCTGCTGGCGGGGAAGGTGGGCTGTCTGGCACTGCTGCCATCCTGACTCACACTCTAAAGAGACATAAAGGTCCAGCAGGTCCCCAAGAACCAAGCCAAACCACGCGCCAGGGATCAGCCAGCAAATCCACAGGCCAAAGGATGAGTTTTACATTTTGAAAGGGATGGAGATAAATTCAAAATGAGTATTTCGTGAAATGTAAGAAGGCAAAAAATTCGAGGCTAGGTGCAGTAATTCAGGTCTATTTACCCTTGCTACACGGGAGGTAAAGTTCATAAAGAGCCCAGCTCAAACACAAAAAAACGAGACCCTATTTTAACCAACAAACCAGACACAGCTTGTGGTCTAGCTGCAAGGGAAGCATGAATATGCAGATTAGGGCCAAGTAGACCCAGGCATAAATTAGATCCTGTTCAAAAGGCAAAGGCAGCCAGGTTCTGGGGCTCACGCTGTAATCCCAGCTATTCAGGAGGCTGAACTCTGAGGATGGCAGTTTGAAGCCAGTCCAGATAGAGAAGATCCTACGAGACTCTTATCTCCAATGAAGCACTCAAAAACCAGAAGTGGTGCTATGGCTCACAGGGGCAGAGCGCTCGCCTTGAAGAAGAGCTCAGGACAGCGCCAGCCTCGAGCCCCACAACTGCCAAGACAAAGAAAAGAGCGCCCGACTGGCAAGCACAACCAGAGCGAGGGAACCTGGACGCCGAGTCGCAGCTCACTGTGCCCGCCTCGTGTGCAGGGAAGCCGCCGGCAGCCCTCTGTCCCTCTGTCCCGGCGCAGTGAACACCGTTAGCGCAGGACTGTGACCAGAGAGCTACTCAGCCCACCAGAAGCACTCCGCCTCAGCACAGGCTCTGGGGATGGTCTAGGCTGAGGGGGAGGTGCCGCTGGGCAGAGATCTGGCATTCTAAACAAGTCCTCAGGACACGGCGGCTCTGGCACACAGAAGCCACTTGAAAACAGGCAAGATCCCGCCTGGTTCTGTCCCGGATGGGTCACATGATGGAAGAGTGGGGGGGGGGAGGGTCATAAGTGGAGGCGTGGTGAGGCGCAGGGGGAGGCAGGGGAGGGGGTCCTGAGCAGTGGGTGTGGTGAGGCGCAGGAGGAGGCAGGGTAGGGGGTCCTGAGCAGTGGGCGTGGTGAGGTGTGGGGGGGGGGTCCTGAGCAGTGGGTGTGGTGAGGTGAAGGAGGAAGGGGGGGGTCCTGTGGTGTGCTGAGGTGCAGGGGTGAAGATGGGGGGGGGGGGTCCTGAGCGGCGGGCACAGTGAGGAGCAGGGGGAGGCCGGGGCTGTCCCATGCCGGGCTCCCGGGCACTTCTTGTGGCCCGAGCCAGGGCACAGAGCCTGTCTGCAGCCTCAGCCGGCCCTGCACGCCCACAGCCCATCTCTGTCCCCAAGCATGGGCGCCAGGCCTGCACGGCCAGACGTCAGGGGAAACGTGCCCCGTGGGTGGCCCTGTGCGCCTCACCAGAGCCAGGGGCTTCCCCTCGGCTCCATGGTGGGCACTGAGCCGTCACCGCGGGGCCGCCAGTCCCCAGCCCCCAGCACCCAGGGCTGAGCAGGGCGCTCACCGTCTCCGGCACGTAGAAGATGCTGCGGATGTTGAGGGGCGCGTCCGTCTTGTAGTGCAGGGTGTAGCGGGGCTTGTCGTGGGCCTGGGCGATGTAGCGGTAGAACTCCTCGTGCTGTCCCTCACTGATGTCCTTGGGGTCCATCATCCAGACAGCCTAGATCCGGGGACCAGTGGGGAGCGTGTTTACAACACCACTTCCCAACAGCACGGCAGGGCCAGGGGTGCTGGGGTACAGACTGCGCCCCACACCGGCACCTCTGCCCTCCAACACTGGGGCAAGGGACGGGAAAGACACAACCAACGCTCCGCAGCAGCACACCCCCTCGGCCCACGCAGGACAGAGTCGGGAAGGGTCCACAGGGCCACCCGCGAGGGTGGCTGTCCTGCCACAGGGGAGCCAGCGAGCAAGACCCCTTCCTCGTGAGAGGCGCCCCGTCGCCCACCACGGGGCAGAGCCGTGAAAACGCCAAGCTCAGAGCAAGGAGCCGACACGACAGGACAGGTCCACGAGCCCCTGCCGCGTGCAGTCCTCACGCAGCCACAGCCAGGCCCGGCCGCCAGGTTGCGAGAGGGTCACTCACACTCTCCTGGAGCCCGCGGCCCAGGGGGCTGCGCCGGGGACCCCGCTATGCCCCTGGGACGTCATCCTGGAGCGCGTATCCCCCGCACTGGCCGAGCCCGAGGGCGCTAGGACCCACCTGCAGGGTGTTGATCCTCCGTCCGTTGAGGAACAGGGGGAAGCTGACAAAGTTGCTGTATTTCGTCACCACGTCTGCAGAAGACAAAGATGACGACGCGCGGCCGGGGCAGAGCAGGAGGTGCCAAGCGCACGCAGGCTGTGGCGGCGCCCGTCCGTGCGGCCACCGCTTCACGGGGCAGGGGCAGGGGCAGGGCACGGGAGGGACGTGTGCCCCCCCCTGCACGGGAGGAGCATGCGCGGAGAGGGAGGCGGGCTGCTCAGGGTCTAAGGCCCCAAGACATCACAGAGGCTGGGCGTGACCCACGTGCTAACCGCCAGCCAAGCGGCCCGTCCCAGGAGGGCGCAGGGCTCCCCGTTAGCTTTCGGTGATAGAGAAGCGAATGGCTCGAGGCCTTCTGTGTACGAGCATTGCGTGTGCTCATAAATTCTGCTCATTTGCTTTCCTTTCAACATGCAAAGACCAATGAGCACTGCAGGTGCTGCACGCCGCGTCAGCTGGCCACCACCTGGCAGGGACTCGGACCACGCCCGCCCCACGGAGCCCCCTCACCTGGGCACGCCCGCCCCACGGAGCCCCCTCACCCGGGCACGCCCGCCCCACGGAGCCCCCTCACCCGGGAGGGTCACGTGGAGCACCCTGGCGCCTGACCTCGCACGCGGCCCTCTCCGGAGAACTCCCTGCAGTCGGGTTTGAGGTGGATGATTATTTTGGTCCCAGTTCGAACTCCAGACGCTTCGGCAATTTCGAACACTCCAGAGCTAAGACACGGGCAAAGGGAAGACAGTTGAGCGCTCACTCCCTACAAAGCCGAGTGCAGAAATGTGCACGCTGGGGTTTTTACAAGTAGAATCAAGCCAGCACGCAGAAAGGTGACCAAAAATAGCCTCTTCCTGTCTGGCTTTCTGAGGTGGGGAGGAGGGGTATGGTTACGATTCCAGGCTGGCCTTGAACTTGATCCTCTTGCCTCGGCCTCCCAAGTGCTGGGCTTGTCACAAGCGCGCAGCCCACATCTGACTTCCTGCTCCAGGTAACGACGCGGGGACAAGGACGCCGGCGTGTGGCACGCGTCGGCCCCTCCCCCAGCCTCCTGGGCCCGAGTGACTCGGGGCACCAAGGCCTCGCTCAGCTCCCACGCCACCGCGGGCTGCCGGCGGGGCAGAGCCGAGCAGAGCCGAGCAGAGCCGGGGCCTGCGGAGCCTCTGCTCACTGAATGCTCAGGAGTCTGTTGGCAGCTGGGCTCCCGCCAGCCCCACGCCCCACACAAGCCGCCATCGCACTAGCCAGAAATCACAGCTTCCAACCTACGCTTCAATAGCTGAGGTGTCTTCCTCCCTCCGACCTGCCCACAGCCCCCCGGGCTCAGGGGAGCGGCGGGCGGGCGGGCAGGAAGCCCTGAGGCACAGCCTGGCATGGCAGGGAGACGAGGCTGCGTGCACCGGGTGAGGCCCCGGCACTGGCCCGCTGGCGACAGAACTTGGGGGCTGAGGCGGCCGAGGCGCACCGGGGCGGAGGGGGCCCGAGGCGCAGGCAGAGAAGGGCGGGCAGATGCAGGCTCACAGACCAGCCCAGCCGCGGGGTCCAGTGCTACACAAGTCACGGTGACCAGCCCCCACGGGCCACTTGTGCCCCAAAACAGCGGCTCAGACTTCAGGCCAGCAAGCCAGAAAATGTAGAAAGCCTCGCCCTTGCCAAACTCAGCCGACCGTGACTTGACACGTCCTCAGGGACCAGGACGCGCCCCACGCGACCCGTCAGCTCCTTGCTCACCCATCGGAAAGCCACTGGTAGCCTGGACTCCCCGGGGCTGCCGAGCGGGAGTAGACCTCAACTCTGTCGGCCACCATGAATGCCGAGTAGAAACCCACGCCGAACTGCCCGATGATCTTGCTGCTGGCCTCAGCCTGGCTCTGCAACGCTTCCAGAAAGGCCTGCGGTGACAAGAGGCAGGTTGGAGGAGGCTGCCGCCCCCTGGCTGGCAGCTGACATCAGGCCAGGCATTAGGAGCCAGGCCTGGGAGCAGAGCAGAGCAAGCTCCCGGCTGTACCAGGCAGGAACCAGGCTGCACCCCACGCCCAAAGCCACACTGCCTCCGCCAGCGCCTGCGGCCTGCCGTCTCGCGCGTGCAGCCTGCTCGAAGCAGGCCAGCGCCGCCCACGTAGGGGGACCGCGCAGAGCGCGCAGTCAGCCCCCAGCATCCCAGGGTGGGTGGCACCCTGGCCACGCAGGTCCTTTCTGTAAGATGGTGCAAGGTTCATCCCACACGCTCTTCCCTGTACTTGGAATAATGTGGTGAAATAAGCACTTACACAGCTACTTACACTACCGCCCGGTGTAACACTGGCCCACGCCACTGCGTTCTCTGGAGTCAGTGACAATCCAGGAACAGTAAGGCGGGACGCCTCTCGCGCCCACACGTCACCCGAGCGAGAGGCGGCGGCGGTCTCTGCACTGCGCGCTGCGGCCCGGGCACCCAGGGCTGCTCAACACTGGAGGTGTGGCCAGGGGAGGAGGAGCCCACTTTTACTTATGCTCTTGTCTTTTCGCAGTCATGTGCACAGAGCAGAAACTAGCCAGGCCAGGCAGACGATCCTTAAGGAAACTATCCAAGAGCTTCACGGGCACAAATCGGTCGTGGGGCCTGATCTCTGGGCCTGGCCACTGTCCCTGAGCTCTTCAGCTCAAGGTTAGAGCTCTACCACTTGTGCCACAGCGCCACTCCCCATTTTCTGGTGGTTCATTGGAGGCTGGATTTTCCAGACCAGGCTGGTTTTGAACTGTGATCCTCAGCTCTCAGCCTCTGGAGTAGCTAGGATTACAGGCGTGAGCCACCGGCACCCAGCACACAGATTCTTAAAAGTAGAATTTGTGAGTCACTTGGGAAAGGTAAACTAACAAGATACCAGAGCTCTCAGGCTCCAAAAGAGGTGGTGGGGCCTCCAGTGTCTGCCTTAGGTTGGAACAGAGCCTGAGCTGACAGCGAGGCTCCTGTCCCAACTGCGGCCCAATGGCCCACAAAACCATGCACTGTAGAAGCCAGCGCCTAAGCTCCTCCTTGTGAACTGCTCTGCCTGGGCGTAAAGGCCGCCTGGCTCCGCAGGCTGACTGGGCCAGGCCCGCGCAGCGGGTACAATGCTGAGTGCTGACTTCACAGAAAAGCGTCAGGAGGGGCTGGGGCGTGGCTGGAGTGGTGGAGCTCCAGCTGGAGTGGTGGAGCTCCAGCTGTAATCAAGAAAAGCGTCAGGAGGGGGAGCAGCACATTCTGAACTCAGGATTTGAACCTGGCACACACCAGTGTGCAGCTCTGTACAAAGCACTCGCTCCAAACTCTTCATCCATCGAACGAGCGACCCCGGTGCTGCGGCAGGCTGAGCGCCGCGGTGGTTTGCGGGGGGACGGCGACACGCGAGGCACACTTACCTTTGACCCCGACCTGGCGATGGTGCCCAGGTTGGACACCAGCTCCGCCTGTGTCATCCCGATGCCCGTGTCCTGGGGAGAGAGGCGGAGTCTTTGGGGAGCGGAGGCAGGGTGAGGAGGGCGCAGAGGCCACAGGGACACGGCACGCCAGCCCCGACCTCAGAGAGAAGTAGAGGCGACGACCTTCATTCAAACAACCCGCCGCCGGCACTGGACCCACGCGTGCCCCGCACCCCTGTGCTCAGCAGCACTGCACCACGTGGAGGCCTGGGCTCCCTCTCCAGCACCAAACCCAACCCGAGAGGACAACCCTCCCTGCCCGGTCCCCCGCCTGGCTCCGCTGCTGGTGCTCCAGGGCCAGACAAGCGCCGGGAGGACTTCCACCCAACCTTGCAGGAGGGAGAGGGGTTGCGTCGCGGCCCGTTCCTGGCCCAGCTGCAGCTCCACCTAGGGCCACAGGCCAAACCCCACCCCCACCTACAGCAGGTGGCTGTGCCCGGAAGGCTGGTGACCTCAGCTCGATGCCGGCCCCTAGCCTACAGAGTTGGTCAAGAGGAAGCCCCCCACCCCCACCCGCCCCCCAGAACGGAATCTGAGAACTCACAGAAGGGGCCGGGAGCTCGCCCTCTGCCACCCCGCTGGCACCTTGCTCATGGGCTTCCTGCCTCAGAACTGTTTCTGAATGACCCAGCCTAGGGTATGCTGTGATGGCATCCCCAACAGACGCAGGCACAGGCCGCTTCACAGGCGACCACTGCAGGGGCTGCATCCGCGGTGGGCCATGCCAGGCCCCATCACGGCAACACCTGCCGCAGATGGGCCGCGATACGGCCCCGTCCATCAAGCCTCACCAACTTACGAGATGGAAAAAGCACCCCAAAGTGGTCTCTGCTTCCTTCTAGAAAGTCACTGTACACATTTTACCCAATGACAGCCTGTAGAGAGCCCTGCTAGGCCCCTGACAGTAAAACAAGGCTGATCAGTGCCACGCATGAAGAACCACAGGTACCAGAGAGGACTGTGCAACACTTAATCCCGGATGAGACACTGTCGGACCTCTGGGCCAAAGCCCCAGCGCCGCAGTCACCGCATGGGGCCTGTGCTCCATAGGCTGGGGACAGACAAATCACACCGCCTAGGAGATTCCAATGAATTCTCTTTGAGGTTCTGGTGTTAAGAGTCCAAAATCTGGCCTGATACATTTATTGTGGAACGTGCAACAATTATAAATAAGAAATGTTTAGAATTACTAGCCATTTAGTATAATTTACATTGATATGTTTACTTTCATACAATAGAACTTCCTACAGAACTCTTTGGGGGTCCAGTTGTGGGGTCTGAACTCTGGGCTTCAGCTCTTCAGCTCAAGGCTAGCACTCTACCACCTGAGCCTCAGCGCCACTTCCGGCTTTTTTTTTTCCCTGCTTATGTGGTGCTGAGGAATTGAACCCAGGGCCTCATGCATGCAAGGCAGGCTCTCTACCACTGAGCCACCTTCCCAGCCATGCTACAGAACTCTTCAGGAAAATGTTTCTGTTAAGATAATAAGGCAGGAGAAAATATATTTAACAGTTTGTTTTCAACTTTGTTTCCTCCCACATTGATCTACAGATCCATTATATCTCAAAAAAAAAAAAAAAAAAAAAAAAATTCTCCCTAAGTTTTGTAGAAGATTCTAAAATGTATACTGAAGTAAAAAATACCTAGAATATTTGAAAAGGAACAAGGCTGAAGAACTCACATTACCAATGTTAAGACTTGTTACAAATTTGCAATAATTCAGAAGAAAGCCAGTGTCCAGTGCGGAGGCAGGCAATGCGCCTGACCTCTGCCCTCACAGGCAGCCCTGAGATGACTGAGGCCATGTATGTTGGGCAAACCCCAGCCCTCACCTCATGCCACCCACCAAAATCTACTCCAGGAGGTTGGGGATTAGTTCAGTGAAAGAGCACTTGCCTGGCAAGTGTAAGGCCCTGAGTTCAGTCCTTAGCTCTGGGGGAGAAAAAATCCACTCCAGGGCTGGGGATGTAACCAGTGGCAGGTCTAGCATGTGCAAGGCCCTACATTCTATCCGTGGTACAGCAAAAGAAAAAAAATTATTTGAAATAGATCACGGATCGAAATGTAAAAGCTAAAGCTATAAAACTTGTAGAAGAAAACATGAAAAAGAAATTTGACTTTGGAAGTCAAAAACTTCTCACACCTAGGGCTGGGAAGGTGGCTCAGTGGTAGAGTGCTTGCCTTGCATGCCTGAGGCCCTGGGTTCGATTCCCCAGCACCACATAAGCAAAAAGAAAAAAGCCGGAAGTGGCGCTATGGCTCAAGTGGTAGAGTGCTAGCCTTGAGCTGAAGAGCTGAGGGACAGTGCCCAGGCCCAGAGTTCAGGCCCCATGACCGGACCCAAAAAAAAAAAACTTCTCACATCTGTCATCCTAGCTACTCAGGAGGCTGAGATCTGAGGACTGCGGTTCAAAGCCAGCCCAGGCAGAAAGTGTGTGAGACTCTTATCTCCAATAAACCACCAGAAAACCAGAAGTGGCACTGTGGCTCAAGCAGTAGAGTGCTCACCTTGAGCTGAAGAGCGCAAGAACAGCGCCCAAGCCCAGAGTTCAAGCCCAAAAAACCCTGATCCTCTTAAAATTAAAGCCTTGGGCTGTGGGTGTAGCTCACAGGTAGAGCATTTGTTCTTGAAGAGGTACCGCAAGATCACTAAGGCTAGCCATGGACTGGGAATAGCTTTAAATTTCCTTCTCCTCTGTCTCTCGTGTTTTCCAACTCCTTGTGCTGGCCAAGTGGTAGCTTAATAAGAGAATCAGGAAGGAGCTGGTATGTCACAGAGGGGCAAGCAGGTGTGGTGCCCTGGGTGTGCACGCTGGTGGGGCTGCAGCGCACCACTCCAGCCTGGTCTACGGGGTGGGAAATTTCCCACATGCCTGGGCACAGAGATAGACATACCTGGATCGTGATGGTGCCTTTCTCGGCATCGGTCTGCAGGTGAATCTCCATTTCGGGCAGTGGCTGGCCGCCAGACACCAGCTTATGGCGCAGTTTTTCCAAGGCGTCACTGGCATTGGAGATAAGCTCCCGAATGAACACCTACAGGAAGGGAGGGGGGGAGGAGGAAGGCGCAGTCCAGACGTCTTTCAGGTGAGCTATGTGGCCACACCTGAAAATCAGAGCCTGCCAGAGGCCGCAGGCTCTGCACACGGCCCTCTTCTGCGGTGAAAGCAGAAAAGCAGCCTCTGCGAGCAGTCCCCGCACAGTGCTCCGCTCCTGCCCCCTGGGGTTCTCAGTGAAGTCTGACTGATGGGCCCTTCTGTCAACCTAGACATTAAGAACCACCCGATGAGGGGCCTTTTCTTTTTTTTTTTTAAGTACCGGTACTGGGGATTGAACTCAGGGCCTGGGCACTGTCCCTGAGCTTTTTTTACTTACAGCTCTACCATTTTGAGCTACAGTGCCACTTCCTGTCTCTTAGCTTTTTCGCTCTAAGTAAACATTTTCCACTTCCAGCTTTTTGCTGGCTAATAAGAGTCTCATGAATTTTCTGGCCCGGGCTGGCTTTCAACGGCAATCCTCACGTCTCAGCCTTCCAAGCAGCTAGGATTATAGGCATAAGCCATGAGTACCCAGCTTACCTGCCTCTTGCATAGGAGTAACAAAACTCCCAACACCTGTCTCTCTACTCCATGAAAAGACTACTTCATTTCCTCTAGCAAACATGAGCTTCCACCTTTCAGAAAAGTCTTTACCTATAGAGCTCTCACAGAAACTGCACGGCAGCCACAGGGGAGGCTTACAACCAGGGACACGACAGAACGTCTGGGAACTGAAGCCCCTGCATCCTGCAGCGTGGGGCTTCTCCCTGCCCCAGTCTCCACAGCAACCACATTACTTAACACGGGACCAACAGGGCGGTTTTCTCTTTTTCCAACTCCTATTTCCTCTACATGAAGTTTAATTACTGGGTTTTTTGAGCTAGGATCTTGCTGACCTTAAAATTCATGATCCTGAGACTGGGAAGGTAGGTTAGTGGTAGAGAGCTTGCCTAGCATGCATGAAGCCCTGGGTTCGATTCCTCAGTACCACATACACAGAAAAAGCTGGAAGTGGTGCTGTGGCTCAAGTGGTACAGTGCTAGCCTTGAGCCAAAGAAGCTCAAGGACAGCGCCCAGGCCTGAGTTCAAGTCCCAGGACTGGAAAAAAAAAATCCATGCTCCTCTGGCCTCACGTGGGGTGGCAGGGCCACAGGCGGCACCACGCTCAGGAGCCCCACACCCACACGCTCGGGAGCCCCACACCCACGCGCTCGGGAGCCCCACACCCAAGGAAATTTTACAAAGGAACTAAAAAGTTCTCTGCCCTACACCACACAGGGCCTTTGTCTTCCCGCTGCTGATGCCAAGGACCAGGCAAATAGACAGATGCCAGCACACAGCAGTGCCAGAGAATCAGAGAGTAGGCAAGCATGCACAGAGACTGACCACAGTACAGACCCACTTCCATGCTTGGGGTTCTTAAAATACCAGCAAAATTAAATTAGCTCCTAGAGTTGATCCAACGAACCACCTGGAATTCTTATCCATGAAACTGAAGCAGACTTTGGTAAAGATACTCTAAGAGGTAGATTAGGACTGGGGCCAGCCATAGTCTAAAGCAGTCTCATGGATGATGTAGCAGCAGTTTGGTTAGTACTGGTAATGACAAATGGACACCTACCTCTTTCTCTGAGTACAGGGAACGGGCTACAATATCCAAAAGCTTCTTTGTCTCTGCCTGGAACTCGTGTTTGGAGACAGAACCTAGTAATGAATCATAAACAAAAAAGCTTCATCTCCATTTTGGTGGAAAACATGCCATGTACCATTCAAAAGTGTTAAAGGGGCTGGGAATGCGGCTCAGTGGTAGAGTGCTTGCCTAGTATGGATGAAGCACTGGGTTCAATTCCTCAGCACCACATAAACAGAAAAAGCCGGAAGTGGCACTGTGGCTCAAGTGGTAGAGCACTAGCCTTGAGCTGAAGAGCCGAGGCCCAGAGTTCAGGCCCCACGACCAGACCCCCCCACAAAAAAAAAAAAAAAAAAGGAAAAGAAAAAGCTAGAAGTGGCGCTGTGGCTCAAGTGGTAGAGTTCTAGCCTTGAACTAAAGAAGCTCAGGGAAAGTACCCAAGCCCTGAGTTCAAGCCCCAGGACTGGCAAAAAAAGAAAAAAAAGTGTTTAAGATTTCGAATTTTACGTTTTTAAATAGAGAGACAGGGTCTCTATGATCCCTGGTTGGCCCCGAACTCGTAATTTTCCTGCCTCAGCCTCTAAGTGCTGGCACTACCATACCCAGCTACTTGTAAGTATTTTTGCACAGTGACCAAGAAGACACAAGGAAAGTGGACACCATCGGCCTCGCAGCGAGGGCTCCTGCTGACAGGGAAAGAGGCACGGGGAGGGCGGAGTTCCACCGCTGAGAGCACAGGCCTCGGATGGATCAGAGGCTGCTTCTCCACAGCACACGGCCGCGAGAAGCGGGCCTGCCTCAACCACCAGACCCCAGCAGATTCTCCAAAGGAGCTGTGCGCCAACAAATCATCTGACAAGCAAAGAAGTAAGACAGCCCCATTCTCTTCTGCACATCAACAGTTCTGTTCTTCTCATTTCACGTAAAAGCCAGAAATGGAAGCCCTGGGGCCTGCGCTGGAGACAGCCTTTTTGTACTCAGAATTCAGTCCTTCACCAGCTGGGCCATTACTGTTTCCATCCAGCTTCCTTGATTACTAGCAGATGTGCTACTGCATTGCCACTCAGCAGATTCCTGGGTGGCCACCAGAGGGAGCAAGACCAGGACAAAGCCAAGAGTTCCTGGCCGGACAGAAATGGAGGCCATCCTCTGCTGCGGCCAGCAGCTCCATGCGTATCCACCTCTTCCTGGAAAACTGCTCTTCCCGAGCCAAGGCGAGCCTGTTGGCCCACCACGGCTGACCACTCACCCTGCACCGTCTCTGTGCTGCTGATGATCGAGTGCAGGGCCTCTTCCTTCTTGTCCTCAGCGGCCTGAGTGCTGTACGGCCGTCCCACACAGATGCTCGAAGCCAGAGTTCGCCTGGGACCCCTGAACTGCACTGCGGTCCTCTGAGGACACAGAACTGGCTTTCCTGAAAAGACAACCGTGCACAGAGAGTAAGAACTAGTGCTCAGAAGCTTCTAGAACATCCTTACTGTTCCCATCTCAACTGTCCAGCAGAAACCAACGCGGATCTCTGTAGCATGAGCTGTTGTTCGAGTGATGAACACTGTGCAGAAAAACACTGCTTCTGTTTCACCCCTTCACATGCGCCAAGACCAAGGGGTTCACTGAAAAGCAGCTGGTGCCCTGTCTTGATGTTAGCCAGGAGGGCACAGGAGGACAGTGGCTCACCCACTGGATGCCGATACCTCCTCATGCCCAGCCTCAGCATGGGCTGTACCGAAACCACTCAGCCTCTAAGCCCTCACCAGACCAGCAGAAGGAACCCAGTCCTGTCCTTCCAGCCCCAGGGGTTGTTTGGTAGACATTCATCATATGATGATTTCAAGAACATGGGGTCGGTCAACAAGGCTATGTATACTGGATGGAAATGAACACATCTGGGCTGGGAATGTGGCTTAGTGGTAGAATGCTTGCCTAGCACGCATGAAGCCCTGGGTTCGATTCCTTGGTACCACACAAACACAAGTAAATTGGGGCTGAGAAGATGGCTCAGCAGGGGCTGGGAAGGTGGCTCAGTGGTAGAGCGCTTGCCTTGCATGCCTGAGGTCCTGGGTTCGATTCCTCAGCACCACATAAGCAAAAAGAAAAAAGCCGGAAGTGGCGCTGTGGCTCAAGTGGTAGAGCGCTAGCCTTGAGCTGAAGAGCTGAGGGACAGCGCCCAGGCCCAGAGTTCAGGCCCCACGACCAGACCCAAAAAAAAAAAAAAAAAGAAGATGGCTCAGTGGTAGAGAGCTTGCCTTGCATGCATGACGCCCTGGGTTCGATTCCTCACCACCACATAAACAGAAAAAGAAGGAAGTGGCACTGTGGTTCAAGTGCCCAGGCCTAGAGTTCAAGCCCCATGACCAACAAAACACACACACACACACAATTTAAAAAAGAAATGAACACATCTGCCTGTCAGATATACTCTCCCTACAAACTATTTGCCATTTTTTTGCTTTTTCTTGGATGTATAACACAATCCTGAACTTAACTTCTGTGCAGAAGAGCTTGAGAATGAACACACCAATTCAGAAAACATTCCATTTCCACACAGTGAGGAATGGGGCCGCAGGCTTCTCAGCCCAGGCAGGGCCGGGCCTGGGAGTTGCCAGGAGGGAAAGGCCTCAGCAATGCCCAGCAGCTCAGCTGTCCTAGGTGCCCTGTCCTCACTAAGCCCACAGCCCGCCTCATGCTGAGCAGCTGTGCCACACCTCCCTCCTCTACTTTGTCTAAAACCCAGGACCTGCTTGATAGAGACGGCAACATGCTGTCATACCATCTTAGCAACATAAAGTGCTCTTCAGAGGAGGCAAAATCTGACTAGCGAAGCTGGGCACTGGGCTTATGCCCGTAATCCTAGCTACTCAAGAGGCTGAGATCTAGAATCTTGGTTCAAAGCCAGGTGGGACCGGCTCTTATCTCCACTTAACCAGCAAACAGCTGGCTGTCTGGTTAAGAGTATCTGGTTAGCCGGGAACTGGTGGCTCATGCCTGTAATCGTAGCTACTCTGGAGGCTGAGAGCTGAGGATCACGGTTCAAAGCCAGCCTGGGCAGGAAAGTCCATGAGACTCTCATCTCCAATAAACCACTAGAAAACCGGAAGTGGTGCTGTGGCTCAAGCAGAAGAGCACTGGCCTTGAGCTGAAGAGTGCAAGGACAATGCCCAAGCCCAGAGTTCAAGACCCACGACCAACAACAAAAAAGAGTATCTGGTTAGCTAGGAGCTAGTGGCTCACACCTGTAGTCCTAGCTACTCAGGAGGCTGAGATCTGAGGACTGAGGTTCAAAGCCACCCAGGCAGGAATGTCTATGAGACATGGGGCTTGAACTCAGGGTCTGGACACTGTCCCTGAGCTTTTCTGCTCAAGGCTACTGCTCAGTCACAGCTCCACTTCTGGTTTTCATGGTGGTTAATTGGAGATAAGTGTCTCACAAACTTTCCTGCTTGGGCTGGCTTCAAACCGTGATCCTTAGATCTCAGCCTCCAGAGTATCTAGGATTATAGACATGAGCCACCAGCACCTGACTTGAGACTATCTCCAGTTAACCATCAGAAAACGGGAAGTGGTACTGTGGGGATCAAAATGGTAGAGCACTAGCCTCAAGCAAAAGGGTCAGGGACAGCACCCAGGCCTGGAGTTCAAGCCCCATGACTAACCAAAAAAGAAAAAAAACTCTGGTTAAAGCTGGATGCCGGTTCATGCCTACCACAAATTCAAGTGGATTCTTGTGAAAGCACAACAGGTAAAAATAGAAATTGCATTATATGGACCCCTAACAGTAAACGGAGGGAAAAAGCAAGACAGATCAAGGAAGAGGAAAGGCGGAGGTTACAGCCCAGAGGTGCCAGCTTTAGGAATGGGGTCCAGGTGAGGTTCTTTTTGTAAGATGAAATCAGCTGGGCACAGGTAGCTCAGGCCTGTAATCTTAGCTACTTAGAAGGCTGAGATCCAAGATCACCTTTCAAAGCCAGCCTGGGCAGGAAAGTCCATGAGATTTTTTTTTTTTTTTGTCAGTCCTGGGATCTGAACTCTGGGCCTGGGCACTGTCCCTCAGCTCTTCAACTCAAGGCTAGTACTCTACCATTTGAGCCACAGAGCACCACTTCCGGGTTTTTCTGCTTATGTGGTGCTGAGGAATTGAAGCCAGGGCCTCATGCATATAAAGCAATCACTCTACTACTGAGCCACCTTCCCAGCCCCTACTCACCCCCCCAACCCCGGCACTGTCCACAGGGCTCTTAACTCCAATTAACCACCAGAAAACTGGAAGTGGTGCTGTGGCTCAAGTGTACAGCACTAGCCTTGAGCTGAAGAGCTGAGGAACAGCGCCCAGGTCCAGAGTTCAAGCCCCAGGACCAACCAAAAAAAAAAAAAAAAAAAACAGATGAAACCAACTAGTCACTGCTTAAGCCCCACAGCAATCTGAGGAAGAAAGTTCTACTGACCTGCTAGCACTTGCTGTTACCCTCACAACTTTAATTTCAAAGACTGAAAGTTCAGCAAAGGCGCACCTCCTGATCTTGTCTTACCAATATCAACCCTCAAAACACCAGTGTGTGCCTGGGAGGATTACAAGGCAAGACTCAGCCGCTCTGGTGATCATGAAACACCTGGCAACCCGCTGCCCAACTGTAGTCACATCTGCCTTGGGGAGACAGGCTGAGCGAAGAAATGAAGGGACAGTGCCCAGGCCCAGAGTTCAAGCCCCAGTACCCATACAAAAAAGGGGGGGAAGGGAGGGAAGGAGGGAGGAAGGGAGGGAAGGAGGAGGGAAAAAAGTGAGCTGAACTCAAGGGTAATTCAGGAGGAATCTATGACAAAGTGACACATCCTAAATGTGAAAGCAAAAATGCTAAAGTCTCAGGCTGGGAAGGTGGCTCAGTGGTAGAGTGTTTGCCTTGCATGCATGAGGACCTGGGTTCGATTCCTCAGTACCACATAGGCAGAAAAAAAGCCAGAAGTAGCACTGTGGCTCAAGTGCTAGAGTGCTAGCCTTGAGCTGAAGAGCTGAGGGACAGTGACCAGGTTCAGAGTTCAGTCCCCATGATGGCAAAAAACAAAACAAAAAAATGCTAAAAGCTGGCAACATTATCCCAAGAAGAGAGAACAAAAGAGTTCTGGATTTTGTATACAAGTGGATTCACCTGTAATTTTTCTCCCTTATATATAAATCATGTATTTTCTTGATTAAATGCGCCCATCACTCAATCCACTGTCACAGATATCTCATAGATGACAATGTTACGGGCATCTGTAACGTAATAGGCTGCCCAGAAGAGACTCAAGCAAAGGCTGACCTGGTACCAACTGCTAGAAAGATGATTAAGGGAAACAGAATTAAAAATCTGAAGGCTGAAAACTGACATATTCTTAAGATAGAAGTGACAAGGTGTTTTCAAAGCATCAACAACAATGCTTATAGACAGGCTGGGAAGGTGGCTCAGTGGTAGAGCGTTTGCCTTGCATGCCTGAGGCCCTGGGTTTGATTCCTCAGCACCACATAAGAAAAAAGAAAAAAGCCGGAAGTGGCGCTGTGGCTCAAGTGGTAGAGCGCTAGCCTTGAGCTGAAGAGCTGAGGGACAGCGCCCAGGCCCAGAGGTCAGGCCCCACGACCGGACCCAAAAAAAAGAAAAAAGAAAAAGGGGCTGGGAAGATGGCTCAGTGGTAAAGCGCTTGCCTTGTATACCTGAGGTCCTGGGTTCCATTCCTCAGCACCACATAAGCAGAAAAAGCCGGAAGTGGCGCTCTGGCTCAAGTAGAGAGCTAGCCTTCAGCTGAAGAGCTGAGGGACAGCGCCCAGGCCCAGAGTTCAGGCCCCATGACTGGCAAAAAAAAAAAAAAGAAAAAAGAAAAAAAGAAAAACCTGGAGTTAGCCACAAAAGAAACACTAATCAAACTGACAGGACTGAATCTAGAGTTAGCCACAAAAGAAACACTAATCAAACTGACAGGACTGTTAATCTACAACACCGGTGCTAGAAGACATCGAGCAACTATCTCACATCCTGAAGGGAAATCATTTTCACCTGGAATGCAGTAACCCAACAAACTAGTATACAAGTATGAAGATAAATGAGAAATCTTAAAGACACAGTGGAGCCTAGAAACTACACCCCACAGGCTATTTCTGTAAAGATAACACAAGGTACACTATGGGTAAGTAGAAAATAAATCCCCAACAGCTGTAAAAATACTTATACAAAGGTAATAGTGATCTGCAGACCAGTAAAGCCTACAGATGTCTTATCTATTAATACTGTTATTTTTAAAAGTTGACACACTGAAGATTTAAAAAAAAAATTTAAAGTTTAAGTAGGAAAGACTTAAGAGCTACCAAGAAGAAATTTGTACAGACACAGAAAAGGCCATGACACTAGTAAAAACATTTTTATTCGCACTCATATCCATGCAGGTGTAAATCAAATAAGGTGTCTTTTAAGTAAATGGCTGGGGGAGGGGGGCTTATGCTGGGGGATTGAATCCAGATCCTTGCACAAGCTCTATCTACTATGAAAATATAGCCCAACCCTTGTGGGACCAATATGCAGTGTGAGAGAAAATACTGTGAAATAAGCAGTTTCATTGCCTACCAACTGTAATATGACTTAAAAAGAAGTTGGATCACAGCTTCAGCTAACATTTTAAAAGTGCCTAAGTTCTGAAACATTCATTCTAAGACGCTAAAGAAATACCACATGTGCGTTAAGCATTCACTCATTAACGCAGGAAGTAATCTGAACTATTCTCTACTGCTGAGAACAAGGGTTTAATGAAGCATGATGGCCCACAGCACGGAACTCTGAGTAGCCACGGGGAAGCGGCTGGACCCACGGACACAGAAATGATCAGTCGTGCGTGGAATGCTGGGAGCGTTAGAAATTCCAAGGCAACGTGGCACCCCGACCTGGGCTCTTAATAAAAACAACCCAGCCGCGAGGGCAGGCCCGCGCCCCCGCGGGGACCCTCTCCAGGCGGGGTGAGGGCCGTTCTCTCTCCATTCCTTGTCGTTCCTGGGTCCCGGGGGACGCAGGGGCCAACAACCGGGGGTCCACCCGGGTTCCGGGCAACTGTTGTTGGCTGGAGTCGGCATTTACCCACCAAACCCTGAGCCCAAACCGGGAGCACGCGGAGCCCGGGGCGCAGCGGCGCCCGCGGACCGAGGACCGACGCCGTCAGGCCCGACGAGCCGGGCGCCCGACGGACACCGCGTCCCCCAAAGCCCACGGGTCGGACCGACCGACGAGAGGAGCCCAGCCCGGGACGCCCGGCCAGCCCCACCAGCCCGCCCAGCCCGGGACGCCCGGCCAGCCCCACCAGCCCGGGACGCCCGCCCAGCCCCACCAGCCCGGGACGCCCGGCCAGCCCCACCAGCCCGGCCAGCCCCACCAGCCCGGCCAGCCCCACCAGCCCGGCCAGCCCCACCAGCCCGGGACGCCCGGCCAGCCCGGGACGCCCGGCCAGCCCGGGACGCCCGGCCAGCCCCGCCAGCCCGGGACGCCCGGCCAGCCCCACCAGCCCGGGACGCCCGGCCAGCCCGGGACGCCCCACCAGCCCGGGACGCCCGGCCAGCCCGGGACGCCCCACCAGCCCGGGACGCCCGGCCAGCTCGGCGGGACGGAGCGAAAGGCCGTGCGGAGCCTGCGCCCGGCAGCAGGCGCCGCTGCCTCACGCCCGTCAGCCGAGTCTCGGCTCCGGCGCCCGCCCGCCTCAGCCGCCTCACCCGCCGTGGAGGCCGGCAGCGCCGGCAGCCGCAGACGGCGGCCCCACGCCAGCAGAGCCCGCAGCTCCCGCGCCATGTTGCCGCTCCGGAACGCCCCGCGCGCTGACTGGGGGCGCGGCGCGGTGACGTCACGGCACGCGACGGGCTGCCCGAGGCGCTGCCTGAGCGAGCGGGCGGGCCGAGCCGGCTCCTCGCGCGCGCGGACGCTTGCGCTGCAGAGTTGGCGCTCCGTGACCTTGAGTCTCGTCGTCAAGGACGACAGTGGCCTGGTGTGTGGTGCCCCCGGCGAGCTGCGCGTCGGCGCGGCATCTCCGGACGCGGCCGGCCCGGGCCGCTGCCCGCCCCTCCCGCCCCTGGCCGGCCCCAGCCGAGAGGAACGGGGCCCCGGACTTGCGCGCACCCCAAAGCGGGAGCGCGCTAACCAGACCCGCCGGCACAGCGGCGCCCCGCCGCGTACCCCGACTCGCTCCCTCTTGGTTGGGGATTCTTTGCCGGGGCACGGGCGGACTGTGCAGCTCCGACCCAAATTTAGGCCAGTTCTTCCCTGCGGGCCCCGACGCGCCCCGTGCTTGCCGCTAAGGTCAAATAATTTCTACCAGAACGTTCTTTAAAGGCTGGAGGTGTAGAGCGCTTACCTATCCCGCCCAGCGCTCTTATACACCCCCCCCCCCCCACACACACAGTGAACACTCCAGAGGTGGATGCAGAGGAGCGCCATGCCACTTGGGTCCTTGGACAGAGTGTTAGTAAAGAGGGAGTCCCGAGGTGCTTCCAGATTACCAGGGGTGGTGGCTCGGACCTATAATGCCAGTCATGTGAAAGGAAGAGCTGGTATAGCCTGTACCATTTGAAAGTATTTCGAAGAGTAGACCTTGGCTAGTATGAGGAGGCCCCAAGTTCAAGCCTTAGTTCTCCAGTACTACCAAAAAAAAAAAAAAGCCGGGCGCTGGTGGCTCACGCCTGTCATCCTAGCTACTCAGGAGGCTGAGATCTGAGGATCGCGGTTCGAAGCCAGCCTGGGCAGGAGAGACCTTGAGACTCCTATCTCCAATAAACCACCAGAAAACCGGAAGTGGCGCTGTAGCTCAAGTGGTAGAGCGCTCGCCTTGAGCTGAAGAGCTGAGGGACAGCGCCCAGGCCCAGAGTTCAAGCCCCACGACCGACCAAAAAAAAAAAAAAAAGTACAGATTAAAGTGTCAAGGATTGCCCCCAAGTTACTGATAGGAGATAGGAAAAGAATGAGCAGGTTTGGGTGGAAAAGCTGGGATTTGCCCTTGATGACTCCAGGAGCCTCATAATCCCTGTCCACCGTACTTGGTCCTGCGGAGGCCAGCCCTCTCCCTTCTCCCTGAGATCTTCAGTGGCCTCCCAGGAACTCTTACACTCAATTCTTTATTCCTTTTGCCTTTGATGGCAGTCCCTGCATCCCCCATCTGCAGGATGTCCCTGCAGCTACACCCAGCAGAACTGATAGAGGTTGGGCTCACATTTCATTCTTTTTTTCACTCCACTTAGGAAATCCTCTTTTCTGTAAGAGTTTCCACATTTGTCTATGAGATACCAGCTCTGGCTTGGAGAGCACTTTTAGGAAAGAGAAGAGGTTATTTGGAAAGGACAGATAATGGGCTTCAGTTAAAGATGAGGGCAAGATAGATAGCTAGGTTCAGGGGAGCAAAATTCTCCCAGGTTCCAGGCAAACCAATCTGGGCCTGCCCACCTGTATTGGTTCATTGCTCTGAGAGCCACGAACAGGAAGAGACAGCTTCCCACAAAAACTCCAAGGTCCAAAAAAAAAAAAAAAGAAAGCAATATTTTTAAAAAGAAAAAAGCCGGAAGTGGCGCTGTGGTTCAAGTGGTAGAGGGCTAGCCTTGAGCTGAAGAGCTGAGGGACAGCGCCCAGGCCCAGAGTTCAGGCCCCACGACCGGACCCAAAAAAACAAAAACTCCAAGGTCCCTGTGTGCTGCAACCTCAAGTGCACTTCAGCCCTTACCGGTGACTCCAGTTCTAACACTTGTCAAGTTCAAAGACTTCTTGCTAGACTTATGGAGTTCCATTTCCCTGTTTGGGGAACATGGGAACTACATTCTCAGCCTCAAGACTAGGCATTTTTTTCCTAATCATCCTCCTCACCCTAGAAGGTGCATAGAAAACCATCTTCATCTCAAGAGCCCTCACCTGTCCTGAGAACAGAGAAGTAACAAGGAAGGAGCACTAGTGGGCAGGAGAAATAGAAAAAGTACCTATGATGGTGGTGGTGCCCCTCCCAGCCTCTTCTGCACTCTGGGTCTGGATTCCCACCTGATTGTCACCAAACATCACTGTCTTCCCTGAAGGATCTTTTCCTCTGAATCTCATGGATATAATCAGTTTGGTTTAAATGTCTCTGTAAGAGGTCTCTGTGGGCAAAGAGCCACAGTATGGAAGATGAGAGAAATGCCATTTCAGTTTCACCCTCTTCTCAGCACTGTATGGGGGCAGACAATAGGATTAGGCAATACTAGGGTGTCAATATTTCTTTTGTTGTTGGTGGTGGTGGTGGGGCTTGAACTCTGGGCCTGGGCGTTGTCCCTCAGCCTTTCAGCTCAAGGCTAGCACTCTACCACTTGAGCCACAGCGCCACTTCCGATTTTTCTTTTTCTTTTTTTGGCTGGTTGTGGGGCTTGAACTCTGGGCCTGGGCGTTGTCCCTCAGCTCTTCAGCTCAAGGCTAGCGCTCTACCACTTGAACCACAGTGCCACTTCCGGCTTTTTCTGCTTATGTGGTGCTGAGGAATCGAACCCAGGGCCTCAGGCATGCAAGGCAAACAGTCTACCACTGAGCCACCTTCCCAGCCCCATCTGTGGTTTTATTGGAGATAAGTGTTCCACAGACTTTCCTGCCAAGGCTGGTTTTGAACTTTGATCCTCAGATCTCAGCCTCCTGAGTAGCTAGGATTACAGGCGTGAGCCACAAGCGCCTGGCTTCAGTATTTCTTTTCCCAGTCAAAGTTAGCCAGTACACAGCAAACAGGCAGGCCTGTTACCACTTACAGTGATACTCCTGTTTTTCCAAGTGGGCGTGGTGAACTTGGGGGATGAGGATGGGCTAGAGAAGTTCCTAGGGGTTCTCCTTATGCTCTGCCCTTCTGCCCTTGATGGCCTCTGAACCTAAGTCACTGGCTCATCTACTTTCCTACCTCACAGCTAGAGTAGAATGGATCTATGGAAAGTTATGGGTCACATACTATAATGCTTTTGCTTATCTCTTTCTTATTCACCTTGGTAGAAAACTGGGGGATTCATTCAAGATTAAGGCTGAGGACTGTGCTCCTTGCTAGGGTGTCAGGGGGCTGTTTCTCAGTTCCCTAAACTTCACAGAGGCCACAGGCCTTTTTCTTGTGGTGGTGGGGCTGGAACTCAGGGTCTGTGTGCACTGTTTCTGTGTTTGTTTGCTCGCTAGTGCTCTACCACTTTGAGCCACAGTGGCAGTTCTAATTTTCTGGTAGTTAATTGGAGATAAATTTCGTGGACTTTGTTGACTGGATTGGCTTTGAACCGTGATCCTCAGATCTCAGCCTTCTGGGTAACTAGGATTACAGTCCTGAGCCACTAATTCCCCCCGCCCCCCCCCCCCCCCTTTTATACTAAATACTGGGCATAAACACAGAGGCATGAACTCTCATTTAAACTTTTTCCTGCTCTGTTGGTGCTTTACCACTTGAGCCACATCACCAGTGCAGTCTACCATTTTGCTGTTTCTTGTGTGTATGTGCTGGTTCTGGGGTTTGAACTCAGGGATAGCATGGGTACTGTCCTTGAGTTGCTTTTGCTCAAGGCTGGCCTGCTACCACCTGAGCTACAGCTCTACTCCCAGCTTTTTGGTGGTTAACTGGAGATGAGTCTCAAGAATTTTCCTGCTGGGTTTGGCTTCAAATCATGATCCTCAGCCTCTCGAGTAGCTAGGATTACAGGTGTGTGCTACCAGTGCCTGTTTCTTAATAGTATATTCTTTAAAAAAAAAAAAAAATCAGCCAGGCGCCAGTGGCTCATATCTGTAATCCTAGCTACTCAGGAGGCTGAGATCTGAGGATTGTGGTTCAAAGCCAGCCCAGGCAGGAAAGTCTGTAACTCTTATCTCCAATTAACCACCAGAAAACTGCAAGTGGCACTCACTGTAGCTGAAGTGGTAGAGTGCTAGCCTTGAACTGAAGAGCTCAGAGACAGTGTCCAGGCCAAGAGTTCAAGTCCTACAACTGGGGGAAAAAAAAAAAAAGCCCTTGAGGCTGAGAATATGGCTTAGTGGTAGAGCGCTTGCCTAGCACACATGAAGTCATGGGTTTGATTCCTCAGTACAACATACACAGAAAAAGCTGGAAGTGGCGCTGTGGCTCAAGTGGTAGAGTGCTAGCCTTAAGCACAGAGAAGCTCAGTGCCAAGAAGCCCGGACCTGAGTTCAAGTCCCAGGACTGGCAAAGAAAAAAAAATCTGAATTTTTAAGTGAAGAAAAAAAGATCATAGCCAGTAAATTGCTATCCTCTATGAACAGATGGGGCATGTTAGCAGTTTTATGGACAATTAGGATCAGCTGCAGGGCTCCACCACTCTGTCAGTTTCAGTGCCACACTATCTGGTTTGTTTTTTACTCATCCTTGACTTATTACTATGTACAAGGATGTAGCTTTTGGCTAGTGCATGTGAAAGGAACAGTTCCTTTCTTCCTGAGATCTACCTTTGTGGTACCTGGGCCAACTTTATTCCCACTCCTACAAGTACCCATATAGGGTGGTTAGGGATTCACTTTGTACCGAGCATGCTGTTTTGTGTTAAGAACTTCCTGGTATCCCAAGGGCTATCAACACAATCACTTTCTTCATGAGTATTTTTTTTTCCCCCAAGCTCATTATGCCATGCAGCACCAAACTTTTTTTTTTTTTTTTGATTAGAAAAACCTTTGGCTCCATTTTAGAGCAACCAAAAGAAATAGAACACTTCACCTCCAACTGACAGTACAGAAGCAGAAGTTATCCACGGCCACCTCACTTGATTTCAATTCTTAAATATTAGGACTCTCAAAGACATTATCAAAAAGGCATGTTCAGTGGAGACAAATTCAACAGATCTTCGGCCTTTCAGTGACTAGCTGCTGAGCTAATGATAAGGGTCATTAGCCAATCGGAACCATCTTTGAATCCAAGCAGTTTTACCAGCTTTTATTATAAACACCAGCACATTTCAAGTTCCCTCTTTTTGATCACAAATATAGGACTTTTTCTCTTCTCCTCTCAAGTATACAGCATGAGACACAGCGTCTGGGCTCTCCAGCTCTTACAGAAATTTCCTTAGGACAGGTTTAAGGTTAGTATCCATAGCCCACACCCTCAGCCACATCCATTGACACCCGGATGGACAGTTGCATAGGATGCAGATTCCAACAAGGAAGAGGTTGGTACATAGAGTTTTGAATTCCAGGATAACCTGAAAAAGACGTCTCCACTGCCCACGTTAAAAGGCTGCACACTGGCGAGCACCCCCTCTGAGCGTGGGCTTGGAACAGCTTCTCCAGGGCTCCGGCTCCACTTCTGGTTTGAACACATGGCTCAGGAATCCCCCATCAGCAGAGAAGGGGACTCCGAAGAGGACCGCGAATGTGCAAGTTGAGCAGGATGGCAGGTTCTGGAGGCAAGAGGACGGGGTGGAGACGGGGGTGGGGTGGGGGGGGTGGGTCAGGGATGCTCGATGGCGGCCTTATCTTTACCTGGTTTAGCAAATCCACATAATTAAAAAACCAAGACTCAAAAACTCCGTGCTAATACTACATTGCACCCTTCCAAGTTCTCTGAAGGATTCCTCAAATTTAGATTCCCAACTCAAGTATGATGTATTCTGAAAATACTTCTGTGAACGTTAAGGGCCAAAAAGGAAGCTATTTGGGCCATGATTTCTACAGTTAACACCTCAGTCCCTACCCCTATCAGAAACCACCCCTTTGGCTGGAAGACAGGGATTACAAAAAAGTTCTGGGGGGTGGGGGGAGAGGGAGCAGCAGACCAGGGGTTCACGCCAGTCCCCTGCTGACGTCCTCCTCTAAGCTGGCTTTGCAATCTTTCTGAGTCACCTTACTCAGTAAGGTCACCCACAGCTGGGCTGGTGGCAGGATCTGTTCCAGGTGGCACACGGCCTATGGGGGCCTCACTGAGGCCCCACAAGACAGGCGGATGGAGGCATCCTCCCTACTGGACAAAGGATTTCAGGGGAGAGGGGGCGTCGGTAGCCACCTGGAGTTCCATGAGCACCCTTTGCATCAGATCTGGGATTTGTGTATAGAGGGGGGAGGGACTGCCTGAAGAAAGGGCAGGAAGCCCTCCCCAAACAGAGAGCTGGCTGCAACAGGAGGAAGGATGGGGAGACTGGGCCGGAGGCAAAGTGCTGCCTCAGAACCCTGGCGTGGCAGGGACGAAATTCACCTGTGAGCATCCGATCGGCGTGGCTACTGCCAAGCTGCCACCTCAGTCTGGGAAGGAAGGCGACCAGGCTGGGACGTACCCCAGCCGCCACCCGCACGGCCACCACGACCGCAGCCCCGGCCTCTCCACTCTATGCGAACAATCAGAACCATGTCTTACAAAGAACAGACTCCAAAAATATATATAAATAAATAAAAACCTTAAACATTCTTACAGGGATCTTAAAGAACAGAATACATATTAAAAACTTCAGTAATTTATATCAATTTTAAGCGATACTTTATATACAATGGGAAAAAAAACACATGCATAGTCCAAATACAATGTTGAAAACAGCATTTTCATAACAAAAAAACCCCGAACACTAAGTGTTAATACCATGTACATGAATTCAAGAAGGACCACCCTTTTTGTCTGTTGCACACAGTTTATTTAACAATATGATATAAGAAATGAGTTGGTACTTTACCATTCTATACAGTGATTGAATCTTCTTCAATTTTCTTATTTATAGTAATTATAGCGCTTGCATGATTTACACTAGAATTGCTTTTCCTCATTTCAAGTTTCACATAGAAGAAAGAAATGAATGCTTCTTCTCTATTAGCATTAGCATGGTCTAAGGAGACTGATCATCCCTATTTTTGTCTAAAACCAGTTTTATCAGAGAAACAAAGCAACAATTTCTACATCTGCAAGACAAGAGTTTGGCTTAAGCCAGCATGTATAGATAGATGTGTGTGGGTGTGTACGTGTGTGCACGCCGGAGTCAATTCCTATCGTCCAGGGTAATACTTGGAGATGCCCACAGAGTTCACTATAGAAAAAAATCTTCCCGCAACGTCAAGACAGTTACCGGGATACATTATAAGATGCATTAATTCAGGAACCAGTTTCCGAATATTATTTTTCTTCTCACTTTCAAACATAAATGTTTAAAGTCTTGAAAATACAAATAAAAAATATGAATATAATGAACTTGTTTTTCCCATTTAAAAAAAGGCATGAGTCACCAGCAATGTCGACAAAAAGAATCCAAACGACCCCTCCCCCCCAAACAAAAACAAAACGGGGAAAAAAAGAGAGACCAGATATTTAAATCAACTGGTTTTTAACAAAAAAATATATTCTTTGTATTGTTTCTTTAAACATCAATCCACCCTTCCATAGCTTGGAAGTCGCAGTCCCATCTAGGGGTAAAAAGATTAGCCTAGATGCCTGGATTTTCAGTACAAAAGGTCCAAGAACGTGAAAGGGGAAAAAGTGATGCTCTCATAATGCTACAAACCCTCCACAAACTTTTCTAGAGTGTCTCCCGTGGTGTCACCGACCAGAGCCAGTTCACTGGACAGTGCACTCCTACTGGGTGTGTTCAGTTGAGGGAGCATTGCACTCTGTTCGGGGTTCCCCAGGTGTCCCTGATCCATGGAGCTGGCCATAGTGACCGACAGTCCAGGATGAGGGGAACCAGTCTGGGGAGAGACGTGGTGTGGTGAAGGCTGGGGCTGTATCCGTGGTGACGGGCTGGAATGTGGAGGCTGGGACTGGGGCCGTGGAGACTGGACAGGGGCTGGAGATCGCACCTGGTTACTAAGGGATGTGGCGATCTGCTGGCCAGGGAGATGGGAGGCCTGCGGCTGTCCTGAGAGCATGTGCTGCTGGGGGCTCATGGGGTTAGGTTGGCCCGGGGACCCAATCTGCTGCTTCATCTGCTGCTGCTGCAGAATCCGCTGCTGCAGGGCCTGCTGGATGTTGGGGGTGCTGTCGGCCCCCAGCCCAGGCTGCCCCATCTGGCCAAGCTGTCCCATCTGAGCGGCCATCTGGCCCATGGAGCTGCCCTGGATGGGGAGATGCTGCTGCATGCGTTGCTGCTGCATGGCTGGGGCGTAGCCTCCAGGTCCTTGTGGCTGCTGAAACTGGCTATGCCCGGCCATGCCCCCGGCCATACTGGCGCTGTTTTGCTGCTGCTGCTGCTGCTGCTGCTGCTGTTGCTGCTGCTGCTGTTGCTGCTGCTGCTGTAAGAGCTGTCTCCTCAGCATCTCTCGGTACTGCGGATTCATACTTGCCATGTTGGGGTTGTGGCCTGGGTTCATGATGTTGAGGGCCTGGCCCTGGGGGTTCAGGCCTCCCATTGCCTGCTGCTGCGGAGGCACACCAGGCCGTGGCACGCCAGCTTGCATCGCATTCAGGTTCTGCAAGCCAGGCTGTTGGTGCATGCTGGGCTGGGGCTGCATGCCGGGCTGGGACTGGAGGCCGGGCTGGGGCTGCATGCCGGGCTGATTGGCCACATACTTGGCTGTGCGCTGTTTGATAAAAGCTGCCATGAGCTGTGGGTTGGATTTGAGGATGTTCAACACCTGCTGCTGCTGCTGAGGGGAGCTGGGAGACTTCAGGGTCCGTAGCAAGTCTTGCAGGGCGCTGGGTGAGATGCTCCTGGGCGGCTGTACATTGGGCATCCGCGGCCCAGCCACAGCTGGTTGGGCCTGCATAGACATCACAGGCCTTGGCATACCTGGCATTGGTTGCTGCTGGGGAATGGGTGCCTGCTGCCACTGCCCGGGTGGCATGTTGGGCATAACAGGCCCACTGACCTGGTTGGGCCGGGGCACATTCAGGGCCATCTGGCTTCCAGGGGTCCCCATACCTGTACGCCCTGGGGGCATGCCATTGTTGATATTCACTCGGTATAGGTGGTGCTGCTGCTGGGCCTCACGCTCGATCTGCCGGGCCGCTTCTACCGCTGCAGGTGGGGGCTGGGCAGGGGGAGGGGGGGCCGGCACCTGGTTGGCGGGCTTCCCTGTGGACACTGTTGTAGGAGGCTGAGTCCGGGCCACACTGGGGAAGCCGGCTGGTGACATGCTCACTGGCGAGGGCTGGGGCTGGGGCGGGGGCTGTGGCGTCTGGGGCGTGCTGGGCTGCTGTGTGGGGGTTCCAGGCGGTGCTGAGGTAGGAGAAGGCAAACTCTGCTGAGGCACATTGCGGGTGTTCATCGTGGCCATCCGCCGGCGCATGAGCTGGGCCTGCTGCAGACGGTGCTGGATCTGCTGCTGGCGGAGCTTGTGTTTGATGTTGAGGCAGAAGGGCACAGGGCATTTGTTTTCTTGGCAGTGCTTGGCGTGGTAGCAGCAGAGGGCGATGAGCTGCTTGCACACGGGGCAGCCCCCGTTGGTCTTGCGCTTGCAGCCCTTGGTGTGCTGCACCACCCGCTTCATCTTCTGGCAGGACGGCAGCGAGCAGTTGGCGTTGCGGCACTGGCAGGCGTGCACCAGGGACTGGATGCAGCGCTGGATGCTCAGGCGCCGGGATTCCTGGGGGCTCTTGGACTGTGGCTCGCCCTGGCTGCTGCCCTCATCGTCTAGGCCCAGGCCCCACTTCACCATCTTGTGGGTGTGACTCTTGGTGTTGTAGCAGTTGATACAAAGGTCATAGTCCTGCAGACAAGCAAAAGGAACGGTCAGCAGAAGCACAGGCCCAGCAAGAGTGGTCTGAACTCGGGCCCAAGCCTGCACATGCTTGAACGTAATGTCTGCTAAAGTTTCCAGGCAAAGGACCGGGGCCTCTTCCTTCCTTGCTTCCTCTGCTATGAGAAAAGCATCAGGACTCTGCCCCATCTCTCCAACAACCACAAAATCCAGTGTAGGAGGCCCAGTACGTGAAGAGGGAGAGACGCTACAGCCATTCTTCCTAAGCACACCAGGGCATGTGGACTTCATTCCCAAAAGAAAGGGTACACAGTACGCATGGTCTATATTGCACAAGCTAGTTACATGAGCCCAAGCATCTAAGAAATGCTTGCACCTGGAAATTGAGAATGAGTTTGGAGCCCTAGAATTGGGACTGAAAACCTTGCTCACAGAAAAACAAAGAATCTAGCACCAGCAAATTATAAAATGGAGAAGGCTGGGGGGAGAAAAGCATTTTAAAGTGGGTGAAGCTGGGTGCTGGTGGCTCCCGCCTATAATCTTAACTACTCAGGAGGCTGAGATCTGAGGATTGCGGTTCAAAGCCAACCCAGGCATGAGACTCTTACATCTCCAATTAACCACCAGAAAACCAGAAGTGATGCTGTGGCTCAAGTAGAGCTAGCCTTGAGTTGAAGAGCTCAGGGACAGCACCCAGGCTCAGAATTCAAGCCTCACAAACAAGCCAAAAAAAAAAAAAAAGGGAAAAAGAGAAGGCCACAGAGAAAGAGGAGCAGAATTTAGTCTGTCCAGAACAGAAAAGCCCAACACATATCAAAGCCAGTTGACCTCAGCAGAAGCTAGCAATCCAGCCCTTGGGACTCCATTGTGAGTGAATGAAAGGACTAAGACCTGGACCAAAGGTGTGTGACATGCCACTGGGATACAGGGCACCCTGACCCTGAGCTGGGTCACAGGAGAAGGTGAACAGGCAGAAATTCCCAAAGAAGCAGTATTTCAGCAACCCCCTCTGCACCTGCTCCACAGAGTGCGCCTGTGGGTCCCTATAGTCAGACTGCCTCAGCTCAGGGCAGCCAAGCCAGATAAGAGCAGGGACAAAGACAACAGAGCTTCTGCCTCCTGCTTGGCTCCTTAACCTGAGAAGATCAGCACAAATTCTGCTGTGCAAAGATGCCAATTCTGCATCACGGTCATGGATGCTCTGTGGGAATCTGCACCGGTTGCAGATGTGGCAAGAAGGGAGGCCTACCTCACACACGGTACAGTGCCAGCGTGTTTCCACGTGGTGTTTGCACTCGTTGCACGTGTAGACGAAGCGGTCCTGACCCTGGGTGTGCAGCTCCACCAGCATGCACAACGTGGACCACTTGGAGCGGCGCAAGGAAGAGAACTCCCAGTGTTTGTCTCTGGCCAGGGTGAGGAAGGCATCACGTCCATCCATTAGGTCGCAGCTGAGCAGGGGGTCAGGGTCCACGATGGGGGGCAGGGTGTTGATGACAGGCCCAGCATGCAGGTGAATCACAAAGAAGACCTGTAGAGAGGAGGTGCATTAACTCCAAGGGGGTCAGTGCAGGACAGGGCCACTTCTGCCTGTGGAACAGGAGGGTGGCTGAGCCTGACACCAGCCTGAGGCCCAGGCTCCCCCTGGCTGTATCCACGTCACATGGTATTACCACACTGGCCAGTTCTGGCTTCTAGCTTCCCGGTGGTCCTCTCTCCACCACACACCCACACAAGGGGCCAAAGGAAAGCCATCTTTGTGCCTTCTGCCTCCTCCTGGGCCCAAAGGAGCCCAGCACCTCCTACCCAGCCTGCATGGTTACCTCCTTGTGCTTCTCCATGGTGGCATAGAGCTTCTGGGACAGGTCATTTGACACATTGGGCATACTGGGCTTCTTCTTGTTTGCACGGCTAATGCTGCTTTTATTCTTGTTGGTCTTCTTGTTGTTCTTTTTCTTGGCATTCTTGCTGTCACCCTGACTTCCCTGCAATCACATGCAAGACTGTCAGACAAATGTGCAGATCCCATGCTGCGAGGTGCCAGTGAACCAGCCTAAGTCAAGGAACTTCCAGGTAGACTGCACCTGCACCCAGGCCAGACGTTACCTTCAGAAGGCGTCTAAGGAAAGGTGAGAGGGCGGAAGCAGAGTCTATACTTGTATGTCATGTTGCCTTCCCTCTCAAGGGAAAGAATACCCAAGATGCTGGTGTCTTAACAAATGGAAGGCAGCAAAATTCTTTCATTGCTCTGTTGTTCCACTGGATACTACACATGCTATGTCCTGTAGCTTTTTCTCTGTCTTGAAGAGGGACCTGAATATACACGATGGGCGCATGTGTCCAACAGAAGGCACAGGAAAGATGTGCATAGAGAAAAGCTGTGCTGTGACTCTCTAGGTTCCCCTCAAGAACTACCCCAGGCAGGACACCTTCAGGAACCTGTTTTCCTGCTAAGTCTGCAGGAAAGTCTGTTAGTGCTCCAATTACTGGGCTAAGTCTAAGAGGGCTCACATTTCAGGCCAAATGCTCTGATGTTCCTATCTCTGCAAAGAGTTAGGAATTTGGGGGAGAAGAGCTAACCAGATCTATTTCAGCCCAGGCAGGAAAGTCGGTGAGACTCTTCAATGAACCACCAGAAAACTGGAAGTGGTGCTGTGGCTCAAAATGGTAGAGTGTTAGCCTTGAGCAAAAGAGCTCAGGGACAGCACCAAGGCCCTGAGTTCAAGCCCCATAACAACCCCCTTGCCCTAAAAAAAGTTGTTTTTTTTTCTGGGTACAGAATGGGGGTGGGGGAAGAGGACAGCACTGGAAGTTGAACTCAGGATCTCACCTTTACATTGCTAGCTCTTTCTACATGGGTCACCATTTCGGCTCTGCCTTTGTTTTTTTTTGCACTGGCTGGTTTCAAACCTTGGTTCTCAGATCTCAGCTTCCTGAACAGCTAGGATTACAAATGTGAGCCACCAATACCCAGCACCCTCAATTTTTTTTTTTCTCATTTGGAACAATAGCCCTTTTCCCTTGGAATTTTACCTATGGATATTTGTCTTTGTGATGCCCCCCACCCCTCAAAGTTAAAGTTACACACATGAAGTTACAGCATCTTCACACTTAAAAAAGACTACTAGAAGCTTTCCCCATTTCTGTGAAATTGAGAATGACTTTTTTTTTCCTTTTGGTGCTGGTCCTGGGGCTTGAACTCAGGGCCTGGGTGCTATCCCTCTAAGATTTTGTACTCAAGGCTAACGGTTGAGCGACAGCTCTGATTCTGGCTTTTTGGTAGTTAAGGCTGCCCAGGCTGGGTATCTGGGTATTCTGGCTGAATCACAATCCTCACATCTCAGCCCTCCTGAGTTATAGGTGTGAGCAACAGGCTCTCAACAAGTATCTGATTTTTAATAGAACAGGAGCATTCCTTTTGTCCCAAAGTTAACCCTGAGTCCTAGGTGTCTCTGAGGAAAGCACATCTTTGCCCACATCTAATTGGACACACACACACACACACACACACACACACACACACACACACACACACGAACAAGTCTCCCTGCCAACTTCTTTGTATCCTGCCTTCTGAACAACCACATATAACCAAGTTCCTGTGCACAGCCAGGGCCAGCTGGGGCACCAGTCCCTTTCTTCCAATGGAGACCAAGTGTTGTCTCACCAGCAGTGTAACCTAAGGTACACAGTGTGTGTGACATGAGGCTTCTGATGCTACACTACATTGCTACCAACTCCAGCCCAGCCAAGTCTCATCCATCAATCTCTTTGGAGGTATTACCAAGCATTTCAATGGTAGTATGTCCTCAGCCCATTCTTGTTTTTGGTCAGTCGTGGGGCTTGAACTTTGGGCTTGGCACTGTCCCTGCGCTCTTCAGCTCAAGGCAAGCACTCTACCGCTTGAGCTACAGCGCCACTTCTGGTTTTCTAGTGGTTTATTAGAGATAAGAGTCTCATGGACTTTCCTGCCCAGGTTGGCTTTGAACTGTGATCCTCAGATCTCAGCCTTCTGAGTAGCTAGGATTATAGATGTGAGCCACCAGTGCTGGCAGCCTCTCCAAGACTACAGTAGTGGCAGTAGCAACACAGTGATTTCAACCATATATGAGGCTGCTTTAGTTCATGGTTTTTCCTCATATGCTGCCACAAAGACTGCTTCCAAGTTTTGGGACTGCTACCCTCAAAAATTCACTGTAGACCTGCACTGCATTTACAGCTACAACCCAATCTCTACCACCATCCTCTCCTACTCAATGCTTTGCAATCCCAACATAACAACAGGAAGGTTTCCCCTATATTTTTGGTAGGGATGGGATGGGTGCTGTCTCTCTCACCAGCACCTCTGACAGTGCCCTAGACCTCTCTGCTCCTCAGAACTAGCCCACCATCAGAAAAGCCCAGTGTGCAACTACCTATCCCTTCCAATTACTCTTCCTAGAACATAATCCCGGCAGGGGTTCAGTCTGCATGTCTGGAATACATGGACACTTATCAGTGAACAAGCTGAGTATAAGGCACAAAAAACAGAGGCTGGGAAAGTAGCTCAGTGGTAAAGTGCTTGCTTTAAAAGATGCATGAGGCCCTGGGTACTATTCCTCAGCACCACATAAGCAGAAAAAACCAGAAGTGGCGCTGTGGCTCAAGTGGTAGAGTGCTAGCCTTTAGCTGAAGAGCTGAGGGACAGCGCCCAGGCCCAGAGTTCAGGCCCACGAACAACAACAACAAAAAAAAAAAAAAAAAAAGAGGAGGAGGAGCTGCCACAAAAGCCAAGAATAAAGCATGGCAACAGAGGGCCTCCTGCATAAATAACTTGTGCCTACCTCTGTGCCCAGATAGGATCCCTTCCCCTGGCTTTCCTTCCCTTTCCCCCACACTGTCCAGGGAAAATGCCCTTAACCAAGCCCCCAGGCCCACTTTCTGCTGTGACAACCTGACAATGCGGAGAAAGAACCTAGTGACGTGCACTCTCTTCCCAGTCTGCCACCCCTGCATGGCCTGGGCTGCCCCCCACAGCGCTAGGAAGAAGCAGTAGGGAGACTTGGGGGGAGCTTGCACCTCAGGGGTCTCGCTAGCTGCAGTGCTCTCCTCTTTTTTCCTCTCTTCTTCTTCTTGTTCTAGCTCCTTGATGCTCTCTTCCAACACATTGGGCCAGAAATCTCCTTCAAAATATGGCAGTTCCTTGGCACTTGTAAGCCTGTCTTCATTTGCCTGCTTGAGTATGTCCTGGGAGAAAGCAAAGCACCGAGGTGAGACGAGTATCCACAGGTTCCTGGAGATCCTACCCACGGGCCACCAGCTCCAGTGCACGCACTGATGGTGCTGCTCCAATCGATGGCATAAATGCTTCTCCATTTTCTTTTTTCTGCAGAGCTGAAGACCAAACTTAGGGCCTTGTACTGTCTGCACAAGTACTAAATCCCCAACCCTTCCATTTTCACTCTAGGTTTAGGCTTCTGCCTAAACTTAAGCCACTTTCAGCTTTTTGAGTCTCACAGACTTTTCTGCTGAGGCTGGCTTCAAACTGTGGTCCTCAGATCTCAGCCTTTTGAGTAGCTAGGATTACAGGTATGAGCCACCAGCCCAGTGGTTTTTGATTTCTAATCCCTGTAGATGAATCTAATTATAAAGCATGTGACAGCAAGAGAAAAACACACAGATGTCTACTTAGCTGCAAAAAGCCATGCTCCTTTGGTATGGAGTACCTTGTAGTCATGAATGATCCGCTCTGCAAATGCTTTGTCCAGCATCTTCTTGTACCACTCCTGTAGTCGTTTTGGTTTTGGGATTTTTTGATCAGGGGGGTGACAGTGGAAGATGTAGTCATCTCCTTCACTTGGGGGACAGGCCCATATGTGCCCTGTTACATACCTATAGGACAAACACACAAGTCAGAAGTATCAATGAATTGTGCTTTACTTTCAAGGAATTACAGCTGAAGAACAGAAGCCAAACACAGGACAGAAATATGAGGAAAAAAGAAAACAAGGGTTTCAAACCAGTAGAATTTGTGTGTGTGTGTGGGGGGGGGGGGGGGGGGAGGGTTGGTCCTGGGGCTTGAACTCAGGGCCTGGGTGCTGTCCCTCAGCTCTTTAGCTCAAGGTGAGCACTCTACCACTTGAGCCACAGCACTACTTCCGGTTTTCTGGTGGGTTTTATTGGAGATCACAGTCTCACAGACTTGCCTGCCCGGGCTGGCATTGAACCGTGATCCTCAGATCTCAGCCTCCTGAGTAGGTAGGATTACAGGTGTGAGCCACTGATGCCCAGCTCAATATAAATTTTTATTGCTTTCAACTTTAACCCTGGCAACTAGCTGAAGTATTTTGCTCTCAAAAGTGCACACACAACTGGGAAGTTGGCTCAGTGGTAGAGTGCTTGCCTTGCGTGCACGAGGCCTTGGGTTTGATTCCTCAGCACCACATAAGCAGAAAAAAGCCGAAGTGGTGCTGTGGCTCAAGTGGTAGGGAGCCTTGAGCAGAAGAGCTGAGGGACAGCGCCCCAGGCCTAGAGTTCAGGCCTCATGACTGAAAAAAAAAAAAAAAAAAAAAAGTAAAAATTAGCCGGGCACTGGTGGCTCACGCCTGTAATCCTAGCTACTCAGGAGTCTGAGATCTGAGGATCACGGTTCAAAGCCAGCCCAGGCTGGAAAGTCTGTGAGACTCTTATCTCCAATAAACCACTAGAAAACTGAAGTGGCGCTGTGGCTCAAGTGGTAGAACATTCGCCTTGAGCTGAAGAGCACAAGGACAGTAGCCAAGCCCAGAGTTCAAGCCCCACAACTGACCAAAAATAAATAAATAAATAAATAAAAGTGCACACAGGTTGGGGTTGACATGAGAGATGACCCCTGACCTCATCAAAGAGCCTGTGAACTAACCCACTGGCTCAGCAAGGCAACACAAGGAAGTGCTGTCTAAGTGAAGCGCTGAATTTCTTCCTGATTTCCTCCTGTACATTGGAAAAACAGTTCCATTGAATATCTGTCTTTTGAGGGTTAACAAGAAATCTCATTCACTCTGTTCAAGACACTTTGATCAAATATAACACATTTTCATATTTGAGAAAGGAATGCAACTCATTTGCAGCTTATACTGTATCTTCCCAGGACTGGGCATAAGTTGGTCTGTATTTGGAGAGGGTCTCTCAGGGAACGTCTGATCTTTATGTTAGAAATAAAAATACATAAAACTTCAAGTGAAGGGCTGGGAATATGGCTTAGTGGTAGAGTGTTTGCCTAGCATGCATGAAGCCCAGGGTTTGATTTCTCAGTATCACATACACAAAAAAAGCTGGAAGTAGCACTGTGGCTCAAGTGATAGAGTGCTAGGGGACAGTGTCCAGGCTCTGAGTTCAAGCCCTAGGACTGGCAAAAACCAAAACCAAAACCAAAACCGAAACCGAAACCGAAACCAACCAACTTAAAACCAAAACCAAACCCCCAACAAAATCCTTTAAGTGAAAAGACTACCACACACACACACACACACACACAGACACACACACACCACCCCTTATTCCATAAAATAAACACAGAGAAAAAGATAGTATAACTTACCCCAATTTCTTCACATATTCCAGGTATCCAATAAGGATCTCATGGTAAACGGCTGTCCGGAGGCAACGTGGCCGGAAGAAATGAATACTGTCCAGATAAGATATGTACACACGCCTGGAGGTGGGGTAGAGGTATCACTTTTAATACACAGTATCTTTCAAACTTGAAACCAAATACCAGCATCCAAACTGCCACCAGAAATAAGTTTTGATAATGGTTATAGTGGCCACCCAACAGGAAGTGATAAAACCCCAATCACAGTCCCATCCACCAACCAAGTTAACAGCAATCATTTTGTTGGCCACAGAATGGCCCAACATACTCCTAAGATAGCCAAAGGAAGGCTCAGGGAAAATGGGAGAAAAGTCACTTCCAGGAACCTTTCACCTCTATTTTGGATGGAACCTGAACAGGGTAGAAATATTACTTGAACAAGTTCATCCAGCTGTCCCACCCCCATGTCTGTTCCCTATAGTAATATGCTTTGATAACACAAAGCAAGACTAAAGCCACATATACTCAGAGCAGAAACGTGTCATTAAGACCCTTTATCAAGCTGGGTGCTGGGGGCTTATACCTGTAATCCTAGCAACTCAGGAGGCTGAGATCTGAGGATCGCAGTTCAAAGCCAGCCCGGGCAATGAACTTCTGTGAGCTCTTATCTCCAATTTACCACCAGAAAACTAGAAGTGGTGCTGTGGCTCAAGTGGTAGAGTGCTCTCCTTGAGCTGAAGAGCTGAGGGACAGGGCTCAAGCTCAGAGTTCAAGCCCCACAACTGACCAAAAAAAAAAAAGACCCTTCATTTCCCATTCAGTCAATGGTTAGTTAATTGTGGCTTACTTTAGTAATGAAGAATAAAGTATACAGTTCCTCTAAAATCCCTAAGCTTTGGTCTGTTCATTCCCAAGAAACTGAATGACATGCACTCAGAAGAGTGATAGACTACTACCTTGTATTTGGTGGGGGACAATCAGAGCCATATTCCTGCACGTGCATTCCAAAAAAGCACACATCCACTCCATCAATTTCCTCAAAAGCAAAAAGTGCTTTGGTTCGATATGGGAAAGATTCCGACATTTCCCCTGAATCCACAAACCTGAAATGAAATGCAGAGAAAGGGTTGAAATGTCATTGTTTAAAGGTATAGAATTACTACGGCTCCGTCACTTCTTGGGATGATGACCAGAGTGCAGACTCAGAGCTGTGCTCCAGTTCTTCCTCATTCTCAGACCTGGGAACCATACGTTCAGGCTGGCTGCATGTGCTAAATGCCATGAAGCCGACTTAGCCCTGCAGAGATGGGTACGGGGGATTGTTCCCCCTGCATTCTAAGAAGAGAGCACACAAACCGTGACTTCATCCCAGGCTTGACCTCCACAGTCTTGTCTGAGCTGGCGACTACTCTGACAAAAACTTCTCCGGCTTCAGGATGATTCTGACGTCGCAAAAACTTGTTCACTCGGTCTTCCAAGTGGTTTCCTAATCGTGTGGTCTGCAGTCCTAGGAAGTCCGGAAGTAGGGAGGAGGCTTAGAAAGGGATGCGGGAACTTGGACCCCAATCTTTCTGCACAGTGCCTTTTTCAAGAACTATTCAAGAACTATTTATGAAAGAAGTGGACTATGGGATCCCGGACACTTTGCCTCTGAGAACAAAATGTCTGCCCAGATTTACCTTTTTCTTATTTTTTATTTTGTTGTGTGTGTGGTCTTGAGGCTTGAACTCAGGGCCTTGTGCTCATGGCTGGCACTCACTCTACCACCTGACCCATGCCTCTAGTTCCTTTCCTGTCTTTTTCCCAGATCTGGCAATCTTGTAAGACTAGGCCAGAGGAAAGCAGGCTGTGCCCTCCTCCTCCCTGCCTTTTGCTTTTGACCCCAGGACCTGGCAGGCTGGGAAGCAGCCTCTGAAAGAACAAGTCTTCTTTGTTCTATAGGGCTGGGAAGGTGGCTCAGTGGTAGAATGCTTGCTTCACATGCATGAGGCCCTGGGTTTGATTCTTCAGCACCACATATGCAGAAAAAGCCGGAAGTGGCACTGTGGCTCAAGTGGTAGAGCGCTAGCCTTGAGCTGAAGAGCTGAGGGGCAGCGCCCAGGCCTAGAGTTCAAGCCCCACCACTGGAAAAAAAAAAAAAAAAAAAGACTTGTTCTAGCTCTGCTTGGGTAAGTAAAAGACTCTATGGGGCAGGCCAGTTTCCCAACTGTCTCCCACAAATGTCACTGGCTTCCCATTACAGAACTATACTTTAGAAGCTCTAACAGTAACAGGTCATGGTACACCCTCTGGGAGACAGCTTAAGTGCAATTCACAACAGAGTCACCTCCTAGCACTGACTAGCCTAAAACAGCAAAGAACATTCCAGGGCCAACAAATCAAGCACCAGCTTAAAAACTACTTGTGGCTTTTGCTTTGTTTTTTTGGTCATGGGGCTTGAACTCTGGGCCTGGGTGCTGTCCCTCAGCTCTTCAGCTCAGGGCATGTGTTCTATCACTTGAGCCGCAGAGCCACTTCTGGTTTTCTGAGTAGTTTATTGGAGATAAGAGTCTCACAGCTTTTCTGGGCTGGCTTTGAGCTACTATCCTCAGATCTCAGCCTCCTGAATAGCTAGGATGACAGGCGTGAGCTCGGCTACTTGTGGCTTTATGAGCACACCAGTCACCTGGAGAGAGGCCGAAAAGACTAAGGATCAGTCTCAGCCAGTTTCAGATGGCTTGTCCTATCTAGGGACAGCCGCAGGTAACCATGACAAGTGTTAACAGAGGGTTAACACATTAGTCACAGCCCAGTGCAGGTGGCTCATGCCTGTCATCCCAGCTACTCAGGAGGCTGAGATCTGAGGATCGCAGTTCAAAGCCAGCCAGGGCAGGAAAGCCCGTGAGACTCTCATCTCCAATTAACTACCAGGTCAGAACCCAGGCCCAGAGTTTGAGCCCCACGAACAACAAAACACCCCCTACCCTCCCCCCCACAAAAAAAAGTTAGCCACAGTACGGAGAACTCCTATACAAGGGAAAGACTAGATGGATTTTTTTTTGGGGGGGGGGGGGGGGAAAGAGATGTGTATGTGTATATGAGAGAGAGAGAGAGGGGTTTGAACTCAGCGTCTCATGTTTGCTAGACTGTGGCTCTACCATTTGAGCCATGCCTCAAATCCTGTTTTTGCTGTTTATTTTTGAGATAGGGTCTCATTTCCCACTTCAGTGTGCATATCTGAGTCAGCATTTGCCTATTTTAGGCTTTCCGTCATTTCTTAGACCGACGTCATGATGTACAGATTCTCTGGCTGTGGGAAGAAGTCTCACATGCTTTTCTGCCCAGGACAGCCTAGAACATCGATCCTCCCGATCCCAGACTCTCACATAGGTTTGAGATGACAAGATAAGCACTACTGAAACCAGCAACAGGTTTGAAGGGATCTCTTGAACTTTTCTGCCCAGGTTATCCTGGAACCATTTCCTGGATCTCAGCCTCCTAAGTAACAGATTACATATGTAAGGCATCAGTGCTTGGAGTGAGATGCAATTTTTTTTGGCTGGTCATGGGGCTTGAATTCTGAGCCTGGGCGCTGTCCCTTAGCTTTTCAGCTCAAGGCTAGCGTACTACCACTTGAACCACAGCACTACTTCCAGCTTTTACTGCTTATGTGGTGCTGAGGAATCAAACCCAGGGCCTCATGCATGCAAGGCAAGCGCTCTACCACTGAGCCACCTTCCCAGCCCGAGATGGAATTTTTTAATGGCCTCAAACACAGTAATGAAATTTTGAATAGACTTTAAAAGTAGTTTTCTTCGTTATTCACTTTAAATTTTTTTCTACCTTAATGAGGAATATAAGAAGTAAATTTGGCTGGGAATGTGGCTTAATGGAAGAGTGCTTGCCTAGCATGCATGAAGCCCTGGGTTCGATTCCTCAACAACACATAAACAGAAAAAGCCAGAAGTGGCACTGTGGCTCAAGTGGTAGAGCGCTAGCCTTGAGCAAAAGAAGCTCAGGGACAGTGCCCAGGCCCTGAGTTCAAGCCCCATGACTGGAGGGGGGGAAAAAAAAAGGTAAATTTATTTGGGATTTTAGAAGACTCCTAGTTCCTTTAAACAAATCTAGATTTCATTTTTCTGTAATCATGGTGCTTTCCTGGGGAGTACATATTCCATTAATAAAGGAGATAAAAACAACTTATAGAAAAATTATCTGTAAGCGTATCAAAATAAAGTGATGGACACCGGCATGTGCCAGGCTAGGTAACCATTCCGAGAAGCACAGATGTGGGTGCACAGGGTCTCATGGGGGCACACATCACCTCTGTGCTGAAACCCCTGAAGAAAATCTTCAAGTTCCCTTTAAGAAGTGGTTTCCAAGCCTGGCAGTGGTGGCTTACATCTGTAATCTTAGCTAAAGAGGAGGCTGAGATCTGAAGATGACAGTTCCAAACCATCCTGGGCAAAAAAAATTCATGTAGCTCTTATCTCCAATAAACTACTTAGAAAAAGCTGGAAGTGGTACTATGGCTCAACCTTGAGCAAAAGAAGCTCAGGGGCAGTGCCTAGGTCCTGAGTTCAAGCCCCAGGACTAGCAAAAAATAAATAAATAAATAAATAAATAAAAGTGGTTTCCAATTCAGATCCATGGCAGTCCTCCTGGGGCCCTGAAGCCACAGTACTTTCATCTGTGTGGGGCTTGACTTCCTTACAGTTTACCTTCAAAGCTTTCATTCAAAATACGGAAAATGATCATACAAGCTGGCTTTCATGTAAGGATCCAAATGATTTAACCCGAAAGAAAACAACTTCTAGGTGAAAGCCTTCGATAACTAAGCTCAAACCACATGTTGAGAGGTACCAAAAGAAGACAGAAAAATCTATACAAGTTTTAAGATGCACAGTCCAAGAAACAGAAAGCTTCTATGAACTTACTCTTAGCACTAAATTTGTTTTCTTTTCGAGGTCTGCCAGTTTTCTTCAAGCAGTTGTCACACACAAAGCTGCAAAACAAATAATGGGTATGATCAGATTATATACTCCACAGTGTCTGTTGCCACACCAATGCCACATTAAAATATTTCACTGGCAATTAAATAAATTACATTATTGTAAAAAGAGTGAAAAGCCAGACAGCTTTGATCCTGCAATTTTTCTTTTTTCTTTTTTTGTTTGTTTTTTTGGGTCCGGTCATGGGGCCTGAACTCTGGGCCTGGGCGCTGTCCCTCAGCTCTTCAGTTCAAGGCTAGCGCTTTACTACTTGAGCCACGGCGCCACTTCCGGCTTTTTTCTTTTTGCTTATGTGGTGCTGAGGAATCGAACCCAGGGCCTCTGGCATGCTAGGCAAGCGCTCTACCACTGAGCCACCTTCCCAGCCCCAGATCCTGCAATTTCTAAAGCAAGCAAACACTTAAGATTTAAATTTAGAACCAACTGCCATCTTCCTTAATTGCTGAATTCTTTTTTTTTTTGGTCAGTCATGGGGCCTGTACACTGGGCCTGGGCGCTGTCCCTCAGCTCTTCAGCTCAAGGCTAGCGCTCTACCACTAGAGCCACAGTGCCACTTCCAGCTTTTTTTTTCTGCTTATGTGGTGCTGAGGAATCAAACCCACGGCCTCATGCATGCAAGGCAAGCCACTTTCCCAGTCCTAATTGCTGAATTCTTGCTGACAACAATGAACAAGACACAGCCACCATCGACACCTTGTCTGTGGTTCTGTGCTGAACAGCTCTCCTTTCCCCTGGGATCCCAGGAAAGTTAACTCACCCTGAAGGCCAAATGATGTCATAGTGCAAAACACAAATCTGATGCATCTTCCGACCACACTCTTTACAATCGACAAAACTGGAAGACAAGAAAGTGCCGTCTTACACAGTGTCACACAGATGCAAGTCTATGCAAGAACTTGAATATTCTCTGGGTCACTTTTTCTTTGGGGGTTAGTTGGAGATAAGAGGCTCAGAGACTTTTCTGCCTGGGATGGCTTTGAATTGCAATCCTCAAATGTCAGCCTCCTGAGTAGGTATGGTTACAGGCTTGAGCCACCAGCACCCAGCTCTGGGTCACTCTTGACTACCTCTGACATTTACTATTTCTCTACAAAAAGAGGTCAAGACAATTTCTATAGAAAGAAATATCGATTTTCCTTTCTGTTTTTTTGGAGACAGGGTCTTGTTATGTAGCCCAGGCTGGCCCTGAACTTGTTATCCTACCGCTACACTTCCCAAGTGCTGAGGTTACACGCATGTACCACCAAGCACCGCCAGTCTTTCTCTTTATTTGTACAATTGCTTAATCCTCCCCCACCCCCAATCTCTCTTGCAACCAGTAGCAAAAGTTTACTTTTGGTGCCACTCCTGGGGCTGGTGTTGTCCCTAAGCCTTATCTATCTGCTCAAGGCTGGTGCTCTACCACTTGAACCACAGGTCCACTTCCGGCTTTCTGGAGATAAGAGTCCCATGGACTTTGCTGCCCAGGCTGGCTTTGAACTATGATCCCAGATCTCAGCTTCCTTAGTAGCTAGGATTACAGGCATAAGCCACCTGTACCCTGCTATCATTGCAATTTTTAAACTTTCACAGCCAGGAACCAGAGGCTTCGTCCTGTAATTCTAGCTACCCTGGAAGCTAAGATCTGAGAGGCTGTGAGACTCTTTTTGTCTGTTGTGGGGTTTGAACTCTGGGCTTGGGCACTATCCCTCAACTCTTTAGCTCAAGGCAAGCACACTACTTCTTGAGCCACAGCGCTACTTCCAGTTTTCTAGTGGTTTATTGGAGATAAGAGTCTCATGGACTTTCCTGCCTGGGCTGGCTTTGAACCGTGATCCTCAGATCTCAGCCTCCTGAGTAGCTAGGATTACAGGATGACTGACCAAAAAAAAAAAAAAGCCTGGAAGTGGATCTGTGGCTTGAGTAGTAGAACATCAGCCTTGAGCACAAAAGATAAAGGACAGCTCCTAGGCCTTAAATTCAAGCTCCAGGACAGCAACAGCCACACACACACACACACACACACACACACACACACACACACACACACACACACACACACACACACACACACACACACACACACACACACACACACACACACACACACACACACACACACACACACACACACACACACACACACACACACAATTTTACTGATAGCTGGTGCTAGTGGCACACGCCTGTAATCCTAGTTACTCAGAAGGCTAAAATCTGAGGATCATGGTTCAGAGCCAGATTGGCCCTAAAAAACTCTTTCTTGTTCAAGGCAGTGCCTGGGCCATGAGTTCAAACCAGGACTGGCGCCCCTAAAAAAGCAAATAAAAAATTACTGTAATGAAGGTATATTTCACAGTCCAGGAATTCTGATCTTACTACACATTCTTTTTTTTTTTTTGGGGTCCGGTCGTGGGGCCTGAACTCTGGGCCTGGGCGCTGTCCCTCAGCTCTTCAGCTCAAGGCTAGCGCTCTACCACTTGTGCCACAGTGCCACTTCCGGCTTTTTTCTTATATGGTGCTGAGGAATCGAACCCAGGGCCTCATGCATGCAAGGCAAGCGCTCTACCACTGAGCCACCTTCCCAGCCCCCTTACTACACATTCTTAAGTCCCATACTTTCTCTAGGTGATTTCACACAGAGTGACTCAGGAGACACAGAACAATTCCTTCTGTGTTATAACCACGTGCTCTTATCTCTCAATTATTTTTAGGAAACAGACAAAAAGCTGACAGGTAATGACAGCCCCATCAGGCCTGAGGCACAGGAAACAAATGCCTGATCCAAGTCACAGAAGGTGGATGGCATATTTGAATACAGTGGTGCAGCAGGAAAGGGCCTATATACTCCCACAGAACCATTCTCTATACTGCTCTGTACAGCACAACAGCCCACAACTGGGTTCCATGCCGCCAGGAGCTGCCAGAGACCCCACCATGTCAAGAAACTAAGGAAGTCAAACTTTCAACACGTTTGGCTCACTGACTTACCCCCACTGTAACATCTTGGGGAGGCTTAGGGCACCAGAAAATATTGTGGCTCAAAGTCTTCTGTCATATGACCCAAGCTCTTGCTAGTAATTACTGTCTAGTGGGACTATACACGCTGTCCAAGCCTACAGTCACGATGTTCCTTAACCCAACTGCTGTCTTTGTTCATGTGGAAGGAAGAGAAGACACCCAACACTGAATATCATGTGTCCTTTCATTCCTTTATGTCTAGAATGTTGTCCTTCTCCCTAGCAACTGCTTCTAAAGGAGTGTCACCTTTTCCAGGAAGCCGAGTGGTGATACTACTTGCCTATGCTAGGGACCTTCATCTCTAGACCCTCATCTCTAGAAACACTCATGCTGTGCTTCCTGTTGTCTGCCCTGATTCATCTGTCACTCCTATCAGACCAAAGGAACCTCTTTATTCTGCTGCTTGGCATCCAATATGTGAATATATTTGAAACTGAAAAGTGAACGTAAGACACTAACAAGCCATGCAAGGGAAGAAGATAATGTAAAAAGAGGTGGAAAATCCAGAACAATCCTCAGGTTTATTAAAGGTGCAAGTGGGTACTTGGGAACGTCTCCATAAGGGCTAACATTTCACAAGTTGTTTAACGTAATCATGCACCTGGACTCCAGCAATAGTGAAGACAAAACTAGGCTTCCAAATATAGCCTGTGGGGATGCAGTCTTTTCTACAGCACTTGACCTCTGCAGAGCAAGGAAGCTGGACGTCAAGGGCGGGCAGGGCCTCCTTCTAAGCCTTGGGCGTACCTCAAATGTCTCAATCCATATTTCCCAGACAGCCACTATAGCTGGTGCCTGTACTCACTAAGCAGCAGCCCCAGACAGATGTCTATTTTCAGAGCAGAAAACAGTGGGTATCACTAGGCCCTAGTCTTTCCAGAAGCTCAAACTTTAGAAATGTAACATTCTCATCACCAAAAAATGGCGGCAAGGACACGGACTCATATTTTGTGTTTTTAGGAAGTGTTTTCTTTCTGACACGTCCCGGGAAAGGACATCAGCTGTAGAGAAGCCTGTGGCCCCTCTACAGAAATTCTAGAGAGGTTCAATGAAACCAAGACACCGATTTAAGCTTTCCATTGTTAAAATAATTGGAGAATATGTAACAGAGATATCTATATTTGAATTTAAAAAAAATCTATAAGACAACTTCACAAAAGAAATCCCTCAGGGTAATGTACTGTTACTGAATTCGCCTACAATCCCCGCATAAGGAGTAACTTTCCTGATCTGAAACCAAAATTAAAAGAATATATATATACTCACGGTTCAGGGTCTAAGGTGTCATTTTTCTTCTTTTCAAATTGATCCTTGGAAATTGTCCTTTTTATAATTAAAAAGAAAGGCAAATATAATCAGCTAAAATTTATTTGTTGAGTATAAATGGCTTGTTGGAATATTCTATAACTAGTTCTTTAGATAAATTATGATCAGCTGCAATCTAAAATATATGTAAATGACAATGAATATGTGTAATTCTACAGAAAGCACTACCAGTTATCACTCAATATATACGATTAGTTTATCACCCACATTCTTTCTTAGAAAACATCCAACTGCTACCAGGTTTACCAGATTTAATTAAGACTAGTCTATGCTAGCAAACTTGTTGAGATTCAATCATGTTCATTTTCACTTAAGTCTATATATAATGACTGATGACAGATACTGGCAAAACCACAATTAAGTTACAATATTTCACAGTATAGCAAGGTTCAACATATACTTAAGGATACTGTCCAAATGCTGAAAGGGCTGGGCTTTTAGGTTTATGTACTGTCTTTTTGTTATGATAGGTGTACATACGAATTACTTCTGATTTATAGAATTACAGAATTTAAAAAATCTTAACTGATACACAAACACATTAAAAGTTATATAAATTAATGGGGCAGGGAAATCATGTAATATTCAATATATGTACATTTTGCACATATATTAAATCAGGTTAGTATTTTTATCTCATCAAACATTCACCATTTCCTTGGGGTGAAAACTTTTTTAAAAAGTTTCAGAATGTGAACTTTTTTTTAGGAAATTTTTTTCTGGCCTTTTGAAGAATGTATGTAAATGTTAACTACAGCCACACCACAGCTTTTGCTCCTGTCTAATCATAACCTACTGGTTAACCACTCCCCACTCCTTCCCCGTACAATCTAGTTATTAATCACTTTTTTCTTTGGGGCGGGGGGTGCCAGTCCTGGGGCTTGAACTCTGGGCCTAGGTGCTGTCCCTGAGCTTCTCTTGCTCAAGGTGAGCGCTCTACCACTTAAGCCACAGCGCCACTTTTGGCTTTTTTGAGTTTATTGGCAGTAAGAGTCCCACAGACTTTCCAGCCTGGGTTGGCTTTGAACCATGATCCTCAAATCTCAGCCTCCTGAGTACCTAGGGTTACAGGTGTGAGCCACCAGTACCTGACTTTTATCGTATTATTAAACCAAGGAATAGAGATAACAAGAGAACTAAAAATAAATGGAATAAGCAGAACTTTAGTCTGTGGTCTGAATAATGGCAACCCAATGATAGCAGAAGTGCGCATAATGCTGACACCTCTGGGCCTGAGTCTTCCTGCCTTTGGGGCACAGTAACTTGTGGCCAGAAGCAATGGAGACTGGAGAAAACAGTCTGGAGAAAAGAGAGAACCACAAAACACTGGAAGGCTGAGGCAGATGTGGGCCGGTGGGCTTCTTGGGTGTTTTAAACATATAAATGAGTCAACCATTTGTGGTTTTCCAATTTCTTGCCATGCTCTCTGGGTATTCTACTGTCACAGGTAACTAACCGTAAGAGGCTAAGCATTGGGGAGAAAAGGTTAACTCAGTGCAGGATGAATTAAATCCATGCCTGTCCTAACTTGATTCAAGTAAGCAACAGTCCAACCACCAGTAAAGAAGAAATATTTGCACTTTAGGTCAGAAAACAGGGACAGTGAATCCTGGAATCATACTAACCTACATTAGCTTAGCCACTTAAAGGGATGGAGGTTTACAGTGGAGAAAAACTCCAAAATAAAGGATGGGGTATGAATACAAAACTCATTTTTAGCTACTGCCATTTCTGTGAGTAGTTGTCGGGTGTGCAGGGAAAAGTTTCGATTTTCTGCCATGAGTGGAGGACATCAGGAGAGAGCACTGTTTTATTCTATGGACGGGTTCGCGTGCGGCAGCGCAGGCTCCCCTGAAACTCACCGTCCTCTTGCCTCACCTTCCTGAGATGGAAGGCGAAAGAAATCTTTTTCTTACTTTTCTTTAAACATTTTTTTCGATGTTAACATAAAGGTGCTGTACAAAGGAGTTGCAGGCACGTAAGCCGCAGAGTCCATTTCTTTTGGGGCAATGTCACGCCCTCCCTCGCACTAACCTCTTCTGTGCGGCTGCGCTGGTCGTTTGAACTCTGGACCATGTGCTTGCTAGACAGGTTCCCTAACAACTGAGCTATATCCCACCCCCTTCACTACTTTATTTATTTATATATATGTCTTTTCTTTTTTCATACTGGGGATCAAACCCAGGACACTGTACTTGCAAGGAAAGCACTTTGGGAACAAGGTGTTGCATTTATGCTCAGACCAGACTGAACCAAGACTTTTCTATTTATAATTTCCAATTCTCCAATGGGAGTGACCTGTGTTACTCTTCCCAATTTTTTTTTTTTTGGGGTCCGGTCGTGGGGCCTAAACTCTGGGCCTGGGCGCTGTCCCTAAGCTCTTCTGCTCAAGGCTAGTGCTTTATCACTTGAGCCACAGCACCACTTCTGGCTTTTTTTTCTGCTCATGTGGTGCTGAGGGATCGAACCCAGGGCCTCATGCATGCAAGGCAAGCGCTCTACCACTGACTGAGCCACCTTCCCAGCCCACTCTTCTCAATTTTTTGATGGTTGAGATGAGGCCTTGTAAACTTTTTTCCTTTTGCCCAGGCTGGTCTAAAACCACTATCTTCCCAATATTAGCCTACCAAGTAGCTAAGAGACTACAGGGACTAGTTAAAATGCAATTTTTTAAAAAGACAGGAAATGTCGAGACAGAACACTGAATATAGTGGAGGTTATAGTACCTTTGCCTTGAATGGAGAAGAATGCAGAGGTGGCAGTGCTGTTTGGCTAAGGCACCTCTATCTTTGAGGATGTCTATACACATACCCCACACTTATATTAAATGTGCATATAGTTAATGTAAAAAACACTACACGAAAGTCACAGTGCTCTATTGGTTTACCCTTTAGTCATGGACAAGAGGGAAATATGACAAGATGGTACTTACGTCTGTGGTTGTGAAGGGTCGTCACCCAGGGTCACATTCTCGCCCTGGATCTCTGTGAAACACTTCTCACAGAAATGATACCTGTCAGCAAGAAGGCCATACTTGGGTGAACTGGTCCATCATAACACACAGCCACCCAAGCAACGAAGCCACCAATCAGAGCAGGGCAGAGCACCACGACGAAGGGGGGGCGTTGTTGGTTGATTGATGGGTCAGTGAGGACAATGAAAGGAACAGGAAGCAGGTGGGGAAGGGGAGGATTAGAGAACAGGGAGGGGAACAAATAGCACAGACATAGAGGTAAGACGCAAACACCAGACAACACAGAGCAGAAAGCCAAGGCAAAGCATTGATTAGCATTCGGTCTCACTGCACGCGTCACAGGCCATCATCACTAACAATGACAGGCTTGGTCCAACTCCAAGATGCGAATGTTCTCAAGGAGTTGTTAATACTACGATTGCATAGAGCCTAAATTTAGGAATCTCAATTTTGTTATAAAGTCAAATATAACGCCAGTGTTTGAGAAGGAAATTTTAACTTTGAACGAAACAGTCTGACAAAAAGCCTTTAAAAAGCAATTTAAACTGCAATAGCTTTATTTTTCAGAATGGAAATTTATGCTTCACAGCAATTCAGAGATTCTATTTCAGTATTAAGCCAGATCTTTAAATGTGGTAATGCTGAGTACTCAGAACTGGTTTTAATTTTTTCCTGTTATTTTTATCATGATAATCACTCAGTTAATTGTGTTACAATACAAATGAAACCAAATCCACATTCTAGACAAACACTTAACAGAAATGCAGTCAGGGTCAGAGACTTTCCAGCCATTTATTAATAAAAAATTATAGAGAAAAATTGATATATTGTAAAAGCAATATTGTATAAATAATACAATATATGCAAATCCATGAAAATCTAAAGGAGTGTTAAAATTAACTTCTAAGCTTTGATTTGAATTTTGGTACTGGGACCAATCATTAATCTTGTTTTTTTGTTTTTTTTTTGGCCAGTCCTGGGGCTTGAACTCAGGGTCTGGGTGCTGTCCCTGAACTTTTTTGCCCAAGGCTAGCACTCTACCACATGAGCCACAGCACCACTTCTGGCTTTTTCTATTTATATGGTACTGAGGAATTGAACCCAGGGCTTCATGCATGTGAGGCAAGCACTCTACCACTAAGCCACATTCCAGCCCCATTCATCAATTTTGAGATACTTAGTGAATGACTTTTCTGATTTGGTGACAATCCAAGTAAAGTAAATTTAGAGCTGATTTTTAAATGGCACAATCTGCATTTGAGAAATTATCCATCACCCCAATTTCTTACATGATAATAATATAGAGCCTGGGCTCATGCTGTTAAGTAAGAACAGTTAAAATAAAACTATTAAATGTTTGGAAAGGACATGAATGGGAAAAAAAAAAATCAACAAAAATGTAGGCAAATGCTGCATAAACAAGATGAGCACACAATACTGCAAACAAGCCGAATGAAGGTGAACTGCACAAGCAAGAAAGAGAAGCGCAAGGAAGCGACGGCAGCACAACAAAATGCGGTTTTAGTGCTCAAAACTATGGCTACAGGATGCTGAGAAGGATTAGTACTGCAGACACCAACAGGATGCAGAGCGCCACGCTGAGCCCCGTGCCACCCCAGGCCCCCTGCATGGGTGGGACCACTGCAGAGCGAGCCCCAGTACTACTCTGTACCCTGGCACAGGGTGACCTACGCAGAAGGAATCCCTGGACAAAGGGTGAGCAGCAGCAGCTGCAGACTCGCTCGCTCACTCATTCACTTACTCACTGGCTCACTCACTCGCTTATTCACTTGCTCGCTCGCTCGCTCACTCATTCACTTACTTCTTACTTGCTTGCTCACGCACTCACTCAGCTACAGACTGAATCATGGGCTACTAAGTGAAAGCCCCCACACATTTCAGTTTGAATCTTAACATATTGAGCATCTTGTCTGCTAGGTTTCACTAACCAACACACATACAGTAACTTTAAAACATCAAACTACAGATCATATACAACACGTCCAGATTAACCAATTTTTCATCTTCTGTTGATAAAAACAGGGCATACTATGAATTCAATCAATAAATTCTACTGAAATTAAAAACTGACTAGGAACAGATTGACATGGTTTTAAAATATATGTATATTTCTGAATGAACTATACAGCAATGTTCTGATCATTCGCTATTTTGTAGATATTCTCATGGAGCCTTAAATTCATAGACTTCAAAGAATTCCCACATGGAGGAGGGTATGGTCTTCACTGGCAAGAAAAAAAGTATCAAAAGTATAAAATAACTCAGTAGCAACCAGAACAGCATGCAAAAATAGACATTCTCTCAAAGACAAATATTTCCCTTTTAAAAAGAAAGCTCAGAACTGAGAGCTACTTTATCAGTTATACAGCCAAATTCAGCACTATAGGTCAGCAAGAAGAGGACTGCTGGCCACAATCTGAAATTATATTACCATCACAATCAAAAGTGAGTCTAAATGGTTTTAAAATGCTGGGCAGATGTTTTGCTTTTATTCACACAAGGCATCTGAACATTTGAGAAGTTAGAATCATAAACATCATTTTCCAATAGAGGAAAACAATATAAAACAAAGCATTGATGGCCTAAAAGGCAGCTTCACTCGTGACCAACTCTCCCCTGGAAACCCCAGGGTCAAAAAGTAGGAGGGGTATAATATGCATAGACTTTAGTGTTTGTCCCAAAGCACTGCCAGAAAAACTAGAGAATCCAGCCTGTTTATTAAGAGGAGGAAAGGACATGGCCCAAGGCCTCATTTCATCATCGCTCAAATGAAGGCAGTATAGATGAAGGTGGTACCATTTATGATCAAAACTCTAGCCATGGGTAAAGGACCTTACTGCAACGAACTATTACCTTTGTTCTCCCTAGAAAGCTTAGAAATTAACTTTTCAGCTATAAGAACCTAGATGACATTCTGCCTTATTTGATGAATATAGAATTGCAAATAAGTACTTCACATTATCTGATGATAATGTGCATCTGAATTGCTCACGCTAGCTCTACGTTTCTGTACAGATTATCTGTAGGAGTAACTTAATAGATAAAGTTTTCAAATGCAGATTGTTTTCAGTACTGTACCAGCTTACATAAACAATTGGGCTATCTACAGATAACCCCTGTTAGAAAAGATGCAGTTACTTCAAACTTTTCAGATTGGAAACAAGTGAATATGTAACACTATACACCACTTTATACTTTAAAATTTCACTTGTTAAAATGGTTGAAATAGTCTGTAGAATTTTCTAATGTTTAAAGTGCCCAAATAGTTAAAAAAAAAAAAAAAACTATTCATAAGAATACCAGAGTGTGTATAAATAGCCAAAATTGAAAGTAAAACTTCAAGCAATTATCATGTTCACACAAAATTGGGCCACTGTTTTCTTTAAATTACATCATGTTGATCTACTCAAGTACAGCATTCTAGAGAACTCAAAGGTATGCTGAATTTTGTGAAAAGAATCCTTTATAGGTTACAACTCCATTTTCATTTTCACTCAAGAAAAACATATTCCTCTGGTTTAGTAAAAAGTTCTACATAATAAAATTGGACATTTCAGAACTGTAAAGAGGTTCAGTGTTTGCACTCAATTGATAACTTCCTCTGAAATGGCAGTAATGCGCCTTTATCCTATCAATTCTATTTAGTTTTAATTGCTGTGAATGTACCCAGCCCAGATCTATACAAATCAGCAAAGGCAGGATTCCAAAGACCCAGGAATTGTGAGATCAACAGTGAATGGCCACAAATATTTAATAGAGACAGTGTAAATATTCTGTTGTTTTGTGTGGATCAAAACTGTGCTGGAGGGGCTGGGAAGGTGGCTCAGTGGTAGAGTGCATGCACGAGGCCCTGGGTTCGATTCCTCAGCACCATATAAGCAAGAAGAAAAAAGCCCAAAGTGGCGCTGTGGCTCAAGTGGTAGAGCGCTAGCCTTGAGCTGAAGAGCTGAGGGACAGCACCCAGGCCCAGAGTTCAGGCCCCACGACCGGACCCAAAAAAAACCCCCCAAAAAAACAAAACTGTGCTGGGGGGGCTGGCTTATGGGACTGGGAAGGTGGCTCAGTGGCAGAGCACTTGCCTTGCATGCATGAGGCCCTGGGTTCGATTCCTCAGCACCACAGAAGCAAAAAGGAAAAGCCAGAAGTGGCACTGTGGCTCAAGTGGTAGAGTGCTAGCCTTGAGCTGAAGAGCTAAGGGACAGCGCCCAGGCCCAGAGTTCAGGCCCCACGACCGGACACACAAAAAAACAAAAACACAACAAAAAAAAACTGTGCTGGGTAACACAGTAGTAGAGGCAGCAAACACTATAGTTTTATACATTACATAATGGTCTTCAAAATATATATGGTTATTCCAGCGGACACTGCACAATCTGAGGCTATCAGGGAAGAGGCTGTTGTTAATCTGGGTAAGATTAACTTTGATTCACTACGGGATATGCTGAAAGTCACAGGGATAAAAAACCATAAAAGGTGGGCCCAGAACTTCTGGTAATGTGCTGCTGTCACCTACACTTGTTATGGGAGGGATCCCATTGTGAAGGGAATATAATTTTAAACTTTGTCATGATGGGTTAGGATGTTAACAGTGGCAAAGCACTTGCCTAGCAAGTGCGAAGTCCTGGGTTTGGTCTTTGGTACCAAAAAAGAAAGGACAAAAGAAAGAAACAAACAAACAAAAAAATTCACTTGGGGCTGGGAAGGTGGCTCAGTGGTAGAGTGCTTGCCTACCATTCATGAAGCCCTGGGTTCCATTCCTCGTACCAAAAGACAGGAAAAGCTGGAGTGGAGCTGTGGCTCAAGTGGTGGAGTGCTAGAGTTGAGCAAAAGAAGCTCAGGGACAGTGTCTAGAACCTGAGTTCAAGCCCCAGGACTGGCCAAAAAAAAAAAAAGAAAACCAAACAGCCCACTTGTTTTGAAAAAGGGGATGTTCAAACAGAAATTTAACTGCTTGTTTTCATCAAGGTCGGAGAGGCTATCCCAGTAGAGATGCCTCTGAACTGTGCTGGAAACTAGAGGACCAAGGCTTTATCATATTTTCTGGAAACATTTTTGTGTCTAGAGTTCCTTTTCTTTTTTTGGTTGGTTGTGGGTTTTCTGGTGGTTTATTGGAGGTAAGAGTCTCACGGACGGGGCTGGGAAGGTGGCTCAGTGGTAGAGTGCTTGCCTTGCATGCATGAGGCCCTGGGTTTGATTCCTCAGCACCACATAAGCAGAAAAAGCTGGAAGTGGCACTGTGGCTCAAGTGGTAGAGCGCTAGCCTTGAGCTGAAGAGCTGAGGGACAGCGCCCAGGCTCAGAGTTCAGGCCCCACAACTGGCAAAAAAAAAGAGTCTCATGGACTTTCCTTGCCTGGGCTAGCTTTGAACTGTGATCCTCAGATCTCAGCCTCCTGAGTAGCTAGGATTACAGGCGTGAGCCACCGGCATCCGGCTCTTTTCTTTTTTTTTGGTCAGTCGTAGGGCTTGAACTCTGGGCCTGGGCGCTGTCCCTCAGCTCTTCAGCTCAAGGCGAGCGCTCTACCACTTGAGCTACAGCGCCACTTCCGGTTTTCTGGTGGTTTATTGGAGATAGGAGTCTCACGGTCTCTCCTGCCCGGGCTAGCTTTGAACCGCGATCCTCAGATCTCAGCCTCCTGAGTAGCTAGGATTACAGGCATGAGCCACCAGCGCCGGGCTCTTTTCTTTTCTTAATAAGATATTTTTGGGAGTTATTATCAACAAAGATTTTCTTTAAAGATTACAAGAATTTAAAAATGGGAGGAAAAATAATCTCACAACTCCAAACTTGTAAGGCCTATGTATATACATTTGAGTGAATAACAAAGGCTCTTATTTTCTAAACTATTAGGATATATGCACCTACTATGACTCTGAACTATTAGCATATATCTACACTTACTATGACTCTGAACTATTAGGGTATATGCACTTACTGTGATTCTGGACCATAGGTATATGCACTTAATGTGACTCCGAACTATTAGGTATACACACTTACTGTGACTCTGAACTATTAGGTATATGCACTTATGGCCCAAACAAGAGCAGAACAGCCAAGCCATCAAACCTTGCTAGTGATATTTAATATTTGTAGCTTAAGACAAAGAACAGATGCAAACCCCCCTCTTTGTCACATAAAGATTCCAGCTGCCAGTTCACAAAATAGATTTGATGCTACTGAATTCAAATTCATTGGCTGGACTTCAGGGCATGAAGCCCTCGTGCTGTGGTAAGGTGTGATCATAGCACAATGGATACAAATGACTCTAATTTTCAAAATAATCCCCAAACTATAAAATAATGTAGTTTTTATATATTATTATTATATACATGGGGAATAGACGAGAACAAGTTCGCCTTTCATCAGCTAAGACGGAAGATCCGTCCTATTCGCTAGTCACCTCCACACTCCAAGAAGATGAAAACTGTTCCCCAAATCCTGAAATAGCCATCTTAAACATATTTTTTTTGGGGGGGTGAGGGAGGTCTTACTGTGTACCCTAGGTTGGCCTCATATTCATAATCCTCCTAAATATTTAGATTATAGGCATGAATCAATAGGAGGGTTATTCTTTTTTTTAGCTTTGAAAAATTGCTGGTTTTATATGTATTTTAACTAATTTTATTGCTATTATTAAGTTATTATACAGAGGGGGTTACCATTTCATACATCAGGTAATGAGTACATTTCGTTTTTGTCGGTCATAGGGCTTGAATTTAGGGCCTGGGTGCTGTCCCCTGAGCTCTTCAGTTCAAGGTGAGTGCTCTACCACTTGAACCACAGCGCCACTTCCAGTTTTCTATTGGTCAATTAGAGATAAGAGTCTCACGGCCTTTCTGCCTGGGCTGGCTTTGAACTGTGATCCTCAGTTATGAGTATATTTCTTTTTGGAACATGTCACCCTTCTGCCAGGTTTTCCTTTCCTATCCCTGCCCACAAGTTGAATAGCTCCTTTTCCACATAGTGTTACTAACTACCCTGCCTGCATTTGTTCATCCTTCAGGAGAGTTATTACCTTCCTGCGGCTGCCCCCCCCCCCCCCCGCCCCAAGTCAGTCACGGGGGCTTGAACTTGAGCACTGTTCCTGAGCTCTTTTGCCCAAGGCTAGCACTCTACCACACAGCTCCACTTTTGGTTTTCTGATGCTTAATTAGAGATAAGAGTGTCACACACTTTGCTGCTTGGGCTGGCTTTGGACTATGATCCTCAGATCTCAGCCTCCTGAGTAGCTAGGATTACAGCCTGGCTTGGGATAGCTCACAGAGTTCTATTTTAGAAAGACTGTGGTTTAGGAATGAGTATACCTAATCTAACAGTGGAGCAAGTGGTTCTGAGATTAAAATCTGACACTATAAAAGTATCTGAGTGACCAAGAAGGACCAACACTGTGGTACTTTTCATTGCAACTTTAGCAAATAAATAATGTACTCAGTCTATAATTACAGGTGTATCTATATCTTAATCTAACCTCTTCCTTGAACCTCTTAGTGCAAAAAATTGCTTGATGCTTACCTATTCTGATAGCTGTAGTAGGCTGCATCTCGAGGAATTGTACACAGCTGCTTCCCATAGCAGCACAAAGTCTGCGGGGAAAATTCATACTGCAAAAACAAAAGAGAAAAAAACATATTCCACTTGCTATCCTGAAATGTTCTAGTGCACTACAAGAGTGAAAATTCAGCTAGTAAATTATTTACTAGTTTAGTATGTAATTTTCTTCATAACTATTTCAAGACAGTTTAGGATTAAATGTGACAAATTAGTGTAGCTTTGCCTCTAAGTGACAAGAGGTACAGAGACACAAAATGGGCCAGTGGCAGCCAGAAAGGCTTAACTCCAGGCCAGCCCAGTAAGCACCTATAGCTTTGATCATGAGATTGCTTGAGATAGTCCACTATGTCACAAGAGCCCAAAACAGCACCTGAGACTTTCCACGCATACTCTTGTGGTCAGAATATGAAGTATCCCATCTTAGTTTAACATTCTCTTGAGTAGATTAATCAGGAAATTTCAATTTCCAGAAGAAATGAAAACTGTACCTTGCGTCCACAGCAATATCCAAGGGACTGCATGACAGGGTCAATTTCTTGCTCAAAGACCTCTGCAAGTTTACTGCAAAACTTATAGACCCGGGACGTCTTACGATTATACAGCCAGGCATTGTTGAACATTAACCAGACATCATCCACATACTGCCAGGGCTCTTGGTACTGCCCTGTATCCAGCTTCCGTTTGATGGTAGAAAGGTCCATGGGGTTCTTCACAATGTCAAAATAATCCTTAAAAACAAAACAATCTCAGTCTAGTGCAAGGGTGGGGAAGCTTTTCTCTGCTAAGAGTCATTTGGATATTTCTAACACTGTCTGCGGATTATACAAAATTGTCAACATAGGCAGAGGGGCTGCAGGCAGCTGAAAAGCATACCGAACCTCGTCGTCTATCCCATCCTGTATCAAATGACTTCATGGGCCTTATATGCATAACCCTACCTTTGTTCTAGTGGAGCCATTGTATTTCAAATGCCAGCCTTCTCTAATACTTTATCTTAAAAAACATAATAAAAATAGAAAGTACCTGAACAATTTTCATTCTTAATAGTAAAAAAATGAAATTGAAAAAAGTAACATGTAACATTCCTCTGATTTGACAAATTAAAAATGGCAACTGATATGCGCAAGTATGATTAAAGTACTTCAAAGACAAAGTTAAAAAAAATTGTTTATTTTAGGCTGCGAAGGTGGCTTAGTGGTGGAGTGCCTGCCTAGCATGCATGAAGCCCTGGGTTCGATTCCTCAGTGCCACATACACAGAAAAAGCCATAAATGGTGCTGTGGCTCAAGTGGTAGAGCACTAGCCTTGAGCAAAAGCAGCTCAGGGACAGTGCCCAGGTTCTGAGTTCAAGCCCCAGGACTGGCAAAAATTAAAAAATAAATAACGGTTTAATAAAAACATTTCAGGGCTGGGAAGGTGGCTCAGTGGTAGAGCGCTTGCCTTGCATGCATGAGGCCCTGGGTTCAATCCCTCAGCACCACATAAGCAAAAAGCTCGAAGTGGCGCTGTGGCTCAAGTGGTAGAGTGCTAGCCTTGAGCTGAAGAGCTGAGGGACAGCGCCCAGGCCCAGAGTTCAGGCCCCACGACCAGACCCCCACACACAAAAAAATTAATGAATATTTTAATTCCTTGATTTAAAATAAATTTATCAGCATGTATTTCCACAGATTCACTTTGGTCCAAACAAAATAAATGCTATTTATTTATTTATTGCCATTTCTGGGGCTTGAACTCAGGGCCTGGATGCTATTATCCTTGAGCTGCTTTTGCTTAAGGTTAGAACTCTTACCACCTGACCTATAGCACCACTTCTGGCTTTTTCTGAGCAGTTTATTGAAGATAAAGCATCTCACAGACTTTCCTATCAGGCTGCCTTTTGAACCCTCTTCCTTAGATCTCAGCCTACTGAGTAGCTAGGATTACAGGTGTGAGTAAACAATGCCTGGCTAATAAATGCAATTCAAAGATTAACACATAGTTGTGAAAACTTTAGCTCAATTGTAGAGCATTTTTCTGAGGCTTGGTTCCCAGCACAAAAACAAACCTAAGGAATACTACTGATCAGTAGACCCTATGGGATCTATATTGTTTTTCAAGATTTCCTAGCTTAGTAAACAGAAATTTACAAGTATCTCATAATTAAATTTCTGGACTTTTTTTTCCTTTTTGTACCAGTACTGGGGGGCATGACGTCAGGGTCTAGGTGCTGTATCTTAGCTTTTTCCCTCAAGGCTAGCACTCTACCATTGAGCCACTCCTCTATTTCCAGCATTTAGGGGATCAATTGGAGATAAGAGTCTCATGAACTTTCCTGCCCTGGATGACTATGAACCATAATCCTCAGATTTCAGCCTCCTGAGAAGCTTGGATTATAGGCTTGAGACTGGCTTTTTTTTTTTTTTTGGTCAGGTGTGAGGCCTGAACTCTGGGCCTGGGCGCTGTCCCTCAGCTCTTTAGCTCAAGGCTAGCACTCTACCACTTGAGCCACAGTACTACTTCCAGCTTTTTCAACTTATGTGGTGCTGAGGAATCAAACCCAAGGCCCTCATGCATTGCAGGCAAACACTACCACTAAGCCACCTTCCCAGCACCATGGCCTTTTTTTTTGGGTGTGGAGGAGTGCATTATTTTCGGTATGGAACTGAGGCTTGAACTTAGGGCCTGGACACTCTTTTAAGTTTTTTTTGGTAGGTCGTGGGGCTTGAACTCTGGGCCTAGGTGCTTTCACTCAGCTCTTCAGCTCAAGGCGAGCACTCTACCGCTTGAGCCACAGAGCCACTTCCAGTTTTCTGGTGGTTTATTAGAGATAAGAGCCTCACGGACTTTCCTGCCTAGGCAGGCCTTGAACCGTGATCCTCAGATCTCAGCCTACTGAGTAGCTAGGATACAGGCGTGAGCCACCAGCACCTGGCCTCTTTTAAGTTTTAACTCAAGATTCTTCAGCTCCACTTCCAGCTTTTTGAGATTAGTGTCATGGATTTTCTTGCCTGGGCTGGTCTCCAACCACAAGCCTCAAATCTCATCCTCTTAAGATGGGAGCCACCTAGCTCAGCTAAATCTCACAATTCTTTGGCTTACTCAAGATCCCAAATGTAAAACAAGACTTGAGAGTTATGGACTAGAGGGGAGGGTGCTGCACTTGAGCCATAGCTCTATCTATGTTTTTTGCTTGTTAATTAAAGATTTTTGCTTGTTAGTTAGAGATAAGAGTCTCACAGACTTTTCTGGCTGGGCTGGCTTCCAACTGTGATCCTCAGATCTCTGCCTCCTGAGTAACTAGGATTACAGGCATGAGCTACCAGCACCTGGCTATAGTTTTTATATTAGGAGAAAAATCTTCAAATCAAGATTACTTTAGCCAATTTTTAAAGATAAAACAATGGATGCTCAAAACTATACCAAACTTCTATTATATTAACTTACTGGAATTCCTAGGAGCTGGGGGTCTACAGGCTGCCGAAAAGGTAGGGACTCTGGGTCCTGTCGATAGAGCGCTTCTAGGGTTGGCATAAGTGCTTGGCGTAGCTCCTCAGGTTTAAAAACTGCAGAAAACAACAACAACAACAAACAGAAAAAGATATTATTAGGTAATAAGTGCTCAAATCTTTACAGTAACACATTTAAAATGGAAGCCTGGGTTGAGGGTGGTGGCTTTCATCTCTAATCCCAACTACTCAGTAAACAGATAGGACTGACTGCAGCTCCAAGGGGTGGGGGAAAATTCAAGAGATTCCACCTAAATAGAGAAAGCTGCGAATGGCAGCAAGTGCCTAACAAGCCAGCTAAGGTGGGAAGAAAAGGAGGATAATAGTCTAGGTTTAGTTCACTTAACTCAAAAGTTAAGGGCAAAAGGGCTGGAGGTGTGAATGCATAGAAGAGAACAGGCCTAGGGAGTCCTAAATCCTAAGATCAAACTCTAGCATAAACAAACAAATAAGCCATTTAAATGTAAATAAAAAAAGGCCAAGTAGTCCATTCAGAATGATTCCAAAGCTCCCAGGCAGCTCTCACTCATTAGAATCTAAAGTGTTATTCAGGGATTCTGAAAATATAGTAATGGGTTTTTGTTGTTGTTGTTGTTGGTCCTGGGGTATGAACTCTGGGCCTGGGTGCTGTCCCCGATCTTCTTTTGCTCAAGGCTAGTGCTCTACCACTTGAGCCACAGCACCCCTTCTGGCCTTTTCTGAGTATTTTATTGGAGGAAAGAATTTGTGGGCCAGACACGGGTGGGTCATGCAAGTAATCCTAGCTACTCAGGAGGCTGAGATCTGAGGATCGTGGTTCAAAGCCAGCCTGGGCAGGAAAGTACAAGAGACTCTTACGTCCAATAAACCACCAGAAAACCGGAAGTGGCGCAGTGGCTCAAGTGATAGAGCTTGCCTTGAACTGAATGAAGAGCTGAGGGACAGCGCCCAGGAGTAGAGTTCAAGCTCCATGACCAACCCCCAAAAGAGAGAAACAATAGAATCTGTTGGACTTTCTGGCTTTTAACCACAGTTCTCAAATCTCATCCTTCTGCATAGCAAGGATTACAGGCTTGAACTACCAGCTCACAGTATAATGGTTTTAAAAACTGCATTCAGGTTGGGTGCTGATAGCTCACACCTGGAATCCTAGCTATTCAGAGGCTGATACTGTGAGACTTTTTTAAAAATAATTTTTATTGTTATTATTAAGATGTTGAACTGTGTGACTTTTATTTCCAATTAATCAGCAAAAATATGGGAATGGAAGTATGGCTCAACTGGCAGTGTCATCCTTGAATGAAAAAGTCAAGATTGAGGAAGAGGCCCTGAATTCAAGCAAAACTCAACAAAGCAAGCCGGGTGCTGGTGGCTCACGTCTGTAATCCTAGCTACTCAGAAGGCTAAGATCTGAGGATCATGGTTCAAAGCCAGCCTGGGCAGGAGAGACCGTGAGACTCCTATCTCCAATAAACCACTAGAAAACCGGAAGTGGCGCTGTAGCTCAAGTGGTAGAGTGCTCGCCTTGAGCTGAAGAGCTGAGGGACAGCGCCCAGGCCCAGAGTTCAGGCCCCACGACCGACAAAAAAAATAAATAAAAATAAATAAAATAAAATAAAAACTCAACAAAGCAAAACAACTCCATTCACATCAAGGCTGGGGAACCAAAGATACAGTTCTCCAAGTGTGTATGGTTCAGAGAGCATTAGAAAATCTCTGTGCTGTCCAATGTGGTACTCACCAAGCCCTACTAGTAAAATTCCAATGAATCACAAAAGTTTTACACAAAGTAAAGTTAATTCTGTCCATTACTTATTTTACTTCAAGGTACTTAGAAACTGTATCAGACCCTTTCTGGAGCACTGTGGTAAGATCAAAATTATTTCCCTAATGCTAAAATGTAGTATGTTAACATTTTGAACAGATACAGCAAATGTAATGGCAAATAGTTACTAATATCTTACAAAAAAAATGAAGAAAACCAAGGATACAAGCTAATACCACCAAATTCTACTTGAAAACTCTTACATTTTTTGTGGGCCCCTATACTCTGTACCCACAAGAAAAACAATGCTAGCCTGTTAATTGAAAGCATCCTTAACAATCAGCAAATCTCAACCTCTGACAGGAACCTCTCACTCTGTAATGGGAAAACATATGTGCACTGGTGCTGTGCACAAGCTGGCCTTCGAGCTGATACTTGTGCCAGCACTAGGGCTAACAGCTGAAGGACTGCAAAATGTGGAAGAGCAACAGATACACAACTCTGATTATTCAGTTATGGGGTATGCAGGTATTTCCTCAAAAAAGAAATAGACAAGGAAAAGTAAACCTGCATCTGCTACACAATCTCAGTATTTCTCAAAAATACTGTTTGGGCTGGGAAGGTGGCTCAGTGGTAGAGCGCTTGCCTTGCATGCCTGAGGCCCTGGGTTAGATTCCTCAGCACCATATAAGCAAAAAGAAAAAAGCCGGAAGTGGTGCTGTGGCTCAAGTGGTAGAACGCTAGCCTTGAGCTGAAGAGCTAAGGGACAGTGCCCAGGCCCAGAGTTCAGGCCCCCACAACCGGACCCCCCCCCCCCAAAAAAAAAAAAACAACTGCTTGTTTGAAGAGACTGAGGGTGATATTAAGGAATATGGAGGGCTTTTTTGACATCACAGGGTGTAAATGTTAACACATGGAAAAGAAGCCCACACTCTTTAGTTTGCTCAGGGATTCCAGAGAGCCATTTTCAACTCTAGGAGAATGGAGGCAAGAAAGATAAAAAAAGGAAGTAGAATCGTCTTGACTTTCAGTCTTTGGTGTGGAGGTGCAATACAGTTGTAAGTTACAGAAAACACCACCTACTTTTTTTGCGTGGCTGGGACGGGGATGTTGACTGAGAGGCTGCGCCGTTAGTGCTATTCTCCTCTTCTTCTTTAGCTTCCACTTTTACTTCAGGTTTCTTCTCCTCCACTTCCATTGGTTCTGATTTCTTCTCTGCATTGTCTGCTTCTTCTTTAACTTGGGAAGATCCTTGTAAATCCTCCTCCATCATCTTGAGAATCACAAATGACTGATGAGTATCACAAAGATCTATACCTAAATTAGCTTTTCTACGCTCCTAAATCCGTATGGGCTTGATATGCCTTCCCCCAGTTCAGTTATTTATCATTTCTTTTCTCTTCCAGAAAATGGAATCAATTACTAGTTGTCCACTGAGTCACTTCAACACAGCACCAAGGCAATTACAGACCTAATTTAAAATGTCCAAATATTTTACATGTGCATTATAGTCACATATAGATATTGCTAGCTTACAATAAGAATATTTTTGAAATTTACAGCAAGGATCAAAAGTCCCTCTTCAGAGGCAGGTGTGGTATAAACACAACAAGTAGTGAAGACTTTGGCTAACTGGCAAGCTTACATGCAGACGTCCCCACGCTGGTTCATAAGCACAAGGCTGACAAAGCTGCTCAGTTTCCATAAAAGTCAAACATCTAGTTTAATTTGAAATCTCATGGTTTTTAGAATATTGTGGAGGCCAAACATATCCAGTTTGGATGCAGCAGCTCACAGTTTGCCAGTGTCAGCTTCTGCCAGAGGTTAATTAGCAAATGAATCCATCACTCTTTCTTTTTTTCTTTTGGTCATGGGGATGAACTCTGGGCCTGGGCGCTGTCCCTCAGCTCTTCAGCTCAAGGCTAGCACTCTACCACTTGAGCCACAAGGCTAGCACTCTACCACTTGAGCCACAAGGCTAGCACTCTACCACTTGAGCCACAGCGACACTTCTGGTTTTCTGATGGTTTACTGGAGATAAGAATTCATGGAAGCCAGGTGCCAGTGGCCCACGCCTGTAATCCTAGCTACTCAGGAGGCTGAGATATGAGGATCATGGTTCAAAACCAGCCCTGGCAGGAAACTCCGTGAGACTTATCTCCAATAAAAACCACTAGAAAACCCGAAATGGTGCTGTGGCTCAAGCAATAGAGCGCTCGCCTTGAGCTGAAGAGTACACAGACAGCACCCAAGCCCAGAGTTCAAGCCCCACAACTGACAAAAAAAAAAAAAGAGTTCATGGACTTTCCTGCCCGGGCTGGCTTTGAACCGTGATCCTCAGGTCTCAGCCTCCTGAGTAGCTAGGATTACAGGCATGAGCTACCAGCACCTGGCCATCACCCTTTCTGTAGAATTAGAAATGAATGGAGGCCAGCAAGAAAAGATTGTAGAATAATTCAAACATCTACAATGAACAGCTGGAAGTGGAGGTGTAGCTCAAGTGGTAATGCACCAGCCTTGAATGAAAACAAACAAACAAACAAACAAGCAAGAGCACAAGGCCCTGAGTTCAAGCCCCAGTACTGGTAAGAACAACCACCACAACAAAAAGAATAGTAAATGTATTTTTGAACTCACACTGAAATAGACTATTACAACAAATCCAGGGACAACCATGAAAGGCTTGAGGATCTGTAGGTAAAGATTCCACACATAGCAATGTATTTATTGCTAGAGAATAACACCTACCTCAGGTCGAGACTCCCCCTTAGATTCAGGCTCGGGCTCCGTGTCTTCAGTCTTGACCTCTGCCTTCATTTCCAGTACTGGTACATCAGGTCCCGGCTGCTGGGAATTGGTTTCAGCACTGGTCACTGAAGGGGGACTGGGGACCCTGTTATCAATGCTGGCTGCTGCTTGAGAAAGCTGTGAAAACATTAAAATCAACCTCTTTGTAAATCAGACAATACAAATGGCCTTCGACCCTTTTGCTCATCCCATCTTCAACTTCTGGTTAACTTTCCTCAGTGCTATCCTAACAAGCCCCTATTGAGAACACTGAAGGACACAGTTACAAGGAGGGAGCTCTAGAGAAAGTCATCATCAATCAGAAACAATTTACTCTTTGCCACAAATGCAGAGATAGGAAAACAGACCTTTCTAAATTATGATATAAAACCATTTCCTCCCAAGGTGTCTAGCTAAACTATTTTATCATTAATTCCCTTCAAAAAGGCTTATAATGTTTATAACAAGACACTGAATTATAAACATCCAGGTACTTATGTGGGGAGGGAGCCAGCTGCCTGTGTAGGAAGAATGTCTAATGGGCTTGTGTTAGCAGAGTATAGTGATGGTGGTATACTAAAGAAACCACTAAAAATATTCCACATTTTCCAAGTCTTTTTTTTTTTTTTTTTTGAGGGGGGGGTGGTCAGTCGTGGGGCTTCAACTCTGGGCCTGGGCACTGTCCCTGAGCTCTTCAGCTCAAGGCTAGTGCTCTACAACTTGAGCCAGAGCACCATTTCTGGCTTTTTCTGTGTATGTGGTGCTGAGGAATGGAACCCAGGGCCTCATGTATGCAAGGCAAGCGCTCTACCACGGAGCCACCTTCCTAGCCCCTCAAAGTCTTACAAGGAACTGCTCCCCGACTTTTTGTTCAACCTGCATGAAGTACGAGGGATTGAACACTACCATTTCAGCCATACTCTCAGAACCATAATGAAGTCAAAGATACAAAAACAAAACAACTAAAAAAAAGAAACTGTATCTATCTACATACATATCTTTACAGGTAAGTAGAAATAATATTGGGATTCACTTTGAATATGCTCAGTACCTGCAAATAAAGTTAATATAATTATGAGAGTGGAGAGGTCTAAGACAGTCTTACAAGAAAATGATAGTAGATGGCTGAGGCAGTTTACACTTATAATCCTAGTTACTTGAGGGAGTACAGGGTAAAGCTAGGCATGATGGTGAGCACCATTTCTTTTAGCTATTATTATTATTATTATTAATTAGGAAGATAACACAGTCTGGGCTGGGCCCAGGCAAACAGTGAGAGCCTCTGTCAAAAATAATCCAAGTAAAAAGGACCAGAAGCATGGGCACTGGTGGCTCACGCCTGTCATCCTAGCTACTCAGGAGGCTGAGATCTGAGAATCGTGGTTCAAAGCCAGCCCAGGCAGGAAAGTCCATGAGACTCTTATCTCCAATAAACCACCAGAAAACCAGAAGTGGTGCTGTTGTAGAGTGCTAGCCTTGAGCTGAAGAGCTGAGGGAAAGCACCCAGGCCCAGAGTTCAAGCCCCATGACTGACAAAAAAAAAAGGACTAGAAGCATAGTTCAAGTGGTAGAGGTATGAGGTCCTTAGTTTTAAGTCCAGAATTACCACAGAAAATGATACTATGATCTCAGCAAAAACTTGGGAAAAGAATACGGGCAGCATGGGTTTAGTGTAAGACCCTGCATCAGTAAACACAACTTAGCCCAGACAACATCTGTTTATCTCAGCTGGCATGGAGCAGGAGGCTTGAAGGTATGATCCCGCCATCACCCTTCCAGCTAAGAACAGGAAGTCTGAGCCACAAAGGTACAAACCTAGCTCTGTTGTTTCATTATCAAACAGAAAAGCCTTCTGTAGTTTGGAAAGGCTGGATGGAGAGGGGGAAGGAGAGTGACAGAGGGCTAAAACTAACTGGAATATACTGTAAACATGTAGAAATGAGACAAGTTCTTACTTGTGTAACTCATACAAGGGAATGAGAGGAGAAAAAAAAAGAGGAAGGCTGATCAGCCAGGTTAAAGGGCAACATATAGTTAGGAGTATAGCATGCTTATCAGACTCAAAAAACATCAGCAATAAAACAGAACATGATCTATTAAAACCCCCAATACATTAGTCTAGGATAGATAATGGTGAACACAACGTCTTGTATAATATACCACATGATAAATACCGACTTCTGTAAACTCTTCTCATCCTTAAGCCATGTCCTACACAGCCTTGGGGACAATGCTAAAAGTATAGCATAACTCAGTGCAATTCCATCAAAATTACAGACACTTGGGTCTGGAAATGTGGCTTAGTGGTACAGTGCTTGCCTAGCATGCATGAAGTCCTGGGTTTGAATCCTCAGTACCACATAGACAGAAAAGGCTGGAAGTGGTTCTGGGACTTAAGTGGTAGAGTGCTAGCCTTGAACAAAAGAAGCTCAGGGACAGTACTTTGAGTTCAAGACCCAGAACTGGCAAAAAAAAAAAAAAAAAAGGAAAGAAAGAAAAGAATACAGATACTTTTGGTCTGAAGACAAACACAAAGGCTCACCGGTGTGCCAGGAGGCTGGGTATGCACAGGTGTCGGCTGCTGCTGGGATGACTGAGGGGTAGCTACAGACGGGGGCTGAACTGGGGTTTGAGGTTGTGGGGTCACCTGGGCCTGCACTGCTGCCTGGACTGTAGGGGTGCTCTGGGTTTGGGCAGCACTGGGCACTGAGCCAGGAGTTGGGGTGGGAGTCTGCCCAGAAGACGATACAGGAGGAGATGGCTGAGCAGGAGCTGCTGGCTGGGGAGGTGTCATCCCAGGTGGGGTCGGGTGCTGGAGAGCGGGCATGCCAGCAGCTGTGGAAGCAGGAGGTGGTGTCGGATGCAAGGGTGACTGCGTCACTGGTGGACAAGGCAGCTGGCTGGTCTGGGGCCCCAGCATGTTCAGAGGATTAGGAAGAGCTGCACCAGGCACTTGACCCTAAAAGAAATGGAGTATATTAAAACTATCTCCCCAAACTAAACATGTGACAAGATACTTGAAGAATTTATTAAAATCAAATCACAGTTCCTCAATGAGATCTGCTCATTTCATGGGGATGTGCAAGTTATAAACTCCACAAGCTAGCTGCGCACCAGTACCCCTATAATCCTAGCTATACAGGAGGTTGAAATTTGAGAATCATGGTTTGGAGCCTGTCTGGGCAGATAAACCCTGAGATTATCTCCAATTAACAAGCATAAAGCTGGAAGTGGAAGTATGGCTCAAACGGCAGAACATCATTCCTTGCGTGAAAAAGCAAATGGACAATGTGAGGCTCCGAGTACAAACCCTAGTATTGGCAGGTGCATAGGTGCACACGCACATGCACACGCACGCACGCACACACACACACACACACACACACACACACACACACACACACACACACACACACACACACACATTATATTTGCATGAAGTTCCCCCAGAGAGAATTCTAAACAAGTTAATAGTTACAGAACAAAGCAGGGAAAGACAGAGAAATGCTGATACATTTAGGTTAACAGGCCACACAAATGCTGTCCCTGGTCCCAACGTGAACGTACCTGTGACACTCCTGCTTGGGCCCCTGGCTGCCCCATATTTACACTGTTCACACTCATTGCCCCACTGGATGATGGGAACTGGCTCTGTGGCAGAAACTGGTTCTGAGTGGGTGGCTGGGCCATCATGTTGTTGGCATGTGCGCTCATCATGTTCGGAGGCTGAGGCATCCGAGAAGGAGAAATGGCCATCTATGAGACAACAAACATCAGGAGAGCTGCAGCGCAGACGTGGCACGGTTGATGAACAGAGCAAGGAGACACACAAGCTTTGCATCCTAGCCTGGCTCCATCCCTGGAGACTAGCCTTCACTTAACTCTACACTCCTACACTCTTTCCTATACATTCTTAAGCAATCTCTCAAATAAACCAACTTTGAAAGTCCTTTAAACAGTAATCAATAGCATGCTCTAAATTTTAAGTTCAAGCATGCCTTTTAATCAGTTCTCTGAAGTGTTTAGAAAACAGCCATGGGAGGGCAGGCTCAGTCAACAGACACAAAACTGCTGCCTGGCCTGAGCTCAGCTGCCTTCTCCACCTCAGATTTTCATCCTTCTTACTCTGGGCTTGTCATTCCAATTAAAAAAAAAAAAGCACGGGCTGGGAAGGTGGCTCAGTGGTAGAGCGCTTGCCTTGCATGCATGAGGCCCTGGGTTCCATTCCCCAGTACCACATAAGCAAAAAGAAAAAAAAAGCCGGAAGTGGCGCTGTGGCTCAAGTGGTAGAGCGCTAGCCTTGAGCTGAAGAGCTGAGGGACAGCGCCTAGGCCCAGAGTTCAGGCCCCACAACTGGACCCCAAAAAAACCCAAAAACCAAAACACAAAAACCTACTAACCAAATTATTCTTTATTATTGCAATAACAGAGATATCTGGGCTGGGGCAACAGTGGCTCACACCTGTCATCCTAGCTACTCAGGAGGCTGAGAGCTGAGGATCATGGTTCAAAGCCAGCCCAGGCAGGAATGTCCATGAGATTCTTATCTCCAATAAACCACCAGAAAACTGGAAGTGGTATTGTGGCCCAAGTGGTAGAGGGCTAGCCTTGAACTGAAGAGCTCAGGGACAGTGTCCAGGTCCAGAGTTCAAGCCCCGCAACCATCCAAAAAAGAAATGAGGCTGGGTGCCAGTGGCTCACACCTGTAATCCTAGCTACTCAGGAGGCTGAGAGCTGAGGATCGCAGTTCAAGGCCAGCTCAGGTAGGAAAGTTCATGAGACTCTTTATCTCCAATTAACCACTGAAAACTGGAAGTGGGCTGTGACTCAAAGTGGTACAGTGCTAACCTTGAGCAAAAAAGCTCTCAGAACAGCGTCCAGGCTCTGAGTTCAAGCTTCATGACTGACAAAAAACAAAAACGAACTCAAAAGAACAAGTAGTACAGAACTCTCAGATGCCCACGGACATTCTCTGTGCAGATAATGTTCCTGTTAAGACAAAAGCTGAGAGGCAAAGCCTTACCCCTGGGACTGAGGCCATGCTGCTCATCTGGACAGGGTGGCTCATGGGGGAGGCAGCACGTGGACCCATCGGTGCTTGTGGCAACTGGACATTTCCCAAAGACATTGGGTTAAATGAATTCATCCCTATAAACAGTGACATTTCATTAGGAAAAACCACCACAGAAAACAATTACAACTCATTAAATGCTAAGATGGAGCACAGTCAAGTATATGACAGTCAAGTGAGGGGAACCTACTCAACTGGAAAAAAAAAAAACAAAAACGACTAAGTAACAGACTTTTCCCTACCCAGCGGAAATGGCATTCCCGTGACAGGGGTTGCATAGGAGGACTGGGAGTAAGGCAGGAAAAAAGACACTAGAGCAGGTCAGGGTGAAGCCAGGTGACATGTTCAAGAAACCAAAGACACAAAGCAAGCAAGGATACTGTGAAGCAAGAAGATGCTCTTCTCATCTATGAAGACAACTCAGAAGGCCAGACTCTCAGTGAACCCCATCCTCAACAACCACTGGAGCATCAGGCTCCCAAGCTTCACAGCTGTATTACATTTATTGTTAGAACCTCTGCTAAGATTCAAAACACAATTGGAGTATTTAGAAAGCATCCAGGAGCCAAGGGTTCTCCTCCTCAGCCTCTGGCAGCTCATAGGAACATCACATCATTGACAGAGACTTCACCAGCTAGAATTATCTCCACCACAGTGGCTAGTTAGTTCAACTCCTGGGGCTTGAACTCAGGGCGAGCACTGTTCCTGAGCTTCTTTTCTCAAGGCTAGAGCTCTACCACTTGAGCCATACTGTCACTTCCGGCTTTTTTCTGAGTAGTTTATTGGAGATAAATAAGAGTCTTATAGATTTTCCTGTCAGGCTGGCTTCAAACTGCAATCCTCAGATTTCTGCCTCCTGAGTAGCTAGGACTACAAGCATAAGACACTAGAGGCTAGTTAGTTCTTACTAATTTTCTATAAAACTCTGCAAACTTTGGGCTCTAGACAAAGTACAGTTTAAGTTAGTCTTCAGACCAACACTAAAATCTAACAGAATCCTTCAAGTTGTTTCTAGAAGGTGTTTCCTTAACATTGCTGCAGCCATGAGAGGATTTTTAAAGAGCAGTCCTACCTACAGCGTACACCTTCAGAGACTAGATATGGCATTCTCAAAGAACCAAGGGCTAACAAGACCCAAGAAGACTTCCCAGGAAGCCTGTAAGCTTTTCCTTCTTGAGAGTTATGTGCAAGTACTAAGAAAAAGCACCTGAAGAAATGCACATTCACAAAGAACTCCACTTACTAGAGAGGCTGGTAAGTGCTTACCTAGAAACTGAACCTTCCAATCACCTACACCTAACCAGCTGTCTTCTCACAGTCCAAACCAGCAGCCTATTCCTATCTAGACCAAAGTTCAGGTCATGCTTATACACAGCATTCAGCCACTATCTTATGGTCCAATTTGTCTGACTTCTTGGTTTCTTTCATCTCTCAAATCCAGTCCATCTAAACAAGACACTGGTGACTTTATTCTATGTCTATTTCAGTATGCAGTACCACTACCACAACTTCCAACAACTTACCTTCCCTGCCAAACTCTTGCACTAAAACGAGAATCTATATAACATCATGACCTCACCTCTCATCCTAGACAAATGTCCTAACTGTTCAGGTCTCAATCTGTCAAGAGTTCAAAGGCTTCCAAATGTCCTTTGGCCCTGACTCTAGAATCTCAAACCGAGAGGGAACCTATGAAACATGCTCAGATAGCTGCCATCTACCAAGCTGGTTTGGGTCTCTGCACACAGCCTCCTGAAATGACTCCTGCCAGCCCGACTTCAAGCCCATGCATTATCTGGAACCATAGGCATTTCTTCCTCATCCCCACCACAGGTACCCCACAACCACAGGATTGGGACTCCCATGTTTTTCTCTGAGCATTCAGACATGCCCTGACTCATGTATAATGCTGCTTTTTGGAACTTTCTCTGGTAAGGTCTACCTGTTCATTAAAAAATTCTCAACCCTACTTCTGATCTCTTTGGAGAGCTATCCTATATTCTCTAAATTCCCAAACAGAAAAGATTCATACTACCTAAGGACTGAATTCTTCTTAGCAAAAAGGAATGGAAGGAAGCCAGGTGCTGGTGGCTCACACCCATCATCCTAGCTACTCAGGAGGCTGAGAGCTGAGAATCGCAGTTCAAAGCCAGCCTGGGTAGGAAAGTCTGTGAGACTCTTATCTCCAATAAACTACTCAGAAAAGGCCAGAAGTGGTACTGTGGTTCAAGTGGTAGAGTGCTACCTTGAGCACAGAGAGGCTCAGGGCTAGAGTACAAGTCCTGAGTTCCAAGTCCCAGGACCAGAAAAAAATAAAAGGAATGGAATGAGTGTATCCCTCCACCTACTGGCAAAGGCTGTAAGGATATACACAAGGAAAAGGGGGGGAGGGGGGGAAGAGGTTCTGGCTGTTCAAAGTTAAAACTAAACATTTTTACAACAAATAGTTAAAATACCTTGAGAAACCTGCATCCGATTTACTGGCAGGGGTAGAGGTCCATCTATAGTGGAAAATAAAAAACACAAATACTGGTTATTTAAAATAACCCTTGATTTTACAACAAGGAATTTCCTATGAAGGACTTCAAACTTCCAAGGGAACCTAGTCAATGAGTCCAAAAGCACTGTGTTCTGATGCCAACACATACTTTTAAGACCCTTCCTATGACAGAAACTCAATGCCCCTGCAGGCTACTACTACAAAAACAGTTTTCAAGTGCTGATTTCTGGAGAATATAATTCTGTACTCTAAGGCATGCATCCCAAACAACGAAGAAAAAAGCAAACAGGCTAAGGGCAGGTAGAAGGAAAGGTAGTCCTTACTTGGAGGTCTCACAGACTGAGCTGGTGGGATTACAGGAGGCTGAGCCCCGGGGGCTGGTAAAGCTGGCTGGTTTCCCAAGATGCCTTGCTTATGTAAACGTGACCTCCGTTTTTCTTCTAGTTCTTTTTGTATTTTATAGATTTTCTCTGCTAATAGATGATAATATTCATCCTAAAACACAATAACATTCAAAATCAGGCAATTGAAACTATTCAAAACAAGTGATCTGTTTAGTACGTCCTACTTAGCAACTTAGGGCCTCTTGCAGGTGATATCACCACTTTAGTCATACCCCTAGCTTTCCCCACCCACTGCTGCTGAGATTCAAACTCAGGGCCTGACATATACTAAGCTGGTGGTCTATCACTCAACTATATCTGATCTCATTTTTTTTTAAGTATTAGAATCAAAAGTAAGCATTTAGCATAAGGATAAGGATCTTTTTTTTCTTTTTTTCCTTAATTCCTAATGATGCCTGTGTACCTTTTTTTTTGTCGGTCATGGGGCTTGAACTCTGGGCCTGAGTGCTGTCCTTGCGCTCTTCAGCTCAAGGAGAGCTCTCTACAGCTTGAGCCATAACACCACTCCAGTTTTCTAGTGGTTTATTGGAGATAAGAGTCTCATGTACTTTCATGCCCGGGCTGGCTTTGAACCGTGATCCTTAGCTCTCAGCCTCCTGAGTAGCTAGGATTACAGGCATGAGCCACCGTCGCCCGACACCCGCCCCCCCCCTTTTTTGGGTCAGTTGTGGGGATTGAATTCTGGGCTTGGGCGCTGTCCCTGCGCTCTTCAGCTCAAGGCGAGCACTCTACCGCTTGAGCCACAGTGCCACTTCCAGTTTTTCTGGTGGTTTATTGGAGTCTCATGTCCTTTCCTGCCGGGGATGGCTTTGAACCACGCTCCTCAGATCTCAGTCTCCTGAGTAGCTAGGATTACAGGAGTGAGCCACCAGTGCCTGGCTTGTGTACCCTTTAATTGTGACTTTATTGTGTCCTTTAGATCATAGAGGTTCCCCACTTCTGGACAAACCAGACAGACCAGACAGAAGTAGTGTTTTCACTTTATGACACATTCAACCACTTCCTGCTGACCTACCCTGCTGTTGGCAGACTCATACATGTCTCCTTCCACTTTCTTAGCGTAGGCAACCAGGTTCTCCATGCGACGGTCCTTCAGAGCTGCGGGGTCAGGGGTTGGGAAGATGGCTTGGACACTGAAAGGATAACACACTCTATCAACCTACTTTCAAGGTGGTCACATGAGAACCAGCAAAAACCAGGATCAGCAAATGGACTAACTGTGGTAACTGATGAGCAAAACCCCAAATCTCTCAATGTTGCTATAAGTCAAAAGTCTTTTTTCTGTTAACAACATGTATGGGTCATTTTGAAAATATGACTTTAAATGCTTACTTTTTAAAGTATTCTTTTTTTGGGGGAGGGGAGGGGGAGTCGGTCATGGGGCCTGAACTCTGGGCCTCGGCGCTGTCCCTCAGCCTTTTTTTTTTCTCCCCAGAGCTGAGGACCGAACTCAGAGGCTTGTGCTCGCCAGGCAGGCGCTCCTCCACTGAGCTTTTCAGCTCAAGGCTAGCATTCTATACAAAGAACTAGATTGCCCAGGCTAAAGCTTCAATTGCTGCTGTTCTAAGAGCAAAACCGGGTCTGGGGAGACCCACCTCAACTTTGGAGGCCACACCAGTCATCCTTCCAATGGGGAAGGGCTGGAAACAGAAGGCTGCGAGTCAGGATTATTTGTCTTGACAGTTGCAGTGGTTTGCAACTTTGTATATTAGAATTACTGAACATTTTTTTGGTAGGTCGTGGGGCTTGAACTCTGGGCCTGGTCGCCGTCCCTCAGCTTTTCAGCTCAAGGTGAGCGCTCTACCACTTCAGCCACAGTACCACTTTCAGCTTTTTCTGCTTATGTGGTGCTGAAGAATCAAACCCAGGGCCTCATGCATACAAGGCAAGCATTCTACCACTGAGGCACCTTTGCAGCCCTATTCATTTTTAAGAAGATCAAAATAAGGACAAAAACCTCTAAGAAATCTATTTGACTAACATCACCTTCAATTGAGGTAGCTTATTTTGAAAAGCTAACTTTCTGTGTATTAACTAACTGTATGATGCTATTTATACTCATTCCAATTCCCCCAATCTTTAGGAGTCTCTACAACTATAGTTCTGAATTACAGAATAAGGTAAAGCTCTTGCTTGAACCAGTCCCAGAGTTCAGAGGTTCAACTGCAGCTTCTCTGATACCTGTACCCATCCATGGAGGACCGAGGCTAGGAAACCCAATTTTCCCAGGCTCTAGCAATGGTGTTGGCTTTCTAACAACTACTGATCCTCTGTGACTCTAGGGAACTGTAACACCTGGGAGCCAATGGACAAATGTGGAACAAATCAGAACTCTATGAAACTGAAAAGTTACATCAATACTCTGTCACAAAATCTGTGTATAGAGGTGGGTACATACAGTTTATGCACTAGATGGCTCCGCAGATCCTGAGTGACATGTTCGTGCCAGCCTTTCCGAACACCAGTGCTGGAAGGAGGTGCTGCTGTAGGTACCGTGCTGAGGCTTCCAATGTTACCAGAGTTTGAACCATCATTCATCAGTGGGCTGAGGGGGACAAGAACAAGGACACTTCACCTAGCTAGTCAAGTGTCTCAAACACACTTAGATAAAGCTATCTTCAAACACGTATAACTTAAAAAGATTAAGCTAACAGATGCAAAAATCCAACAAAATTCAAACTATGTTTATTCTGTTGTTTATTTACTTCCGATACTGAGGCTTAAACTCAAGATCTCACATTTTTTTTTTTTTTTTGGGGTCTGGTCATGGGGCCTGAACTCTGGGCCTGGGCACTGTCCCTCAGCTCTTTCAGCTCAAGTCTAGCACTCTACCACTTGAGCCACAGTGCCACTTCCAGCTTTTTGCTTATGTGGTGCTGAGGAATCGAACCCAGGGCCTCATGCATGCAAGGCAAGCACTCTACCACTGAACCACCTTCCTAGCCCCGGCCTCACACTCTTACTTGGCCTTTTTACCCAATTCTAGCACTACTTGGACCATACCTGCACTTCCTGCTTTTTACTGGTTAACTGGAGATAAAACTCTCAATTTTTCTGCCCAGGCTGGCTTTGAACCTTGATCCTCAGATCTCAGCTTCCGAAGTAGCCAGTATTAACAGGCGTGGGCCACCAGCATCCAGCACGTTCCATATTTATAATTTTTTGAGGAGGAGGCTTAAAACTAGGACTCAAACTTGGCAGCTGAAGCTTTTGCTCACTGGATGGTGTTCTACCAGCTGAGGCATGCCTCTAACCCCTACATTTATAATTTTATGTTATTTCTGTCAGTTGTGGGGCTTAAACTCTGGGCCTGGGTGTTATCTCTCTCCTCTTCAGCTGAAGGCTAGCGCTTTACCACTTGAGCCACAGCACCACTTTCGGTTTTCTGGTGGTTAACTGGAGATAAGAGTCTCACAGACTTTCCTGCCCAGGCTGGCTTTGCACTGTGATCTTTAGATCTCAGCCTTCAGCTAGGATGACAGGTGTGAGCCACTGGTGCTCAGCTCTATTTATAATTTTTTTTTTTTTTTTTGTCGGTCGTGGGGCTTGAACTCTGGGCCTGGGCGCTGTCCCTCAGCTCTTCAGCTCAAGGCGAGCGCTCTACCACTTGAGCTACAGCACCACTTCCGGTTTTCTAGTGGTTTATTGGAGATAGGAGTCTCATGGTCTCTCCTGCCTGGGCTGGCTTTGAACCGCGATCCTCAGATCTCAGCCTCCTGAGTAGCTAGGATTACAGGCGTGAGCCACCAGCGCCCGGCTATTTATAATTTTAAAGGAGAAAAATGCCATTCTTTCCTGAAACCCTTTACTGCCACACAGTGATAAAAGACCTAAACTAATGTGATCCTTGTCCATTTTCATGTACACATCCCTCAGACAAGAACTGACTGAAACCTTGATCTTACTTGGAAGCACCCAACGACGTTGGAAGAGCTGGTTCTGAAATCAAGTTTGGTGGCTGCTGATCTGTTGTTATTCCCCCTGCTGGAATGTTCATTGGGTTGTTTCCTTCGAAGACAAAGAAAAATCAATCAATCCCTAGATTATAATATATACTTCAAAGTTCTTATAGTAGATAAACAAATCACCATATAAATAAACAATTCATATGAGGTATAGTAATAAAATATACAAAAAAGCATGACGGAATTTTGAGCTACATTTTCAGTAATGTTGGCCAACTTATTCAAATTCCATTGTTGACTCTTTCCTACTGTACTTGGTAACAAAAAATAAAGCATGCTCTGGAGGCTATTGGTATCTTAAATGTACTCTATTGCTATAGAGTGAATTATAACAGCTCATTTGCAATGTCCAAATTTGGTTCTGTTACATTAATGTCAAGCCTAGCTAACAAGGCTGACCTGTCACATACATCTGTGTTGGTTTTTATGTATCATAAAAGAAAGTCACACACAAAAAATGAAGAATAAAAATGTAGATGGCCACCAGAGTGGTGGTGGTGGTGGCGGCTGCCCGGCCATGGGCAGGAGCATGCTGGTAGGTGGAGTGTAACCTGTATCTCGCAGAACCAGCGAGAGATAAAGATGCAGTCTTTCCCCAGCCACCTGAATAATCTAGAGTTTTGTCTGGACTCTTTGAACACACACTAAGATAGTGAAGAGCCAGATAAAAAGCAGAGATTAATGAGGAACTCAGTGATCTGGTCTGAGACTCTCTAGCACTATGTTCTACGGGTGCAGGTGGGGATGACATGATTCACTGCCGAGCCACAATTATGGGACCTAATGACAGCCCATATCAGGGTGGTGTATTCTCTCGCTCTTTTTTGGTAAGTCATGGGGCTCAAATTCTGGGCTTGGGCACTATCCTTCAGCTCAAGGCGAGTGCTCTACCACTTGAGCCACTTTGCCACTTCCGATTTTCTGGTGGCTTATTGGAGATAAGTGTCTCACGAGGGGGGGGGGGGCGGGGGCTGGGAAGGTGGCTCAGTGGTAGAGCGCTTGCCTTGCATGCCTGAGGCCCTGGGTTCGATTCCTCAGCTCCACATAAGCAAAAAGAAAAAAGCTGGAAGTGGCGCTGTGGCTCAAGTGGTAGAGCGCTAGCCTTGAGCTGAAGAGCTGAGGGACAGCGCCCACACCCAGAGTTCAGGCCCCACGACCGGACCCCCCCCCCCCCCCAAAAAAAAAAAAGAGTCACGGACTTTTCCTGCTCAGGCTCACTTTAAACCTCAATCCTCAGATCTCAGCCTCTTGAGTAGCCAGGATTTCAGGTGTGAGCCACCGACACCCAGCTGGTGTATTCTTTTTGACAATTCATTTTCCTAAAGACTACTCCTTCAAACACCTAAGGTTATATTTACAACAGAATTTATCATCCAAATTTTAACAGTAATGGCAGCCTTTGTCTTGATATTCTGAGGTCACAGTGGCCTCCTGCTTTAACTATTTCCAAAGTTCTTTTATTCATTTGTTCACTGCTATGTGATCCAAACCCAGATGACCCCCTAGTGCCAGATATTGCACAGATCTATAAAACAGACAGAGAATATCTCGGGAAGAGACTCAGAAGTATGCCAGGTAATGATACCTTAAATTCAGAATAATCTACACTATAGCTGGAATAAACCTTAAATTACTGTTCCTTTTTTAATTTCCTATCTGGTTACTCAACTATCAGACCTCATGTTTTTTTTGGTTGGTTGTGGGGTTTGAACTCTGGGCCTGAGCCCTGTCCCTGAGCTCTTCAGCTCAAGGCTAATGTGCTACCACTTTGAGCTACTGCACCACTTCCAGTTTCTTAGTGGTTAGTTGGAGATAAGAGCCTCACGGACTTTCCTGCCCGGGCTGGCTTTGAACCACGATCCTCAGATCTCGGCCTCCTGAGTAGCTAGGATGACAGGCGTGAGCCACCGGCGCCCGGCATCTTTTTTTTTACTTTAATATTTTGTTTACCTCCCTCCATGCAGTCACATGTTCACCTGAGAAAATTTAATATCTTCCAGCTTTGGACAGCTTTTAGAGACTGCAAGTAGTTACAAGAAAACAGTTGTCCAAGATAGAGTAATTTTTTAAAAAATTGAGCATGTGTATTATGTGGCTAAAATCTTCACTCTTAACTTGGTTATGAGACTAAAAAACATTCCTCGCTGCTCTAACGTGCTGAAGAAACCATCTCAGGGGGAAGGAGATGGATACTCAGCTGTCACATCAAAGAAGCAACATCCTAGCAGGATCTATTCTTCCTTAAGCCTTCCACTGTTAAGAGATTTGGGGTTACATAGTATACTTCATGATCACAACTTACACGTGGTGGGAGAATTGGTACTGAATTTAGAGCATCAGCAGAACAAAAAAATGTTATATACTTTATTTATTTTTTTGGGTCCGGTCGTGGGGCCTGAACTCTGGGCCTGGGCGCTGTCCCTCAGCTCTTCAGCTCAAGGCTGGCGCTCTACCACTTGAGCCACAGCACCACTTCTGGCTTTTTTTTTTGCTTATGTGGTGCTGAGGAATCGAACCCAGGGCCTCAAGCATGCAAGGCAAGCGCTCTACCACTGAGCCACCTTCCCAGCCCTGTTATATATTTTATACATGTCAATAAAGAAATGACCTGTTCTTGTTCTACAGAGAATGGAAATTGGAAGCCAAACACCCTTCGTATTCCAAAATAGGGTCTCAAACACTTTGTAATTTTCATGTAAATTGTTAGGATGCTTGCAGCTATTAGTTAATCTATCTTCCAATACACTGTGTAATATAGCACTGAATAAATGATACAAGATGTTAATGGATGAGTGATCAACTAATAGCTCTGCTAGTAAATTGATTTTTTCTTCAATAAAGTTGCATAGATCAATTAGTTAACTGCCTGGATTAACCAGTATGGGACACAATGTTTTGTAAACTGAAAACTTTTTTGTTTTTTTCCCACCAGTCCTGGGGCTTGAACTCAGGGTCTGGACACTGTCCCTGAGCTTCTCTGGCTCAAGACTAGCATTCTACCATTTGAGCCACAGCACCATTTACAGCTTTTATCTGTTTATGTGGTATTAAGGAATTGAACCCAGGGCTTCATGCATGCTAGGCAAGCACTCTAACCACTAAGCCACATTCCCATCCCCGGTAAGCTGTTTTTTGTGTAAACTACTGGGATTTGCTTCACTATTTGACATCCAAGGATGATGTAAAGTTCATAGAGTGAATATTTTGCCATGTTCAGTTAAAGTGCACAGTCTGTTACAGGTTGACACCTTGTTTAACCTGATTTATGCAAACTTAGTAAGCTACTTAAATAGTGTAGCTTTAATAAACTGCACATGACACTGGCAGCCCTAGAGTTCATAAATGGACACAAGACCAGCAGTTCTGGAACATGTGTGTGGAACTTACTTTCCAGGTGCATCCCCTATCTAAAACTTCTCTTCATCATGTACACCTGATAGCTGGGGGGACAAAATGGGAGTAATACTGGGTCACAATTTACAAAGTACTGTTGGTGTGGGAGTTGTCGTAAGGTTGTGTGGTATTAGGTATGAGCTATTAGGCATACATGGAAATAGGTTTATGTAGCTATTTGCATTAATGAGCGTTTAAATGCATCATTTCAGGTGACTTAACATGAATAAAAGTCAATGGTATTGTAAAAAAATTATACATATCTGTATCTATATATGGCTAGATTCTATAATCTTCATATTAAAGTAAAAAGAAGTTGTAAAGTCACTGTATTGTCTCAAGTGATTCTATCAGCAGGGGAAGAGTCAGACAGAACTTGACTAGTCTTAGGGCTCCAACCCATTCTCTTGGCCAGTATTCGGACAAGTCATTAGGCAGTTGTTTTCCAAAAAACAACACATGCATAATATTAATTTTAGTTTCAATGTGTTTTGTTGGCAGAGCTGGGATCAGATTTGGGGCCTTGTGCATGCTAGGCAAGAGCATTATTCGCCCTGACTTTACGGACAGTACTGCTCAACATGGTGCAAACCTGAGGCATCAAGGACTGCCCATTCAGAGAAATATGTTAAAACAACACGTAAGAATGTAAGAAATTGTGGAGATATGTGAGCAAGTGGTCTGAGACTGGCAAATGATGATCTGGTGTGACGAGAAGAAATGCCAATCTGTACAGAAGATGTGACATTAGGAGGTTTCTGATTGTCTTGTTGTTAACAAGCTTGAGTAAGACCTGCTACTTGCAATGGTGGGTGGACCACAATCAAGACGTGCCCGGAACCAGCAGATACCTACCAATTCCTCATCAAATAAACAAGTCTACTTAGAAATCCACCCAATTACGGTACAGCCTAATGCTACCTTGTGGTATTTTGCATTCTGAGCCACTGGATGTCCTTTATGAAAACTACCTAGACAGCAGCAGTACAGGACGCAGCCAAACACTGCTTCCCTTGAAAATCCTGTTCTTTCTACAAGCTTGGGCATCTTCCTTGCATTGGGCACTTGAGCTTTTCCTTAGGTTGTTATTTCAATTATTGACTCTGAAGTAAAAACAAGAACTGAAAACAGCCTTGGGTTCCTGTAAGAGCTGTCATTCTTCCAATGCAAAGGGAATTCTTGGGTGCTCGTCCACCTACCCAGAGGGTTGAGAGTCCTCATCTGCTGGTGGGCTGGAGGCTGTGCTGGTTGCTGGCCAGGAACCTGAGGCTGCAGCTGCGTCTGGGGCTGGTTCATGTAGGGGAGTCCAAGAGCAGCATAGGCCCGCTGCATGGAGCTGGGGTCTATAGGATTTGGGTTACTTAAAGAAGTGGCATTCTGTTGCCCTGTCCCAACAGAACCAATTGTATTTTGAATTCCACTAGCTGGAGACCCCAGGATGGCTAGAATAACAAACAGACAGGCAAAAATGGTTAAATAAAAGGAAGCAGTTCGCAAGTGATTTTTAAAACTAATAAGCAAATAAAATCTTATAAAAGACCTTGCATGTACATCATAAAACATTCAAACAAGACCATCAAGGGCTAGACTGAAAGAATATTATGCATTTACTCTTTTTGGAAGCACAAAAAGCTGTTAAAAAAAGCAACAGAGATCACTAAATAAAAACCAGTATGTATTATAACCTAGACTTCTAAGTAGCCAGTTCTAGGGAGCGGTACATGAATAACAAAGCAAAGTATTTAATTCTTTGGGGTCAGCAGCCCTCTCTGAGATGAAAGAAGGAGGAGCCTTCCTATAGTCTCCTACCCTGACCCTTCTTTCCTGCCCACCTACGTATTTAACTTTGGGATTAGCAGAGATGACATCTAGTAAACTAGCTTTTATTAATAAAGCTACAATGTAATCCCCTAAGTAATTTTTTCTTGAGACAGCATCTCAATATGTAACCAACACTATCCTGGATGACTCGAGATCTTGATTACTGGGATTACAGACATGTACATCTAGTACAGTTAAATACTTCCTATTCGGCATCACAGCAGGCTGGGCACTAGTGGCTCATGCTTTTAATCATAGTTCAAAGCCAGCCTGGGCACAAAAGTCTAAGGAAGACTATCTAATGAACAAAAATGCTGAGCTGGAGGCATGGCCCAAGTGGTAGAATATCACCTGTGAGCAAAGGCAAGCAGGAGTGTGAGGCCTTGAGTTCATGCCACAGTACAAGAACAAAATTTTTTTAAAAAGGAAAAGAAAAAGACAAAAAGCCTGCAATACTTGACTGAATACAGGTCTGCTAAAACTTAAGAGCTGGAGCAAGGGCTGAAGATTCTCCCTGGGTTTTCACTTCTTCAGGTATCATCTCAGAATCGCTGCTGTTCAGAACCTAGATCTGTCTATCTTCTTCATGGAGTCATCATCAGCTACCTCTACTGAAGCCCACAAGTGGATTGGAGAGTGGCTGTCCCGCCCAGCTGGCCAACTCCAGGAGACTAAAGCAAAAAGCCATGGACACATAAGGAAGTCCATTTCTTTTTTTTCCCCCCTGCTTATGTAGTGCTGAGGAATCGAACCCAGGGCCTCATGCATGCAAGGCAAGCACTCTACCACTGAGCCACCTTCCCAGCCCCAGGAAGTCCATTTCAAATGGCTTTCAAATTAACCGACAGGTAACTAAAACTTGCATTTCCTTGTCAAGTTACACACACACACACACACACACACACACGCCCCCCCCCCCCCCCCCACCGCATGTGTCCTCTAAGCACAGTAGCTTTCTGTCGCACTCTGTGTATGCTGGTATATTAGGGCATGAACCTAGTGCCTGGAAACTGCCCTGAGCTTTTGAACTCAAAAGTAATGCTCTACCACTTGAACTACAGCTCCACTTCTGGCATTTTAGTAGTTTGCTGGAGATAAGAATCTCATACCAGGCACAGTATATAATCCTAGCCAACCTGGAGGCTGAGATCTAAAGGTCATGGTTTGGGGCTAGGAAGGTGGCTCAGTGGTAGAGCTCTTGCCTTGCATGCCTGAGGCCCTGGGTTCCATTCCTCAGCACCACATAAGCAAAAAGAAAAAGCCGGAAGTGGCGCTGTGGCTCAAGTGGTAGAGCGCTAGCCTTGAGCTGAAGAGCTGAGGGACGGCGCCCAGGCCCAGAGTTCAGGCCCCATGACTGGACCCCCCCCAATAAAATAAAATAAAATAAAGGTCATGGTTTGAAGCCAGCCCAGGTAGAAAAGTCCCCCTAACACTCTTATCTCCAATTACCCACTCAAAAACTGGAAGTGGAGCTGTGGCTCAGAGTGGTAAGAGTGCTAGCCTTGAGCAAAAGAGCTCAGGGACAGTGCCCAGGCCCTTAGTTCAAGCTCCATGACTGACCCTACCCCCACACCAAAAAATAAAAATAAAAATAAATAAATAAAGGGTTCTCACGGACTTTCCTGTCCTATTTGGCTTTGATTCATGATGCTCAGATCTCAGCCTCCTGATGTTATTATGAAGGTGTTATACAGAGGGGTTTCCATTTCATAAATCAGGTAATGAGTACATTTCTTTTTTGGACAATGTCACCCCTTTCTTCTCCTTTCCCCAGTTTACCTCTCCCATCCCATCCCACAAATTACATGGTTCATTTTTCACATAGTATATACTGAATAGCATGATTGCACTTGTTCATCCTTCTTCCCTCCCTTTCTGAGACCTCCCTCCACTGCTCCCTCCTAAAAAGAAAACAAAAACCAAATATCATCACTATCACCAAAACAAACCCATGTTTCCATTTCCTGGAATTTGTTTTGATAAATAGTATTTTAAATGTTCAGGAGTTACACCTTTGAGTTCTTCCACTAAGGGTATCTTCCTTTAGTCTGTGTGTAAATGCCTAAAGTCCTGTATAGGTTATCATGTCCAACTGTATTTTTAGATATGGTAATAACAATTTTTGACACGGGAAATATTATCACTAAGAGTCTTTCTTTAAAATGCAAGCCATCATGTGTAACAATAATGTTCTTACATTAAGCTATCAATCCAACTATAATAAATTACTTGATTTTTTTAGAGCAACTCAATTAAACTGCAATGTGTAAAATTTTTTTCAGTACTCATTCCATATCTTTTCTGATAATGATATTCAGAACTCAAGCATATTAACGCTAATTAGATATAATTACATATACCAAATACCATATTTATTATAAATGAAAAGCAATTCCCCAAGGTAAACCTTATAATATGTAGATAAGATAGTCTCGCATATTTTTAAAGTGTTTCATCTAATAGTTAATATTCCCTGAAACTTTAAACATATCCCATCATACTTCTGAAACCAATACATTTTTTTTTTTTTTAAGGAGGTACTAAAGATACTTTTTAAAGAGTGCCAGGTACAGAATGCAGGGCCTCATACTTGCTAAGCAACCATTCTACCACAGAACTGCACTCCTGTTCCAGAATAATTTACTTTTCTATCACCTTGTGGTATAAAAAAAGAACACTATAATTGATAGTCATACTGATCAATTATGGCCAAGACTTAAAAAAAAGGAAGAGTCTGTGGCCTCCCTCTCTGAGTAATAGATGTGCGTTCCTGACTTTGTTCTATATTCTTTCATCACACTTCCCCAAATGACACTGATTTAGTTAACACCTCTACCTTAGGGTGAACGTCATTCTTAAGCCAAGGCCACTGATGGGGTAGCCAGTATCTCACTCTCAAAAGACACCTCACTGTCAACACTGACTGACTATGTATACATTATTTTTATACCATCATAATGCTCAGAGCTTGGCATTTCTAACAATTCAGAAGGAAAATAAATTACAAACAGCAGATTGACACTGAAGCACAGCCTACTGTGAGATCCATGTGATTGCTACAAGATGAAACAGCATGAACACCTAGGAGAAGAGCACACGGCTTACGGTGGGAATCATGGTTGATTGACAGGTGGGATACATAACATATTGTAAACTCTTGTAGAAATGTAACAGTGAAACTCCCCTCTGTATAACTAATGTAAGCTAATTAAAAAAAATCAACAGGAATCCACATGAGACTCATTTGCCACATAGACCCAAGTCCAGGGGATTTGCAGCCATTGTGTGTAGTTCCCATCCCGCTCCAAACTGACTGAAAAAGTGCCTTGGGGCTAAACAAGAACAGAGCACTTAAGACAGCAATGTCTCACTATCTAAATCCTAAGAAAGAGTTCTCTAGTCACCAGTTCTTCATCAATTACTGAGGTAGATCTTCTTAGTCCTTTTACCATTCATATACCTCCTTTCCTTTCTGTGGCTTACAGCTGATTAATGTGTCACCAGGCTACAGGATGCAATACCTCACCCTGAGGTGTCCTAATATGCCAGGTTTGGGTTCTCCTTGGTGTTGTACCTGAACCCAGATATTTGCTTGCCTTTTTGATTTTTAGATTTCCCTTTTTCTTCTGTACAAGTACTGGGGCTTAAGCTGTCTCTTAGCTTTTTGGTTCAAGGCTGATGCTCTACGAGTTGAGCTACACTATTACTTCTGGCTTTTTGGTGGCTAAATGGAGGTAAGAATCTCACAGACTTTCTTATCTGGGCTAGCTTTGATCTGTGGTCCTCAGTCTCCTGAGAAGCTAGGATCATAGGCGTAAGCCATGGGTGCTTGGCTTACTTGCCTCTTTAAAGCAATCCAATATCCTCTCTACCTCACCATTCCCACTCTATTGTAGGAAAAGCAGGAGACCATGGTTTATGAAATAAAAGGCCAAGTTTATTGTGTGCTCTTTCTAGGATTCACCTGCCATTCCTTGTTTCATTTTCTTTTCTCCTTTTGGTGGTACTTGAGTTGAAGTCAGGGCTTTCTACTTGTCATGTAGGAATGTGTTGTACTGCTTGAGCCAGGCCTCGTGGTGGGCCTGGAAACACAGTTCTCATCTCCACCTCCTGATAGCTAGGATTAGAAATGTGAACAAGCCTACCCAGCCTCACCTGCCATTCTTTATGCAGGGCAAGGCAATCCTTCCCTCATGAATATGAAGAGTGGTCTACTGAGAGTGTCTATATAGTACATGCTGCTAACAATCAATGAACCAGCAACATCAGTCTCTCATCTTTCTCACTAAAAATGGACACAAATTGTAATTTCAAGGCTTTGTCGGGGCTGCAGGAGACATATTGCAGAGTGGACGAGGAGGCTGATCTACCCATTCCTTGGATTTCTTCAAACAAGAAGGCAAGATTACAGCAACATGTTAGAGGGGGACCACTGAACAGTCGTGAGGACTCACACTGTGCCAAGCTCGAGTCTACACTGGAGATGACCCTGAAGCACTGATGTGTGTCCTTGAGGGGTTCAGAGCTGGGAAACCTATGATCTCCTTTGGAGATTACCGCCACCTCTCTATAGAGCTTGGCCCTTGCAGGCATCCTGAGCAGACCATTTCAAATCTTAATGTGTACCTTAGAATTTGTTAAAAATGTAAATTATAATACAGAAGGACAGGTCCAAATGTCTACATTTCTAACAAACAACCTAGAATCACCTTTGCGGCCTGAGTACTCCATTCTGAGTTAGCAAGAACCTCACCGGGTCTGGTTGAGGAACTTGGACACATGCCACACAGATATCAGGACTGATGGCAAAAAAGTTCTAAGATTTCAACAACTGAGTATTTCTATAAAAGATGCTTAACTTAGGATCAGTCATCACAGAGCTTGTAGAAAACAGTTTGAAGAAAATTTTAAAATCTCAACATAAGCCAAAAAGAAACCATTTTTGAGTTTTATTTTAGCAATAAAGGTGATTTGGAAGATTGTCTCAATAGTACTTTAGCTTCAATTATAGGAGTTAAAAATAATATAGGATGTGTGCCAACCAATGAGGTGTACACGAGACAGTCATGCCAAAAAGCTGAGCTGTGTGCTGGCCCAGTGCCGAGTGCCAACAGCAGGTGCGGGTGGCCTTCAGCAGTACACTGTGGTCTTTAGAAGCTCACTCCAGCCCACCTCACTTAAACAGGTACCTCTGAGTCCAATCAGATCCGCTCCTCACAGACTAGTGTTATGCCAACATTGTTACTGCTGCCTAAAATGTTCTTCCATAGCTATTATGTTTCGATTGAGCTCCATCCAGCCCCACCTTTCTCTATGAAGTAGTCCAGGCACATGTTTGTTCTCCTCCCAAGGATTGCCAAAAGCACTGACTTCATTAGATCCTTTCAGTGAGACCATCACCTCAGTGTCTTGTTAAGTTTCTGAGACAGGATCTCACCATGGTATAAACTAGGCACTAGGATCGCAGGGACATGCATCACATTTCACCACATCATTTGGATGCATATGTCATTTGCCTCTAGAATCTAACCTTAAGTTATAGGGGATCAGATCACATTTGTCTCTCAGTTCATAAACCAAAGTTTACACATTATAAGCACAATTTGGTTTAGGAGAAAAAAAATTACAGAAGACTATTGCTAAAAATGCCCTCACTTATTACTCCATACTCACAAAAGTACAGGTCTAGAGTCAAACATCACACATAGGGCTTAAATGTAATTTAAGAAGCACTTAAGCTAGGTGTTTGTGGCTCATATTAGCAATCCTAGCTACTCAGGATGCTGAGATTTGAGGATTGCAGTTAACAGTCCAGGCAGGAAAGTCCAATTAACTAGTTGATAACTGATAAGTAGGTGATAATTATCATTAATTAAGTAGTGGAAAGAAAAGCTGGACTAGGAGCATGGCTCAAGTAGCAGAGTGCCAGCTGTGAATAGGAAAAGTCAAGTGGAACACAAGGACCTAGATCAATCAAGCCCCCAGTATCAGCATTAAAAAAGAGGGGGGAAAAACAGTTGAAACATTTAAAAAGAGCTGTCGGACCTGTTGGCTCTTGTCATTAACTTTATATGCCCAGAAGGCTGAGGATCACAGCCCAAGGATCACAGTTTGAACCCAAACTGGGCAAAAAAGCTTGTGAAACTTTTATTTCCAAGTAACGAGCAAAAAGTTAGAGGTGAAGGTGTGGTAAAACAAACAAACAAAAAAACCCTTGAGCAAAAAAGCCAAGTAAGAGCACAAAGCCCAGAGTTCAAGAATTGACATAAATAAATCTTCAATTTTTCTCATTAAAAAACTACCAAAACCTTTTGCAGAGTACATATGAGCCTCCTCCGTAACATTTGCTACCGAATCACCCTGGAAACACTTCACAATATGACTAGTAGAGAGACTGTGGTTTACCACTTGAGAGGGCATGCATCAAATCAGTTTTCCTAATACTCAGGCAGTTACAAAGAGGTTAAGAAAAACAAACCACACACATTTCTTTCTTTTTAAAAACAAAACCACGTAAGTGTTTCTTCTTCCTTTTTTTCTTTTTTTTTCTTCTGGTGCCCCTGAGCTTCAGTTTGCTCAAGGCTAACAATCTACCATGTGAGCTACAGTCCCACTTCCAGCATTTTTTGTAGTTTATTTGGAGATAAAAAGTCTCACAAACCTTTCTTTCTGCCCAGGTTGGCTTCAAACTGCAATTCTCAGATCTCATTTTCCTGAGTAGCTAGGATTATAGGTGTGAGCTACTAGTGCCCAGCTTAGAGAAATATATTTTTAAAAGGAGAAACCACAGAAGTTTAGAACTTTCCTAGCAATATACACCAAACACAAAAGACCTCAAAATCTTCGCACTCTCAAAAAACTAACATCCTAGCTTATTAAGAAATTAATATTGTACAAGTACAAACTTGACAATGAAATCACAATAAATTAAACCGCTGCCATACATTTTTTAGAAGTTTTACAGTAATTTGGAGAAAAGTAGTCAGTATGCCACCAGAACTATTACCATCCCAAATAAACTGGCTCCAGAAGACTTAGTCTTCTGGAACTTTATTTATATAAAAGATGTCTGGGAAAACTTATGTACTAAAGTACAATTTTTGGTCAAAGAATAATATAACTGATTCAGGAAACTAAGTTTTAAAAGAAACTTACTGTGATGGGGGAGTATGGCTCATATGGTAGAATGCCTGCCTTGCAAATATGAGGCTGTGAGTACTGCCAAAAAGAAACTTACTGGGACTCCTGTGTAGGGAGGAAGAGTAAAAGACCCCCGCGCCCTAGATTTCTCTCAATACAGACAAGGACAGCTCCCAGTGACAGCTTCAAGGGAGGGGAGCTGGACATGTAAGAGGAGACCGTGGAGCCAGCACCGGCTCCACTCCATGACCTTCTCGGATCAGGGTTCCCATCTCTCCCTGTGTCACTCACATCCAGCCAGGAAAAAAAGCAGCATGTGTTCCCAAGGCTGCAGGTGGAGACCCTGAGGATGATGATGAAGAAGTACGAGGAATGTAAACTCAGAACACAACTGTGGAGGAGAAAAGCTGGCATAGATGAGATGGAGGAAGATGAGGAAGACCGTGCCATGAGCCCGAAGGGCTCCTCCTAGCTATCCAAACGAGGAACACTCCCAGAGACCACTGACATGATAGAAAACGGCCTTCAAAAGAAGAGATATTGTTTTCTTATTGCTTTGATGCCTACAAACGGTAAGGATTCATGGGGGCCTCCCAAATGAACAGACATTGGTGTAGAACCGATCATTCTAAGGGTTACACAGACGACTCAGAAGACAACAAAACAATGGGAATGAGCAGATGTGCCAGTCCTGGAGCAGAGACTCTCAACGGAAGTGGAACAGTTCTGGGAACTGCATCTCTGAGTAGGAGGAAGAAAGTTCGTAAATGTCTCTCCATGTGGGAATCTTATACTGACCAACCTAACCGACAGAGCCTTCACTATTTGTTTGGAGGGATATCTAATGCAAAAGAAGTACTGTTTCACCTTCCCGTATCACTGCCACTATAAGTGACACAGTATTCAACTCCTCATACTTGGTAACTGAGAAAAAAAAACCCATCTTCATATCTGCTATTTGATGCACTGCACTCCAAGTGCATGCATACAAGGTAGGGCCAGGGAGGAGGGTAAATTAGAGCTCAACATGGACATGGCCATCAGCTTCACTAACGGGTGGGTTATCTACAGGTTGAGCTTGGCTGTACCTGGATCTCTGCCTGCACTGCCTTACTACTGCCCTTTGCAGATGGTAACCCCTTAAAACATTCTAGTCTCATCTCCAAGCTTCTCTGCCCCCGTGCTCACTTACTTTGTTGGTTTCGCTTGTCACTGGCATTTTTCAAAGGGAGGCAAACAGGACAGTCATGTCGTGTGCAGTTCTTCCAATGAGAGATGATTTGTCGTGAAGATGCACAATGGGCAACTATGACCAGAAAAACAACGAGATGTTATTTTTCTATCCAAATCGTCACACTTTCAATTACACCTAAATTATAATGCCAGATTCCATAAGAAAATGGTAACAAGTGTAACCATAACACAATACAGGCATCTTCAACTTACAGATTGCTTTCCAAAAAGTTTGTAAGTTGACTGTCAAAAACTCCAAACAGAAAACTTCCCATAGAGGCAATGTTATGAATGATGGGTGATTAAGATTTAGCCCACAAACAAAATAAAACTATTCAACCTGAAATACAGAACTGAAAAGTAAAACAAATATAGTTCTGCAATGTCACTATTTCAAATAAAAACATTGAATTGTATTTAAAGATGAAAGCATCTAAATACTTCAGTTGAAGAAATGTAGACAGAGAAGCAAATGAGAAGTCTGTGGAAATTTTGAAAGAGACCCTTGAGTGTTTATGGTAAAGTACTGGAGAGGATAATCAATGCTCTAGCTATTCTCAGTCTTCATCTTCGAAGTCTAACCTTACCTGTTCCAACCTACTCATGATCAGGATTACTCTGGGGACTCACAAGTGACACAATGGGAGAAAGACAAGGTAGAGTTTACCCCAAGGTTTAGGAAACAAGAAAGAAGAGAAGGAAAGAAGATAAAGATGACAGGAAAGGCACAGCTGTTCATGTGAACAGTTCACCTCATTCAGTGTAACTGAGGTGTCTGGGAAAAGGGGTAGAGGGAACACATGATGTGCCTTGGGATGAAACGGTGCACACAGTCTCCCCTGTCACTGCCAGTCACCCAGGACAACTTGCTGTCATTGGAGTAGCCTCAAGATGTAGGGCAGAGAAGCAGAGCAGTGGGCAGCAGCAGGTCTGAGTCCATGAACAAGACAGATGCTAGCTTCAGAGAAGGGCATGTGCCTGTCTGTGCATGTGCTAGTCACTGCCCAAAAGGAAATCACAATCTAGATATTTACAACCAGGAGTGTTCAAGAAGAGATAGTCTTCCATGACAGGAAAAGAACACAGGTCCTAGCCTTATGCAGAAGAAATCTAAGTTATTAGAAAACCAAACTGCCTTTCTCCTTAGCAGGTGAGCCTTCCACAGGCAGCTGAGTGTCAGGTGGTGGGTGCAAGAGCAACATGTTCTAGGCCACACCAGAAAGGGGTCAGTACAGAAGGGTGCACAGCCTGTGACCACAACAAGAACAAAGGCACATTCTACCCTGACCATGGCCACTAGTTCAGAAAAGAGCACTTACCTTGGCAGGCTTTCCCAGCCTGACAATGTGTCATATGATTCAAAACATTTTTCATGGTTCGACAATGTGGGAGAGAGCAGGCCCGAACCTCTCCGTTTGCTTGTTCTCGTCTCTGACATTTATGAGCATGAAGCAGTAGAACCAGCTGCTGCTGTATCAGTTTGCGTTTTTCAGGATCTGCAGTAGGACCTGTTGCAATTGCTTGTGTGGGTACAATTCCCACTGATGTTTGCATCTGTGACTAAAAAGAACAAAACAACAAAAAAAACCTTAGTAAGCTTTCAGAACTTGAATTTACCAGAGCTCCTTCAGCTTAGTTTCTTCAGTGGTGCCTAGAACACATACACAGTAATTTCACTGTGGTCACTGCCTCTCCTAAGAGAATACAACACTGTCCTCAACAAGTGCAATTTTAAGATTATCATGTCTTAAGAAAGGTCAAGCGCCATGGCTGGCAAAATAAATAAATAAATAAATAAACAAGTAAGAGGGCTAGGAAGGTGGCTCAGTGGTAGAATGCCTGCCTAGCATGCACGAAGCCCTGGGTTCCATTCCTCAGTACTGCATACACAGACAAAGCCAGAAGTGGCTCTATGGTTCAAGTGGTGGAGCGCTAGCCTTGAGCACAGACAGGCTCAGGGACAGTGCCCAGGCCCTAAATTCAAGCCCCAGAACTGGCAAAAAAAAAAAAATCCTCCTCTGATAACAGCTAATACCTATCATATTCTGAATTGGTTTGTTTTGTCTTTATGAGAACTCAGGACATGTACGTGTATGTGTAGAAAAACCAGGTGACTTTGCTTAGAAGCACATTAGAAGCCTGAGTATAACTCTAAGTACAACCCAATTTCTAGCTGAAGTACATCTGAGGTTTCACAGTGACAAAAAAAGATTGCCCACCTATAAACCTGAGATTCTGAACTGGGCAGACTAGATGAGGCCCAGGAGAAACAAATTGCTGGGGTACATACTGAGAGATACTACAGCATGAGCCCTACAACTCACATGCCACCCTGAGAGGACTAGCACGCATGGCTCACCATTCGAATGCCATCAGTCACTGCCCATTGTGGCAGGACACAGAAGACAACCCCATAGACAACCCTCTCCAGTCAGAACAGCCCTGTACCATCCATACTCTCTTCCCTTATAAAAACATTCATCAGCTGCTGATGGGGTTGGTCCAAAACCTCAACTTCAGAATTCTGATACATGATCAAAACAAGTGATAACACTGCTCTCATAAGGCCTTTTAAATAAATAACACACCTGGTAAACCTCCTGCATTATAGCTTTAGGAATGGTCAAGTTTTCAGCACAGTTAATTTTTCTTAAAAAAAAAAAAAAAAAGCCCACATGAGCTGTGTATCTGAAATAACCTTGAAAGAGAACCTAGAGACGAAGCCTGTGTGATGGAGAAACGTTCTCAAAGACTCCCCACTTCCAAGCAGCAATCTGTTACAGTGGCTCAGCAAGATGATGCCGCCGGTTACCAGGTTGTCTGTCTTCTGAAAGAACCACCAATACACAGCCATTCCCTGCCACTCTCTTGACTTCTTTTTCCCTCTGGTAGCAGTGCTTCAACTGAGAGAACTCATACTTGGATGGCTTGCTTGCTCACAGCTGGTACTCTACCACTTCAGCCACATCTCCAGTATTTTGCTGGCTAATTTGAGAGGGAATCTCATGGATTTTTGTGCTCAGGCTGGCTTCAAACTGTGAACCTCCAGGTTTCAGCTTCCTGAGTAGTGTGTATTATGGGCACAAGGCACCAGCACGCAGCTTCTACTCTCCTAACTATGCATTCCTGCACACACATCCCTCCTCAAAGATACCTATGTATCTCATATCTAATCTACACAAAGGCAATTCAATTTCTGCCCCCCTAAAAATCTGCTCCTCCTCCATCAATAAAAGTAATTTTAAAATTCTTGCTCCCACATTAAGCTGTCCTGGAAACTGTATAGAGAGCTCATATTTATTAAAGTACTCAACAGAGACAAGTAAATCAGCATACATACTAAATGTCATTAAATCTAGGATTTGACTGAGAAGTGAGACGCTCATGAAAAAGTGCATCTGAGAATCATGAAAAATTATATGATGACAATTCTTTTTTAAAAGTATTTTTTATTTAATGACTTTTTTGTTGTTGTTGTTCATATGGTACTAAGTAATCGAACGCAGGGCCTCATGCATGCCAAGCAAGTCCTCCTAAGCCACTTTCCCAGCCCATATGACAATTCTAACAAACCTCAAAGTCTGTATAAAGTAAAAGAGGACAAATAAAATGGTCAAAGATAAAGTGCAACAAGATACACCTGAAAATTTAAGAAAATGTGTACTTGCTTTTGGATATATCCTCAGGAATAATTCTATTTCCAAAGAAGCTTAGCCCTTTCAGAGCTCTCACCAGCATGACCTAGGAATAATGGCATCAATACTGGACGTGACCATGGAGACATAATCCAAAGGTCGCCACACATGCCTCAGTGGAAGACACTTCTTCCAAGGCTAACCTGCATGTTCTGACGTTCTGATATCCTCTTGGTCTTAGCACTCTAATTCCTCTGATCCCAAGGTTCCCTCTCCAGTGTTTTATTCTTCTGCTGTCCTCCTTGCCAGCTCCTCCTTCTTCCTTTTTTCCCTACTCACCCTAGCTGGCTTGTCTGTCTAGTGTTCTGCCTAGAATTAATACCCCATAGCTGTCACTACAATGTCTCATAAGCTGCTGATTCCCAAATGGCTAATGGCTACCCTACTCATATACCCATTGACTTGTCTACCATTTCTTCTTGGGCATCCATAAGCATCTAGGCACTGTCCTAGAGTGCAGTCTATCACATCCTTTCCTTTGTGCCCCCCCCCCCCCCAAGGCTTCTCTCTCCTCCACAGCTCAGTCAGGGTTTCTTCATTAGATTATCCCCTCACCATACACATTGGCTTTGGTGAGCCACATCCAGGCCACTAGTGCGTCTCCATAATACTGCAGTGCACATTCCTTTCCCAATCCTCTCTCTACACATGAGCCAGAAGAACAAGCTTTGATGTAAAGACTGCAGCTCAAGGCTGGCAGAGTGGCTCAAATGATAAGACTACCTGCCTAGCAAGTATTCAAACCCCAACACTGAAGACCAAAAAAATAAAAATCAGGCTCTGATACTGGCAGAATTGCTTGAGTATGGAGTACATGCTTAGTAGTGCAAAGCCTTCAGTTCAACCCCTAATACTAGAGATAGCCAGCTAGCTAGCTTAATTTCTAGCAAGCCAATGGCCCTCTTTCCATCCAAGTTGCATACCTGCTTAAGATAATCCCTGCTTGGCCTCTGTCTTCTCTCAAGAGTCACATTCAAAGCCAAGAACTGGTGGCTTAGACCTGTAATCCTAGCCACTCAGGAGGCTGAGACTTGAGGATCACATTTTGAAGTCATCCAGGATAGAAAAGTTCGTAAGACTCATCTACAATTAGCCAGTAAAAAGCTGGAAGTGGAGTTGCAACTTTAGTGGTAGAGCTTTTTCCACCTTGAGCAAAAAGTCAATTTAGAGTTAGAGGCCTGAGTTCAAGCGCCATTACTGTGATTTTTTTTTTTTTTGGGGGGGGGGGGGGGGGGAGTCGTGGTAGGCTTGAACTCTGGGCCTGGGCACTGTCCCTCACCTCTTCAGCTCAAGGCTAGTGCTCTACCAATTGAGCCACAGTGCCACTTCCGGTTTTCTGGTGGTAAATTGGAGATAAGAGTTTCATAAACTTTCCTTGTCCCAGCTGGCTTTGAATGGTGATTCAGATCTCAGCCTCCTGAGTAGCTAGGATTATAGGCGTAAGCTACTGGTGCTGGCGATTTTTTTTAAGTCATCTTCCAAAGCACTGTCTCCTACCAGTTCCCACACAAGCCAATGCCTCCCGTTCCCCAATATGGCCTTCTCTGGTAAAAAAAATTTCTTGGTCAGTCATGGGGCTTGAACTCAGGGCCTGGGCTCTGTCCCTGAGTACTTTTGCTCAAGGCTAGTGCTCTACCTCTTTGAGATACAGCACCACTTCTGGTTTTCTGGTGGTTAATTGGAGACAAGAGTCTCATAGACATTCCTGTCTGGGCTGGCTTCATACCATGATCCTCAGATCTCAGCCCCCTGAGTAGCTACAGTTATGGGCATGAGCCACTGGCCTGGCTTATACAGACCTTCTTGAGCAGTTTTCTAATTATTCATCATTGCTGCACATCTCCAATTTCATAAAAAGGGGCAAGCTCACCATTACTCACACCTATGTTCTAGGCTCTTCTCCAAATCCTGGGCACATGGAAGGGTCTCACAAGTATGACAAATTAATTAACTGAGCAACTGCAACCTTTCCCTTTTTCAATGCCACCTGGCAATGTTAGAATCATACAGAAACCAGGTGGAGCTCATAGTTCATCACCACACAGACTCAGTCTATGAAGAGCTAAACCTCGGTACCAGATAATTCAGCATCCATCATGACTTGAATTGTTTGGTACCAAATCCAGTTGACTTTCAAAGATTACTCGCAGAAGCATGAAAGAAAATGTTAAGTCCAAGTCATTCTATATTCCTTGATCCATGAAATAGACCTTGTTTTTCAGTAGCTTCTTCTCATCATGCAAAAATCTGCAGATTTCAAGAGGCCAAATATAATAGAGAAAATTCAAGGAAGATCACAAAACACAATCAAGGAATTGCAAACAACTGTTTAAACACAGGCTAGGGGGACATTCCCAGCAGACTCAGAGCTGCTGAAGCATGACATCCAGATGTAATTAAAAAGCAGTTTGCAGGAAAGATGTTACAAACCAGACCTCAATTTCCTCATCTCTGAAATGGGAGCTATAATGATGGCTCTCAAGAGGATGCTACAGAAATACAGTACAATGCAGGATTTGGATGCGCTTTGGAAGAAGCCTGGCACCCTGGGAGTTGGTCAGTCTGGCCTCCAGTGGGTCACTGAAGTCTGTTCTCAGACCACGCTGGCTCACAGACAACATTCACACACATACAAGCCCACCTACTCTGCGCCCTACAGAGCAAACAATGGATGCAAAAAACCCAGTTTTCCTTCTAAAAGCACTGTGGACTTCCCCCAAGCCCCAAGCAGAGCAGTGCAGCTCCTGTGGACAAGTACATTCTTCAGTTTTCCGTGATCCTAAGAAAACACAGAATACGAATTTGATTTCCTGTGAGATTCCAGAAGACCAAAGGATGAGCCACTATTGATACTGCTTCCCTGAACTATCTCTGGAGCAGTGGTTCCCATGAGGGGGTGGGGGAGAGAGGGGAAGAGACTATTATGTCCCAGGGGACATATGTCAAAATCTAAAAACATTTTGGATTGTAACAAGGATAGGAAGATGTTTCTGTCCAGTTTTGGGCATATTATGCCCAGTAAGTTCAAGCCGCTGGAGCAGCACTCAAGACTGGCAAGAGGTACCTTGAACAGAGGAATTCTTTCACTCGGATGAGAATGTGAACCAAAGAGGCACTTAAAAGAGAATAGGGGCATCATGATTCAAAGCCAGCCTGGGCAGGAAAGTCCATGAGACTTTTATCTCCAATTAACCACCAAAAAATCGGAAGTGGAGCTGTGGCTCAAGTGGTAGAGTACTTGACTTGAGCTGAAGAGCTCAGGGATGGTGCCCAGGCCAAGAGTTCAAGCCTCATGACGGGGGGGGGGGGGGGGGGGGGGGGGGGGAGGGGGGGTGTGGAAGAGGAGGGAGGGAGGGAGGGACAGAGGGGGGGGGGCGAGAAGGGAGAGAGAGAGAAGGGCAGAAAACACTGAGAGATTCTCTGAGTATAAAGCATGGGACATCTTGAAAAAACTCAAATGCTATCACCTAAAGCCTAAATGTACTCTTGGGTTGCTGAGCAGGCACAGGTAATAAATATTGTCCAGCCCTGGTGTCCACAACACTATCCTCTCAGTGAGGACTGGAAAAGCAAGAAAGACCAACCATGTAGGTGCCAGGTCCTAACTCCCTGAAGGCCAACACCATTCCCAGAACCCAGGCCTGAGCTGTGAGGGAGAGGATAATCATGGCAACCAAAAGCTAGCAGAAAAGGGAATGGAGCCCGGGGTGTAGGGGGTCATCATTAGAAATAAACAACAGTAAAATCTTCAGTGGCTTTGATACTCCTGGAGGATGAGGGTAAAGATACCTTCTGATTCTATCCTATTAGAGAGAAAAAAAAATTCATCTCTGCTTCCCAACAGCTTCAGAACATTAGACATTGTAAACATTCATCTCTTAGTTCTGATGTAGTAAGTGCAAAGGCCAGAGAAGATGTAGACAGAGGAAGCAGAATGAGGAACACAGAAGAATCCTCTGAACACTTCAAAATGAAAAGTTTTAAAACAACAAAAGGAAAACAAGACAAAAAAAAAAAAATCCTGCTGGGTGCTGGTGGTTCACACCTGTAATCCTAGTCACTCAGGAGGCTGAGCTCTGAGGATCACAGTTCAAAGTCAGTCAGGGCAGGAAAGTCAGTGAGACTCTTTATCTCCAACGAACCACCAGAAAAAATGGAAGTGGTGCTGTGGTTCAAGTGGTAGAGGATAAGCCTTAAGCTGAAGAGTTGAGGGACAGCACCCAGGCCCAGAGTTCAAGTCCCATGACCGACTTCTCAAATTACTACTGGAGAAGTATGTGCACGGCAAACAAAGTCTAGCTGCTAGCAACAGCACAGGGAAAAGGAGTAGCTTTTTAGAGACTGACCAATCACCACATGCACATCATACATACAGTAGATGGGGTATGTAGTGAGGATGGACAGAAAAGGCAATATTCTAAATTAACAGAGTTCTACTTCGTGGCGTAAAAGATCCTTTGTCACATTAACATCTCAGATGGGTCCACAGACTTCTCGTTTCACAGGTCAGAACTCTTAGTGAGAGAATGAAGGCATAATCATCTCTCAACTCAGATGACACTCATCTCATCAGCTCAACACAGTCCTTGCAAGACAAAGGTCTTTCTCTTGACTGTAACGTTGACAGCTTCAACACACTAACAGTAAGGATAAGAAAAGTCAGCACCACTGGTTTTAAAGGTGTGGAAAGATGAAACAATTCATCCATTCTCTCCTTCAAGGAGAGTTAAGTCAGCCTTCTGTTGTAAAGCTTATTTAGAGAGGTGCTGGTAAGAAATATGGATTATCTTCCTATCACCCAATGACATACTTTCAGTCAAGAGTGTCACTGAGAGCACAATTAAAGCGGTGTGTCAAAGCCCCCACCAGGAGCTTCAGCACTGAGAGCCAAGGATAACTTACCATATTTGGCACATTGGTGACTGAAGTATTCTTGATATCTGTAGGGAAGGCAGGCAAACTATTAACCAGGCTTTGTTTGCTGGGTAACTGAGGGTTCACTCCAGTGGCTCCCATTTGCTGCCCTCCAGTTTGACTAAAGGGTTGTCCAAATGGACTTGTGTTACCAGTCATTCCCATCTGAAAGAAAAACAGCAAAGATTAACTGACATGACACCATCTTATTACATAAAAGGGCCTCAGAAATGCTCACATGATCCACTGACACAAAACAATGATTTTTTGTGGACCCCTCTTCAGTGATAAAGCTTACAATCAGCTCACAGTCAGAACTGTGAGAAGGCAAGGTGGGCAGCAGACTAGTAACTCTTCTACATGCTAGACGCCATCCCAGAAGCCGCAGTGCTCCTCCTACCCCCAGCCACGTTCCCTGACCCAGGCCCTCATACCCAAAAAGGTCCTTCCAGAAACACTGACCACGGGGAACTCCTTCAACTTAATCCTCAATAACTGCAGAAATGCTTTGTTTCTTTCAAGTTCTCCATCAGATCTGAACAAGTTTCCATTAGTTCCAAACATACAGTAAGAATACTGGCATTGAATAACTTTTCTCTCTGGGATTTGCTTTGAATAGCTTAGCAAGGCAGGTAGTTGTGGTGAGAGGTGAAATGAAGGGGGACTGTTAGCATGCTGGTAATTACCAACCACACAACAGTTAAGTATTCAGTGAATGTACAACCTTTAATATTATACATACCATATTAATATTACACTATTAGAATATTAGAAATTCCCTTTAATAAAGCTTGTCTTTATTAAAGTGGAGTACTGGGATAGTGGTTCATGCCTGTAATCTTAGCTATACAGGAGGCTGAGATTTGAGATCACAGTTCAAAGCCAGCCCAGGCAGGAAAGTCTATGAGATTCTTATCTCCAATTAGCCACCAAAGAGCCAGAATTGGAGATGTGGCTCAAGTGATAGAGCACTAACTTACGCAGAAAAGCTCAGAGTGAGTGCCTAGGCCCTGAGTTCAAGGCCCAGGACACACACAGACACACACACACACACACAGACATATCCTCCGCCCCCCCAAATTAAAGTGAAATAAAATATACGGTAAAGAGAAATTTCGGAAAGCGAAACCCTAGGCTCTATCTACTCCACAAGGGCAGCCACAGAGCCGTCCCAGTTTCCTTAGGTCCCCTCAGTTACAACCTCAAGTACATGTGTGAGAATCCCCAATGCAATGTCCTGGTGTTTATCTGTCTCCTTTGGGGAGGAAAAAAGAGAACCTAAAGGTCTGAGTGCCTACCTGTATTTTTCCCCCCAAAGTTGAAATACTCAACTGGTTGCCTTTACATTTCTGGTATCTTGTTCAATTTGATGTTTATCTGGAAGAAGAACTCTGGACAGGGAAAACCTCCAGAGCTGAGTTTCCATTCCAGATATCACCATGGACCAAGAATACAGCTCAGTGTGAGAATGTTTACCTGGCTTGTATAAGGCCCTGGGTTCAATTTCCAGCACTGCATGTATGTGCATGCACACACCAAGTTCTACATAAGTAAGCAGGACCTCTGTTAGCAACTGCCACACCAGGGTGCCTACTCTGAGTAACTTACATCCTTGCCAGAGACTCAATCATCTCTCCTGAAAGGTGATGTATTCAGCGAGATAGATCAAATGATTCTGTCAGCTCTACAAGTCTAGGCTGTAAAGAAATCAATGTGTAATGAACTAAACTCCATTTCTGCTGAAATGCCAGTATAAAAACAAAACTAAAGTAGCATAATCAGAAAGGTCTTCCCCGCTGCATTCTCATACACGTGGCATCTTCACAGATAAGGCTTTCCACTTTTCTAAAAGTAAGCCCATTCCAGCCATCACTTTTACCCTATGTGCTCTGCATGAGTTTAAACTGACCACAAGCCTTCATTAAACCCATAATGAGATTCAATTTTTGTGGTTAGGAGATTTTTAATCAAGGCAAAAGGTAAATGAGTAAATATGATTGCATTTCTGATTCCCAACTTAGTTCCTTGAATTGTAATTTAAAAACCAACAACTCAAAAGGGGTTAGGATATAGCTCAAGTGGTAGAGTACCTGCTTAAAAAGTACAGGATCCAGGGCTGGGAATATGGCTTAGTGGTAGAGTGCTTGCCTAGCATGCATGAAACCCTGAGTTTGATTCTTCAGTACCACATACACAGAAAAAGCCGTAAGTGGTACTGTGGCTCAAGTGGTAGAGTGCTAGCCTTAAGCACAAGAAGCTCAGGGACAGAGCCCAGGCCCTGACTTCCAGCCCCAGAATGACCACCCCCCCCCCCCCAAAAAAAAGAGCCAGGTACCTGTGGCTCAAACCTATTATCCTACCTACTCAGAAGACAGAGATCAGGATCATTGTTTGAGTCTAGGCCAGGCAAAAAGGTCCCAAAACCCCATCTCAAATACCAGCTGAGTATGGGAGCATATATCTGTCACCCCAGATGCTTGGAAATATACATAGGAGGACTGTAGCATAAACATGAAACACAATCTCAAAAGTAACTAAAGCAAAATGGGAAGCTGGGGATGTGGCTAGTTAAAATGAGGCCAAAGAGGCCACCAAAGGACCACCATCACCCATATCCAGGGAGGCCAAACGGTCTCTGGGAGACTGGGTAGAACTCACGGGCCACACTCTAGCCCTCAGCTATAGTTTTTATGTTAAGCTACTTGTTTCCATAATTTACCTTTTTTTTTCCCCCAGGTCCCAGTACTTGAACTCAGCTTGGGTGGTGTCCCTGAGATCTGTTTGCTCAAAGCTAGTGCTCTACCACTTAAGCCACAGTGGTACTTCCTGCTTAATTAGAGATAAGAGTCTCACGGACTTTACTGCCTGGGTTGGCTTTGAATCACAGTCCTCAGATCTCAGCATCCTGAGTAGCTGGGATTACAGGTGTGAGCCACTAGTTCTCTGCTATTAGTTTACATTTCTGAGCGCTAATTCTTTATCTATTCTCCATGGATCAAATTCAGCACCTGCAGTCTGTGAAGTCTATGTGAACATACATATTTTATAGCACCATGCTCAAAATGAAACAGTGAAATCAAGATTTCTAACTTTAATGCATAAAAACCTGCTTTGGGGGCTGGGAAGGTGGCTCAGTGGTAGAGTGATTGCCTAGCATGCATGAAGTCCTGGGTTTGATTCTTCAGCACCACATACACAGAAAAAGACAGAAGTGGTGTTGTGGATCAAGTGGTAGAATGCTAACCTTGAGCAAAAGAAGCTCAGGGACAGTAACTAGGCCCTGAGTTCAAGCCCCAGAACTGGCAAAAAAAAACAAAAAAAAAAAAACAAAAAAAACCCAACAAACCTACTTAGTTCTTTCAATTTCCCACGTTTCTTGATAGTAATCTAGTAAATGTGGATATCAGGATTTTTGAAGGATGCTAGAAAATGAACCTCCAAGTAATCTTCTCAGTAAAATTCTAAAAGCAGAACAGATATGAAATAGGAACTGTTTAGTGATGATCAAATTTAGGAGCAAATTAAAATCTATGGAATTGCTGATAATCTACCTCATACACTAACAGTCCATATGTTAAAATGTGCTCTTATTCTGTCCTTATTAGCTACTCTTTTAAGCATTTAAGTCAAGTTCAATCTCAGAAAATAGAAGTTACTACATCAAAAACCAAAAAAGAGCTAGGTGCTGGTGGCTTACACCTGTAATCCCAGCTACTCAGGAGACTGAGATCTGGGGGATCACATTCAAAGCCAGGCAAGCAGAAAAGGTTGAGACTCCATCTCCAATGAACCAGCAAAATGGCAGAATGGAGACATGGCTATATTGGCAGGGCGCCAACCATGAGCAACAAAACCCAGCAAGAGTAGAAATCTCTGCATACAAGCCCCAGTACTATGCAACACTGTATAAAGGAGAATCAAAAAAGGAGACACATGGGCTGGGAAGGTGGCTCAGTGGTAGAGTGTTTGTCTTGCATGCATGAGGCCCTGGGTTCTATTTCTCAGCACCACATAAGCAGAAAAAAAAAAAAAAAAAGCCGGAAGTGGTGCTGTGGCTCAAGTGGTAGAATGCCAGCCTTGAGCTGAAGAGCTGAGGGACAGCCCCCAGACCCAGAGTTCAGGCCCCACGACCAACCCCCCCCCCCAAAAAAAAAGGAGACTCAGCAAGCACTGGTAGCTCACACCTGTAATCCTAGCTACTCTGGAGGCTGAGAACTGAGGATCACAGTTCAAAGCCAGCCCCAGTGGCTCACGCTATTAAGCCTAGCTATTAAGGAGGCTGAGATCTGAGGATCTCGGTTCAAAGCTAGCCCGGGCAGGAAAGTCCATGAGCCTCTTATCTCCAATTAACCACCAGAAAATCAGAAGTGCATTGTGGCTTAAGTGGTAGAGTGCTAGTCTTGAACAGAAGAGCTGAGGAACAGTGCCTAGGTACAGAGTTCAAGCACCATGACTGACAAGATGGGCGGGGGAGGGGGGGGAACTCTCCCCAAATTAAATGCATTAAACAATGCCTTAAAGCTCTACTAGGTTTTCCCATGGAAAAGCATTGTAATCAAGTTTGTCAATCAGTCTTTCAAGAGCCTTCCTCCCTCTTTTGTCCCCTCCCTTTCTGTGTCTGCTGTGTCTCTCTTCATTGGGAGAATGAAGAAAGTAAGTTCCTATGATTAAAGAAGGAACACAGTAGATAAGGACACACTACATAAGGAGAGAAATTCAAGCTCTACATGGGTGGCAATGTTATCAGATACTTTGTATTCATATACTGTTTAGCAGAATGGGAAATTCTTTGTACAACCACTTAAGGATAATAAAAAAGTTTTTTTAAAAAAAAAAAAAAAAAAAAAGAAATTCAAGCTCTAGACTTGAGTCTAGCCACCCTCAGGGACAGAGGTTCAGTACTGCTCTTAGGAAGGCCTAAGTATTAACCTTGTAGGCTGAGGGAGGTCCATACCAGCATCCCTGATAGGAAGTACCTGCCACAAACTCTGGTGGTTTGCTCAGCCGTCAGTTAAAGCCGCTCGGGCCCTGAGCTGTCTGGCACATGGACGACAGCCACCAAAAAAGTGGAAGAGTATGGTGCTTCTATTTTGACAGACACCGTTACCGATAATGAAAAGTACAAGGCACTCCACAGCCCACAGCACTGTCTGCCAGAGCATATT